TCGGCGAGGTCGCGGTTGGCAGTACCTCGTCGATTGGGAGGGCATCATGACAGGCTGGATGATGATTTAAGTTACTAAAATCTGGGCAGCCATTTCTAAAGTTAGTCACTTAGAAAAAGATTCACAGAAATATTTTATAACATTCGATATTTAAATTATTTCATCCATTTATTCTAGTTTATTATGTAATAGGCCACTCCAAGATGAGTCACCAAACACTAACCTAAAGTGTCTAAAGAGGTGTAGGAAGAAGCAAAGATATTTCACCAATGATTTATCCATTATCTTTCTTAAATGATTCTTTTACTTAAGGTATTAAAAAAAAAAACTAAAGATTAAATGTTACAGAGAATGCTTTTTGCAGTTTCACAGTTGAAAATTAAAAGTGGCTATTTATTTTTTTTACTTTTGTTAGAATAAATATTTAAATTAGGGCTGCGACTAACAATTATTTTGCAGATTGATAAATCTGATTATTATTTTGATTAATTGATTAATAATGGGATAGCCAACTGTTCCTTAAAGAAGACTTTTTACTAAATTAAATCAGTTGAAACTAAAAGTTTTCCACATGAGGAGTTCTGGATGGAGCATAATGTTTTTTTTTATCTTAAATTGACAATGTTTATATATATATATATATATATATATATATATATATATATATATATATATATTAATGATTAATCGATTACTAAATTAGTTGATGATTATTTTAATAATCGATTAATCAAATTAATTGTTTCAGCCCTAATTTAAATATTTATTAAACGTATTAAAGTTGTGTTGACTATTATTTACCCTGATCATCAGCACTTGATAGAGAAATGTTTTTAAAACACAGACATTTCCAAACAGAAACTTAATATTATGTACCCATCTGTATATGACCTCACTGTGACTGATTTTAGGCAAACTCTGACCAGTAGGTTTAAATAACAAATGACAAAGAGGTTTGCTACTTAAAAAAAAACCAAAACAAATAAACCCCCACTCAAAACAAAAATGAAATTAAATGAAAATAGTTTACTAGTGAGATGTATTACCACAGGGTTCATAACATGAATACCCAGCACAGAAAACAAACAGTGGAAAACATTCGACTATAGACATGTGTTTGGGTTTTGGTTTCAACTAATTCCATTTATGTCAAAAAGGTGTTGCCATACTCTAGTGTTACTCTTAATGAGAAATTGGCCTATTATATAATTCCTTTGCGTTTCAGTTTCTTAGTTTTTTCTTATAATTCAGTGATATTACCCTTTCCTTTCATGAGAAGTCTCTGCATAATAGTTCAGCTTCCTCTTTGTTCATTAGTCTGCCTCACTCAGCTACCCAGCCTTCATTCTGCCTCATCTTCTCCATAGTTCCTCTGAGTAGCTCTACTGGTTCATTTGTCTTTCAAACCCCGTCTCAGTGTATAACATCACTTGTTGTCACCCATATTTTTTTCAGACTGTCTTATAATTCTATCTCCATGTTCTCCATGATCTTTTCAGCTCTTTCATCAATTTTGCATTTAAATATCTATAAGTTATATTATTTAACACATTGCTCTAAACTTCCTGTTTGCCCCAAAACAACCTACATGACATGATAGGGACATCACAAAACTATCTGGCTGTTACTAGGCAGGTTTTCTTGCTTCCTTTGAGCAAGAGTATATGTCAGTTTTTTAGAACTATTAAGGAATTTATAGAAAATGTAAAGCCATATAATTTTAAACAGTAAAGGTATTTCTCAGACCTATGGTATACCTGACCGACTTTCATCTGCGCTGCTAATGGGGCTTAGGACTTTCCCCTCACTGGGCTAGTAAAAAAGGGGAATGTCACTCACTTATAAGGATGCAAATGCAAGATTGGGAAAAATGTTACACATTTTTGTTATAATTCCTGACTTACACCACTTTCCCTGACTTCCCTGACTTTCACCACTCCAGCTTTTGTTGCAAGTCTCTGCAGACGGGCCATTATCACCAAGAACAGTATTTACTTGCATCCTATTTTTTTTCCTCTTTACTTTGCATAATGAAAGCTTTTATTGTAGGATTGAATATAATCCAAAGGCCTGATAAAAGCAATATGTAAGTAAAACATATTGCTGATAAATTGCACTTTAGACAGCTAAAGTGCTGTGAATACCAGCAGCAGGAAGATGACTGTGTACAAATAAGAGCATTCTCAAAGCGAAATAAGATGTGCTATTCTGATACCCCATCTATAGGCGGCACACAAATAAATATCCTGTTGGGACAGTTTAAATAATTGTAAAAAAAGTAATTTTTGTTTTTTACTTTAACAATTTTATATGTGCACTTTGGTCCATATCTGCTCAAAAAAGGCACATATGGCAGGATGTGAAGTACCATTTGGTGCCATCAAAGAACAACAAACCGCTCTGTTAACCATTTTGCTATGGTCTACGTCTTTGGCATTCAATGATCACTCTAAGTGCTGCTGCATTAAAGCTGCAGTCTGTAACATTGAGAAGAGAGCAGACTTCGACTGAAAATTTGAAGAAAAACAGGTTTCACGTCACTCCCCCACCCTCTCTGCTTCACTCATGCCCCACCTCCAAGCTCCACCCCTCTCGCTCCTCTGGCTGTGATTGGTTGTTTTGACTCGTCCCGAATTATTCTTTCCAGATTGAAATACAGGCAGTAGGCGGTACCAATTGAAGCAGTTTTTTTCACAGGTTACATATCACATGTACTGCTGTCTGGGCATAGGGACAGTTTTAGCCAATATGACAAAAAAGTGATTTTTAAAAACTTACAGACTTCAGCTTTAAGGGGAAACAATGTGTCTGGGATGCATGTCTTAATAACTTAATACTGTTTCCGAATTTTTAGTGTCTAGTTTGTATTTTACTCAACTTGATATTTTTTAAATGAGTTGTAAAAGAAAAGAAGGGGGGGATGGTGGATTTTTTATTTTTGTTTTTGGAAGCATACATAGCCTAATTAATATAATCTATTAACCCACAGTAATATGCATAGTATGGTTGTTACATGCCACCCTTAGCCAATCATTGGCCACCCCTACCAGTTTTTCTCTGTAATACAGATAGTGGCAACAGTAATACTCTCAAGTGGAATATTCTAAACATTCTATTTTTTTGGTGGTTAATTATACACATTAATATATACTAACATCAAAGATGATAAGTGCAGAATTCAGGCTCTTTTCAGAATTAGATTTTGTGATATATGGGGTAAAGAGAAAGATATGTCTCTGCAAGTCATCTAGGAGTCTTCAGTGAAATCAAAGTTAAATGACAATTTTAATAAAAACTTATCAAATAATTAATGTATGTAGCTATTAGTGCTTGTAAATATAAATTTTATGCAGAATGTTTATTGATACAAGTAGGTAATTAATGACAATGGAAAAGATTTATGCCCCAGAACTCAAAACTGAGTTTTATCCACATTACCTTATATCTAAAAATTACAATTATGTTTAAATATATGCGTCTATTTGTTAGCAAAGGCTGTTGGAAAGTATAGTTTGTCTTTATTTAGAAACTATGGATGTTTTGCTCATTCATTTTCCTGTTGGAACAATGTAGATTGACCGTGAGGTTCTGGTGCCTATCCACTTTCGGCCACTCCTCAGTGTACATGGTTATTGCCTGGCCACTCTTATAAACATTTTCTGGCTACGCCTCTGGTACTGTATATACCCCACAAGGGATGTTTTACACTTAATGTTTTTTCATCTGTCTGTTATTGACTGCTGTGGCTGGAATTAAACCTTACAATTTCTAAAACTTAAATCATAAAGGGTGTTTCTTTTTTTAAGGTTGTTCCTTGAGACTTCAGATTGCATGATTAGATCAGTTGCAAGAGGACTTTGAATTTAAAAATTTAAGAGAACTTTACATTATTTTAAATTTTATGGAAGAGGATTAGGGCCACTGAAAAAAAAAGGTAACTGATTTTAAATTTTATTTCAATTTAATATGGGAAAAAAGTCTGAATTCTGACTTTTTTCTCAGAATTCTGACAGCTAACAAACATGTTAGCAGCAAGCCATAACCATGTCTGTTTTAGAGACTAGCTCTCTTGTTTTAATGATCTTCTGCTCCTCTATTAATGAGGGGACCCCTCAGGCACGTAAAAAGTTGCCTAATTCCGTCATTTTCCACCAATGTGTCACTGGCCCTCTCAAACAACTCACATCTTTGTCAGTGAAGCTGAGTGCTCCCACATGTCTTCCTTCATGGTGTCCATCTACATTAATATCCAAAATTCTGAGAATAAAGTCAGAATTCTTAGAAAAAATTCAGAATTCTGAGATTAAAGTCAAAATTCTGAGGAAAAGCCAGAATTCAGAGATTAAAGTCAGAATTCAGAGATATTAAAGTCAGAATTCTGATAAAAAAGTCAGAATTCAGAGATTAAAGTCAGAATTCTGATAAAAAAGTCAGAATTCAGAGATTAAAGTCAGAATTCTGAGATAGATTAAAGTCAGAATTCTGATAAAAAAAAGTCAGAATTCAGAGATTAAAGTAAGAATTCTGAGATTAAAGTCAGAATTCTGAGATAGATTAAAGTCAGAATTCTGATAAAAAAAAGTCCGAATTCAGAGATTAAAGTCAGAATTCAGAGATAGATTAAAGTCAGAATTCTGATAAAAAGGTCAGAATTCAGAGATTTAAGTCAGAATTCTGAGATAGATTAAAGTCTGGCCCTAATCCTCTTCCGTAGAATGTGCCTATTAGAAATCACCAAGAAATTTCGAAAGCTTTAAACTAAAGAAATGAGATGTCCTGGTGGAGCCCCCTGCTGGTCTAAGCAGCAGCCTGGTTCGCTTATACCTTGGCTCAGCCCTACTAGAGTGTATCAGTAACTGTGTCATAATATGAGCTGTTTTTTGTTATGATTAAGGACACATATTATTTAGCCCTGTCAAAACAAGTTAAACATAGTGACCAACAAGCAGCTCCATCTGCAGCTGGAGGAGGTGATGCTGAAGGAGCTGTGTGTCACCCACCTCCTCCGCCTGCTTGCGCAGCGCTTTCTCCCGTTCATACTGGGTGATGAGCTGCTCGTTGTCCTCCTTCAGCAGCTCCAGCTCCACTTCGTGCTCCTGGTTCTCGGTGAGCACCGCGTCCAGGTTCTCCAGGACGTTGACGACCAGCGGCATCAGCTCCTTCACCACCTCCTCATCGTAGCTGTGGATGAGCCGCTCGAACTCCCGGTAGATGCTGTTGGCCAGGCCCGACACGCGCTCCGACATCACGGTCCCGGAGCCGTAGTCGTCCTGGTAGACCACCTCATCTATCTCCATCATCTTGGCGGCGCAACTCGGTTTGTCCAAACAAGGCTCAGCAGGAAATGTTCAGGCCTGTAGGGCTGGACGCGATCCACTTAGAAAAAGAGGAAAAGAGATGAACAGACAGCAGGAAGCGCTTATTCCATTATTTCTACAGATGTGTGGCGTCCTGCTGCATGCAGATAACCTTGAGCTTCATTGGGAAAATACGGGCTAAAATATGTAGAGAGCTGTATCAGCAGGCTTTGGCCCCCAGCAGCGGCCCAGCCTTTTGCCCCCTCTCTCCGAGTGATCCAGCCTGGGCTTCGGCCCTCTCCCAGCCCATGCCGAGGAATCAAAAAGCCTCCGACGATGATGATGATGTTGCACCTGCTCCTCAGCAGCCGCAGCCATGGACCCCTGCCATTACACCGGCGGGGTAATGAAGTCAATCAAAAGGTGAATAAATAATCCCAGTCTCCGGATGGCCGCTGGAGCCCGATCCGCCGCTACAGCGGCATGTTTTTCTCTTCTTCCGGCGGGCAGATGATGAAGCAGCGTCGGGCGTTGATGGTGATGTCTCCCTTTGGGAGAGGCTCTCCCTGCCGCTCGGATGGAGGAGCCAGCTGGCCGAGTCAACCCGACGTCACGCCGTCTGCAATCAGTCAAGTCAGACATGCACAGACAGGGAAACAGCTGGAGACTTCAAAATAAAAGCTAGTTTAATGATGGTCTATAGGGTTTTTCGACAGCTTTTAAGTTATTTTTAACCATGTTAGGACGTCACTTTGCAGACGTTATGGTGCGAATGTTAACTTTTTAATGTTATTGTTAGAACTATTTATGACCGGACCTTATTTATATCCCAACCATGCCATGTTACAAGACGGTGGTGAACCGATTAAAACGCGACACCAATAGCAAAGCAGTACTTGTAATTACTATCTTAATATCTGTGTATAGTTCATTAGACGGTTGGTAGAAAATAAACTCATAAAATATGTCTCAAACCGCAATAAACATCCTAAAAGAACGATTTATTTGAGTATTTTATCTTTTACACTACAGCTTGGAATTATGGGTAAACCAGAGCGTCGATTAAAACCATAACCGTTATGTACAATTGATGGGGTGTTGTACTTCATATGGGGCCCACCCAGATAATGTTGCTTACGGGCCTGTTGTTGTGTCGTTATGTCATTGCTTCTTTAGTCACTCTATTACATATGGGATAATGTAACAAAAGTTTTTGGGATTATTAAAGTATTTCTGATTCTGATTCCTGGGACAGGTGTTTTGAAGGAAATGGTGCCTGGCTTGATGACTGAAAAGAAATCATATGCTTCTGTTAATCTGTTTGCTACAGTGTGTTGAATTCATGTTAATGTGTTTTTAAAAACATGTGTTTAAACACGTGTGTTTCAATTAGTGGAAAAACATTGCAGGGGGGAATATATGTATAACAAAAAAGTGAAAGCAACCAAAATTTTCATGACCCCCATGCAGTACCTCCATGGACCCCCTCGGGGTCCATGGAGGTACTTCTAGAATCACGAAAGGATGTTTTCAGGTCATTTGCCTCATTTGATCTGGTGTTTTTTTTTTAAATCTTCCTATTGACATCACCCCATAGTCATTGGACTTCAAGCAACAGGGATTCTGTGCCTCTGCCTCAGAGGTGGGTAGTAATTAGTTAAATTTGCTAAGTTATATATTTACTTGAGGAACTTAAAAAAATAAAATAAAAATAAATAAAAATAAAAGCATTACTAGGAGTAATTTTATATCATTGTACTTTCTGGTCTTACTAGAGTACATTTTCTGGCTACTCTACACATTGTGAGTAACTTCACTTCATAAAAAAACAAAACAAGCTTGTTTTAAACAAATATGCATCACTGAGAGACACAGTTTCTTCTTTTTTTGTACTCGCTTATTAATTTAGTGTTTTTTTCCCATTTAGTGAGTCTGCCATTTCATTTGGAGGTCTAGTAAGTATACAGTAAATAGCATACTGTGATTTACCCTATTCTATTATACGGCAACTATTGATTTAGTTAATAATAATAATTGATGATAATAATAGAAATTATTGATCAAACACTAGAGAAATTTACCTCTGCATTTAACCCATCGCCTTGGGGAGCAGTGGGCTGGCACTGTGCAGCGCCCAGGGAGCAGTATGGGGTTAAGGGTCTTGTTTAGGAACGCAGAATGGCAGTCTGTGGGAATGGGTTTATAACTTGAAAAGTGTATTAAACAAAGCATGTCCATTCCACCTAAATTTGTTATTTTGTAATTACTGTATGTAGCTTACTGTATGTTTATTTATTTTTAATCTTTCTTTGTGTTACTATTAGTGTTACTTGAGTGCAAGTTTTTTGGGTACCCATCTCCCTCTTCCACTCAATTTTCTATTTACATGCTTGGATGCAGAACTCTGTGAAAAGCCAGCTTCATTAGCCATGACCTTTTGTGGGCTAGCCTAATTTTGAAAGGTCCTGATTGTATCTTCGAGGTATCTGTAAAGTCAACAGTCTTCTCCATTATTTTGTTGCCTACTAACCCAAAGTGATTGATCATGTAAACCCTCAGGAAACCATTGCACGTTTTGATTAGGCTGTGAGTTTCCAACAATTAACTTGTACGCAATATTCTAATTTGACATTGAATGTTTGGTTTCATTATATACACATATAGATGCATCTATACTTATGCTATGTTCAGGCTGCACGCTATGGAAGCAGCAGGAGAGCGCCTAGTGCTTCGTTTTTGATGCTTGTTCACACTAAGCTCACACGCGCGTCAAGAGCAGCTTTCATGCCCCTGAAGCGTGCGGACTGAAGGTAGCATTAGGCAGTGTTCCATTTATCTTTATTACTTTTATGTTGAAAGGGTCTAAAAGGAACTCCAAATGTTTCTCACTGGGTATAACTTGTTGTGTGTCCGCATCAGTGATTATTCAAGAATCCTGGTAATAACAGGCAGGAAAATCCCTTTATGAAGAAGACAAAAGGCAGTATTGCTTTCTAGACAACTATGAAAAAGCCTGTTAAAATTTTTTTTTTAAACAAATCATTCAATTCCACCCCATTTATACAGATCTTCTATTTAAGCATTGTAATTGTTTTTTCACCCCCAAGTCTTTGATTTTAAAGCAAAGACAGAAATAGAAATGCCTGCTGGGATGTGCAACCGTTAAAGTCTTGAGCCTCTGGCAGTGAGTCAGCAGCATTTTTTCCTCACCACTCAGAAACCAAAAGAAACAAACAAAAGAGGAGTGAATTAGCAATCGTTTTGTGACCAACAGAAGGAGCGAGGGAATACATTATGTTTTCCATTGCTTCTTATATACTCCAGTTTAACAAAGGCACTCTGGTTAAGAAAGGTTAGGCAACATTTCTATGGCATATTTGCTGCACAGACCTCAGATCTAGCAGCCATTTACTCTTCCTTACAATTTATAAACATTTCAAAGTATTTACCACAAGAAAAATCAGGGTTGATATAACTGATATTCAGTTGTAAACAGTGCCCCAACAGTGCCTGGAAAGCAATAATTATTGTACAAAAATAAACAAGTCAAAATTAAAATTGTATAGGCCTTTTTCTTTTGCTCCTTTTCACTTTTCAGTGGGTAGGTTAAATTTCACTGGCCACACCCAGGGAGGATCAAAAGCCCTTAAGTAGAACCTATCTGACAACATGAAGTAGGCCTTAAATCTCATAAGCATTATGCCCAGAGAAAACAGAAACAGATGAGAAACGAGGTAACCAATCGCTACCAGTCTGGGGAGACTGCTATAATCCATCCATCATCAGTTAACTAGGAGAGAGTAACTCAACTAAAACATCTAAAGAGACACAACTTTGTAACTAAACTGAAAGGCGCAGAAAGGAGAACATCAATTAGAGCAACATTCAAGAGGCTCATGGTAAGTCTGGAAGAGCTGTAGAGATCCACAGCTCAGGTGGAATAATCTGTTAGTTGAAAACTCTATGAAGCTGAGTTGCTAAATTAAACGGGTGAGATTGAAAAATGTTTCAGCCTAGTTCCAACATGCTGTGTAACAGAAAATGCACGGCTCATATCGTCTTAAACACAGCATCCATATGCTGAAGCATAGAGGTGGTAGCATCATGCTGTGAGGTTGGTTTCCCGTCAGTGGAAGACATAAATCAGGATTTCCAATAAGGACGTAAAGGAGCTTTGGTAAACCTCTCAATGTTACACCAATAATGGGTTTGATAAGAATCTTTTTGGAATTAAATTTCAGACCTTAATCTGTTTGACCAAGAGTGGCAAGACTTGCAAAAACTCTGGTTAATTTTAACTGAGTTTAAACTATTTTGTGAAGACAAATAGGCCCTAATACCCTAAAATTAACAAAGATGAGAAAGACTTGTCAATCATTTTAAAAACTCATAAAAGGAAATTCAAATGTAATATTTCCGCAGTTTCCAGCTTTACGGTAACATCTAATCGTTGTTAGAACAAACTTGACTCAACTCATTTCAATTTAGTATTTTTTATCTGTGTAGAGATTTGCATGTTTCCCTTGTGCAGTTCTGTTTCTGGGTATTTTTGGTTAGAATTTGTCAAAAACACAGACTGGCTTAAAATGAGAAAGGCTTTGTGGTCTGGTGACAAGATAATTCTTTTTGGGTTTTAAGGCCAGACGGTTTGGCAGATGACCTGAAAACACTGGATTCAAGCTACAGGACAGAGAAGCATGGTGGTGCAAGAATCCTAATATGGGGATGTTTCTCATTCTGTGGTTGACCAAAAATAGTTTGATTTTATGCGCCACAGATGTGAAGAAGTTATCAGAAACAGTTACTTTCCAACAGTTTTATCATTCCCAGGAAAGTTCTTAAATGTTCAAACATTTGTTTAAACAGTACGAGATTTAAGATCATAAAGATGTCAACTGCTTTAACATTATTTCTTGACTTTTAGTATAATTGTTTGTTTTTTTTTTAGAAATTTCTTGTTTTTTTAATAGAATGTGCAGTGTTCCAAATATATGTTAAAGTACTGTTTATTTGAAGGATTTTGAGTTTTACTCATCTTTTTAAACAGTTCATTCTTCTTTACCCATTTCCCCACCTCTAATAAACTATTTTCTTTGCTCCATTTGACCATTCATCGCGTATGACTTGCATTATATTGGTCTTTAATGAAATCAAGGTTTTCAATGATGTTTCCATGTTCTAGGAATGAAAACAAAACAAGTTCTCAATGCAAAATCAGGTTTTATTTCAACACAGGATTCCTTTCTTCTGCTGCACTCATTTAGTGCCAGGCACATTGACAGAGAGGGGACAAAGTGGCATCAGAATAACTCGTCTGGTTTAATGACAGGATGAAAAAGGCGATTGTAGAGGAGCCCACCAGTTTACACGTCTTCAGCCGTTTTAATTTAAAACATAAAAAGAGGCTGACCCCAAAGCAAAAGAAAAGTATGTTCTCTGATAATGCAAGCAACGAGGACAGAGCAGAGAAGTACCTGCAACAATACATTCACAAACAATCAAAATGGAATTACTGCAAAGAGAAACATTTGGAAATCAGTGGGAGCGTTCATATTAGCTCCATCCATTCTTACACAGATTGTGCTTCAGCTTTAATCTTTTTTGCCTACTTGTTAAAGAAATATTAAGGCAAAGAAATTTTTTTATAAGGCATCTAATTAAACAGTCATGCAGGTTGAACGCTGAAACCGTAAGGATAAAGAGGTCAAAGATATCAAGAGAAAGTTGATTTTTTTTTTTACAACATACAACTGATGAACAGATTCACACATCAATTTTAGGCCTTTAAATCTAATTTTGGAGATCTAGCCTTTATCCAGTTAACAAAATGAAAACCAACAAGTAACCGCACAGCTAAGTTTGATCATCATACAGTCATAGTGAAATACCTAGCAAGCTGACTGTGAGTGATTGTATCATAGCAGGATTCAGATTCAGTTTGAGGCAGATTGATGAACCAAAAAAAAAAAAAAAAAAAATACAGGACTCAGTGTGAAAAGTGCAAAGAAGTTGAAAGAAGTTGAAATCACAAATTCTAAATTGGATGTGGAGCACACCACCAGCAACAGAAAGAAAATCCTCAGGCATGCCTTGCATTGTACAGGTAATGATGAAATAACCATCGGGAGAGGAGAACAGGAATGAGATAAGCAAAGAAAGCAAACACTGAGAGAAGTGGTGCGCTCAGACCATCAGTAGAAAACCACACTGGACTTTCCTCCAGGTGGGTTGAGGACCCTGTTGTGAGAGCGAGGCTTAGGTCCCAGGTGAGGCTCATGCTTTTTGAGCGATGTCTCGTCAGGAAGTGGTGCAGCAGGCTTAGGCTCTGGACTGGCTGAGATGACTGGAGGCTCTTCCTTGGCTGGAGCAGGAGCCGGGGAGGCAATCTCCTCTTTCACTTCTGGCTGGCTGACTTTGGCTTCAGGTGCTTAAAGAACAAAGAAAGAAATGCTGCTTCATATCCATCACAGAGGAACCACAGCTGAGATCCAAGTGATTAAACATAATGCTATTATATAAAACTGGTTTTCATATACACTCTAGTTGTTGGGATGTAACACTTATGGCAGAATTTTGAATTTTGCTCTAATGCATTAAGGCTGCAGCATGGCAGTAAATGAATCTACTGCAGTAGTTATCAGAGGCCCTTTGTTTACTCTGAGGGAAAAATTCTCCTTTCTGTTCTGCTTCTAAAACTTTAGCACCACATTGTTTACAGTCTGCCTCAGACACAGAGAGGTCTCTACGATAAGTAGCAGGATTAGTGAAAGAAATAGCTCTGCTAGATTTAGATTCCTGAAAAGGAGAAAATCATTTAACCATGTGACCTAATGTGTATGAAAAAAAAAAAAAAAAAAAACTTTGCTCTTAGGAATCATAACTAACCAATTATAAATATACTGCATCAAAACTGTATAAAGTTAATCATGTCCTTTATTTAGACTCATTTGATTCCATATTCATGAATTTAGCTAAATGATCTCCCGCATTTCAAATAAGAAGTCCCAGCATGGACTCACCTGGTGACTCAGGCTCAGGTCCCACACTTAGATTGTCCTGCAATAAAATCCAAGATATAATTTTCTTAATAAAATGAATGGGAGAAAAAGTATACAGATTCAGTCTTGTAGTCAGTAATCAGTAAAGATGATGAGGAAGGGAAGAGAAATTTAGAGTTCAACCACTGCCTCCCTGAGCAAATGGTGCAGATTACCAGCAAATCCCATGACCAAATTAACCATGGTTCAGACACTGAAACTTTGTCAAATGCAGCAACCTAAGACGTTGCTATTTATCCTGAAACAGTGTCTCATATTTGACCCAGATTCTTCCAAGTTTATATGAAGGCACTCAAGCCATCAGTCAGCTGCATAGTCCAAAGGCTGCAGCATTTTACCACACAAAAAAACATCATGAATCTTAATAGAACTGAAAGCTGTGAAATATATTGCCAATACAAACTTAATTTAGTCACGCCCTCTTCTATACATTTGGATTCTATTCTTAAATAAAGGGACAGAGTTTTGATTTGTTGAACTTGGCAATTTTTGCAAAAAAACTAGGACTTTAAATTTTTATTTCTCAAACTAAAGGAATTAACACAAAGTAAGGAAAGGACTGAAGTCAATCACAGTATCCTCGTAAGATCCTGACTGTCCATTACGTTCTATGACTGTAAGAAGGTTATACAAAGAGTCAGATCAACCTGAAAGAAGAAGAAAATCCCCTGGTTCTTAAATCCTTTTAGATAAAAAGTTACTGAATATTTAGCAATGCAAAAAAGTTTTAATTAATTAACCAAACCTGCTGAATGTATGATGGGAAGTGAGCAGTGTGATCTAAAGCTGGGTTTCCGGCCTACCTTTGGCTTGTTTGGGTGGCTTCGGCTTGAGCTTTGTACAGGTGTGCTTTCTGCAGACCCAAATATGTTGCTGGTTGCTCCATAGGGAGGTGCGGGCCTCTGTGGCTGAGCTGGTGCTTCGGGTTCTCCAAATATCCCACTACTCTTCCCACCTGCTCAAAGTCTCTAGTTAGTGACAGAAGTATTCAATCGGGAAAGAAAATCTACTCAATTTCACATATTTCTGAATCTGAGATCATCCTTCTTAATAGCTGTTCTGTTTTGGTTTCTCTTATGAGTTTTCTCTTACTGTACCACCTCTAATTCTTATGTTGGTTGTCATATTTCACCTGGTACTAATCTGCATGCTAGAATTTGCCTATCTTTGCTATTGAAACACCAACTTCCCCCACTGAGGGACAATAAAGATGTTCCAATTTCTATCGACTTTCTTTGCGATAGAGTAATGAACATCTGTAACCCTTAAACGAGTTTCTATCAAAAGTTAGAAAAGCTTTAACACTTCAACGGAGCTCAGCATCTATTTGACTTTTAAAACATAGATGGGAAAATCTAGCAGGAAAGTTGTGAGCCTAACATGTAGGAGTTCTATTTATACTGGAACGATCACATCATGGTAACAACTTTCACACTTTCGGCTTAACCTTGGTTAGGTTTTCACCATCATCAGTTCTAAAAATTACAAAAAAAGCAAAGAAAAAAAGGTCTGACCTGGAGGATTGGAGCGTCTAGATACATTCTGGGGCTCTTCAGGTGGGGCAAAAACTTTAGAGGCCATCTTATTAGGTCGCCCTGACTGAGCATTATCCTCTTCATAGCCACCAAAAAGGTTACTAGAGCCCCCACCAGGAGGCCGCAGCACCCTGCATGGGAAAAAGAGTAAGAGCTCTTGTTGAAATACCTCTAATCTCCATTAGATTTGAAAATATTTATTTAAAAAAGAAACAGGGAAAAGCTTCTTATTATATATTTTTTTAAGTCCATATCACTAAACTAAGAGGCTGATTTATACGTCATTGCAGGGAAATGTAGAACCTTTGCTCATGCTTTTATTGCTAAAAAAACCAAACACACTGTTATATAGGTTTTGAGTAACAATTACACATTGTTCCATATCTTTATTTTTTTATTTTTTTTTTATGATGAATCAAACTTTATCCATCATAAAGTGATCATCCATCACTTTATCCATATATATATATATATATATATATATATATATATATATATATATATATATATATATATATGTGTGTGTGTGTGTGTGTGTGTTTTTTGTCTTTTAAGAAATTAGAAAAATTTCTAAAACATCAAATGGTCTCCTAATACAGTTCAGAAATGCTTAATCAGACCTAAGTGATATACTAAAATCGTCCTCCCTACATTTCAAGACGACATGATGACTCTTTTAAAGCCACCAAAAAGAATGAGTAGCCAGTTTTTAGAATGAGTCTGGTTGAACAGTCACAAAATAGTCCCATATTTTAAAAAAGGAATAGAAAACATGTAATCTTTCTGTATGGTGTGGCAGACAAACAGTAAACACAGCTAAATTACATGTTATCAAAAATATATATAATCATAAATAATGCTGTATGCGTGGAAAACATGTCCTAGTGAGTTTGACGCCATTTATAGAGGCTATAGCTACTATTTAGTGGATTTAAACCGCATTACTGTTTTCGAAAAACGCCGATGTGTAACAAGAGCAATGTGATCACGCTTGTATTGGTGAATACAAAAGAAGGAGCAGACTGAGGAGCATTTTCCACTTCCGCAGGGACAGACAACGCCTGGTAGGCTAGCATAAAGGCTATAAGACGCTTGAGTTTGACTAAAACAGTAATACTCATAGTATTTATAAAACTGGTAAATTGGTTTAATATATAATGCAAAGTTATCCTACAAATAAATATGTATCGAAACTATAGTATTTAAAGATAATATAGTCAGGTGACGTTGCAAGAAAGCGGAAAACGTTGTCCGACAACGTTTATCAACCTTAACGGTTTCAGCTAAATTAGCTCTTAATTGGTATTTTTAATCACCTTGAACTTGGTTTTCCACCGGTATCCAATCCCTGGAACATGTTCGTCGAAGTCATACTGGTTTTGTTTGAACTACGCCAAGTTTTGAGAGAGAAACTTCTTCGTCCGCCAGTTAGACGACCAACAACTTCGCCCCCTGTCTGTGCTCCAACCACCAAACCTCCCAAAGAATTTGACCCGCCTAGTTGTGACGTAGCGAACTGTTATTGGTCAGCCTCCAGTGGCCAACGACGAGGTGCGCTCGATTCTATAACCACTGGAAAATGTAAACTAGATGATAGACAGGACCTATAGAAACGTTGATCAGCATTAAAATATTTACTAAAATCTCATTATTATACTTGTAATATAGACACTTAAACTACTTTAGATGAATTTTAAGTAGTATTCTTATATATTTGTAAACGTGCCTGCCATATTGTGAGTGGCAATTTCGCCTTAGCTAAGCATTAATGCAAGAAGTTTGTGTTAAAAATGAGAACTAAAGCCTTTCACATTTAATCACATGCTTATTTCAGTACAAATTTTAGGCTTTCATAATAAAATTTACTAGGTAAGGTTCTTCTTTCCCATTCCCTTTAAACTTGTGTTAAATGTTTCCATTAACAAGCTTTTCCTATGATAAAATTTTGGCCTATTTCTCTGATTCAGGTTTGTGGGCTGTCTTAACTTTTAAGCTCTTCCTGCACATTATTAAAAGTATTTTGGAAGATTTAATTACCAATTTCTAACGATGTTTTAATACATTTAAATACTGTTCCTTCTATATTCTACCACCTACTTTTTGAAGTGCACCAGTGCCCCCTGCAGCAGAAAAAAAAAAACAAAACAAAAAAAAACAGCAACGGCCCCTTTGTATTTTAATTTGTTTTTCACAAGACATAAATATATATATATATAAAATATATAAGAAAAAAAATTTGTTTTTTCGGATTAAATTTCGACTTTAGTTTTCTTTTTTTCTTTCTTTCTTTTTTTTTTTTTTTTTTACAAAATGCTGCTCAAAAAAGTCAGCATGTTTGAATGACGTGTTACCCTGAAATCCATTCAGAGCCGTGCCTCCCTGAACCTCTAGTTGTCAGACTTTCCTCTCAGGAGGTTCTAGAGTCATGACGGGGCTTTAATAAAAGGTTTATTGGATATCTCTGTGCATCTATGTCTCTGAAAATAAACAAATTTGAAGTTTTAATAAGATAATATCCCCTATATTTTTTTAAGATTATATATTAAAATGTTATGTATCATTTGGCCAGTTACTTACTAATAAAATAAATCTCACATTAAATTCTTTAGAACGCAGAACTGGCCCTCAGTGATTGTGTTTCCTGAAAAATGACACTCACAATATGGCGGAAACTTTTACGTTTTTTTTGTTTTTGTTTGTTTTGTTTTCTTTATTTTTTTTACCCCTACGCCAAATCCAAACGCATACTCTAGAATTCGTTCATTAAATGTTTTGTTTGTCAAACCTCAATAATTTTCTGGATGGAACCTATTCTCAAAAATAATAGTTTAATGTTACGATAACGACTAAAACAAAAAGGGAAAAGGCTTCTTTTTTTTTTTTTTTTTTTTTTATATGATGGGGCATGACAGGAAGGAAAATACAATTGGTTCTTTGTAGATCTTCCGTAAGCAACGATTGGGGAACGTTTCTGTCAGTCATGTTTCAAACTGCCGCCCTCGCAAATTGTAGGCCAATCAGAGCCTTTGTTTTGAGATGTAGTAGGCGGGACTACGCTGCTCCCCGGGAGCTGTCATCGGTACCAGGTTGAAGACGGTTAGCAATGCTAGCCTCCTTCTCGGTTAGGACAAAAAATTGGGAAGCTTCAACTTCAGGTAATTTTTAAACCCACTTGTTTGTCATTATAAACCTAACAGAGTTGGAGTCTAGGCTAAACTGTACCTATCAATGACTAAGTTAAGCAACGTTTTAGTGTGTTTCAACGACTTAGCGGTAAAGTTGGCTAACAAAACAGCATTAGCAGCTATGCTAGCTAGCGCCTTCTCCATCGTCTTTTCATTTTTCCCCCACAAAGTTTAATATTTCACATTTTTAGAGCACAGGCTCTAAAAAGCTCTAAAGTTGACTTAACCAAACTTCCATTGCTCTGTTCAGATTTAAATTTTATGTCAGGTCGTTTGGGAGAATATGGGAACATCAAAGCTCCTAAATCAAAAACCTGTAATGAAAAGTGATTTTAATTAGTTGATTAATGTGTTGTCAGAGTTTTGCTGAAATGCCACTGCATAAAAGAAGCTTTTGGAGATGTTGATCATTAAACTATTGACACACAGTGTTTCTTGTTTGTTTGTTTTTTTAATGATCATTATTATTTGTGATCATAGCAATGCATGGGAACTTTAAAATCCAAGTTCATATTAAATCATTTTAAAAAATCTTATCACCCCTCCCCAGACACACAGAGTTGTGGATTATGTCTGATCAGCCAGAGAGAGACATTAAGGTTTTAACATATTTTCTTTCACGTTATAATAAATAAATTTCCCCTCTTTATTTTCATATTAGACATTTTTCAGTATTTTTATTCATTTTCTTGTATTTCATATTTATTTAAAGGCCATATGTGCTGTTTTATTTGGTTATGATTGCCCTGTTATTGCCTATGATTAGATCAGATTTGATAAAATGACAGATCATTACATTGTAATTGTTAGATCTCTGCTCTTCAATTCTATTTGTGCACACTAACTCTGCTCGAGGTAAATTTAAGAGGATTGTCAATTATATGTCGATAAAAAAATACTAACCATTTCATTTTAGCATTATGTTAAAAACTGTGCATTAGATAGATTAAAATGCTGAGATGATTAATTGTGATCGTGACGTATTCTCAAGTCTTATTTGCAACCATGACTGTAACAATCACCGTATTTTAAATGGGCTCCAATGACTGGAGCTTTGCTAAATTGTTCATCTATTGTCGGTGGTGCATATTGAAAATCCGCAAGTTGTTCTTATATTTGAATTTGCTTAATTTCTGTTAAACTCAGTGAGTAAATGTTGCTGATAGAAAACAGTTGAACTGCGCAGAGTTCAGCTCAGTCGAAGCAGGAGCAAGGAGAGAGGGTAGACAGCAGAGGGATCGCTTTCGGCTTTATTATGCTCAATTTGATCGCTAATTGCCAAGCAAAGAGGGAGGACTCATGGTGAAGAGAAAGAAGACGTGTTCCACCTCCGAAGAGCTTGATAATGGGTAAAAATCTGGTTGAAATAAATACTTTATTTAGAGGTCGAGCGCAGCGAGGAGATCTCTTGTCGTCGTTCCTGCAGGGCGCTAAACTGAAAAGCGCTCGCATTTGAATTTAGTTTCATTTATTACGATGTTATTGCACGTTTAAGACTAGCGGTTCTTGGTAAACCACCTCCACTTTTCGTCGAATGGTTTCATGTGCTCATTTTAACGTATTTTGGGTTGTATATTTTATAAATTTTGTCTTGTTTTGACGGGACTGAAGAGGGGATTTGAAACAAACAGCGGCGGCCATGTTGAGAGACAGTGACCGTCGTCTTTAGAAGTTAATTTCGCACAAGGCTTTACTCCTGATTTGACAATTTCCCCCTGAATGTGTTCTTGGCAGCATGACACTTGGCTCCAGGGAGGCGATCGGTGTCGATGGGAAGCGGAATCCGTCCAGAAAGCCCGAAGGTTGCGACGAGGAGGAGAGCGGAGAGCAGGCGAGCGACGAGCGCAGTACAAAGGGAGAGGAGCGAGTGGAAATTCTTAATCCATCAACCACGGGTCCCAGCTCCGGTCCGACCACGGTCCTACCCGGGTCCCCACCGAACCGGACCGGAGCGGGTTCGAACCAGCAGCCCCAGAGCTCCGCGGAACCCGCCCCTCCGTGTCACGACCAGCATCATTTTCTGCGATCGAGTGTCCGACCTCCCAGCAAACGGATACGGAAGGATTCAATCGGATCCACCATCAATGGGCACGGCGGGGCAAAATCGAAAGGTACAGTGGCTGATCAGCTCAAAGGAAAGTGGGCATGGGTTGGATCAGTAGGTGGTCTGCTCTCTAACCTTCAAAGCTCCGCTTGTAGTTTATCCCTAAGGTCAAAACTGTGAGTGTTTTGTTGCTTTTTAATCCGGAGGCACTTGCAGTGTTTAACTCAGGTTGAACTTATGACAGCTCCATCCTTTAAGCTGCAACATCATTCTGTTCAAAGGAGGAGTGGTCACAACTTATATTTTTATCTGGGTCTATTTTCAGTCACACTTTCTCAGAAATGGAGCACAGTGTCATAAGGACTGATCTGCAGAAACATGTTACAAATCCACTTTGGACATGAGAGTAGTTACAGGAATATACAATATATATAAACGTTTATTTATATCAATAATTCCTCTTTTATCTAGGATGAAATAATGTATAGATAGTATAGATTACTAGAGTGTAAAGTTAAGGTATTTGACTTATTATAGTTTAGGCTAATAATGCTTACTATTAGGCAGATAATTAGGACTTCTTATAAAGAAATTCAAGCCAGTATGTCCACGTACTCCACATCTACTGCTTCTTTTGCATGAAATACTGCATCAACTCATCAAAGTCATCAGCTTGTGGCTCAGCTCAGGTTGTGGCCTTCAGCTCATCTGCATTAGCCGTTGCTGTCTGGTTTCCTGATGGGGTTAATTTGAGGTGAATTTGTTTATCTAATTAAGCATTGTAGCAGTATGGTATTTAAGTCAGTAGTTTGATTTATTATTTTATTTTTTTATATAAAAAATTGTAAAAATCACACTTCCTCAGACACTTAATATCTAGGTTTTGATCCATCGATTTAGCCAATCACAGCGGACCATGTGTTAGAGTTGTCATTTCCAGTTGTTGTTGTATTTTACTTTCACACATGTCCACAAAAGGTGGCGGCAATAAACTGTGTTTTCGGTTTATTACTGTGTTATGGCTTAGTGAATGATTTAGTCGGTCCGACCCTCACTGCTGCCAGTAATAGTAGTAAAATCAGGTGTATTGATGCAGTAATGCTGGGACTGCACAATATTCAGACAAAAGTTCATCGTTGTATCATTGCAGAATATTTCCATGAGGGAGTAAACTAAATAAATCCACTTTTCCTGCACTACCCTTGATGCTTTTTGTCATCAAAATATTCCAACTATTATTCCTAAATTCCGAGCATTTGATGAACTGATAAGTAGAATGAAAGGAGATCTACTGGGACGCATTTATTCTTGGCAAGTACAGGTTTAATACACGGTGCCATAACTATAATCGCCCTCTAAATATTGCTGCTGCAATGTTAAACAGCTGACTGGGGAAATAAGCTATTGATTTCTTTTTTAAAGCCAACTTGTTTTCAAATACTTTTTGAAATTTAAGGATTTCTGTTTGTATCAGAGTAATGATCCCCATTTTCCCTGCCTCCTTTCTTGTACTAAATAAAATTAGCCTTCTCTATATTAATGTATGCCAATAAGGAATCATTGTCAAGTTGGTTTTTTTTTTACCAATTCAAAATAACCACAGAAAGGTAGTGCTTGAAGTTAGACAGGTTTGTTTTGGCTCTTATGTCATATTTTCTTTTGAAAAGCAGCTCTGAAAGCTTCTTGATGAAACAGAATGAGATGTTTAGAAGTGGCAGGAATGGCTTTGCTTTAACAAGTTTAATTGATGCGTTTTTCTCTACTAATGAGACAAATTTATTTGACATTTAGACCAAAATAACTACTAATTTATTTATAAATTCACACACATGATTTTTTGTAGGGCTCTATTTTAAGCCTCCGCCTGATTCCCACAAATGTATTCGCTATAGTAAACAAACCAAATTTCTATGTGAAGTCTAGTTTATTTAGCATCCTATTTCTGCCATGTGATCTGAGATGGTGGTTTTAATGACACCTGGCGTCGTGTCTGGTGGATTTGGCCAGTGGATTCCACCACGCAGTTTGTTTTGGACCAGCTCACCACAGGCCTGTTTGAAGGGATTGATTGCTTTTCCTGCCCTGCTCACTATTACTTTACCACAGAGATGTGAAGCTCTTCAGGTCGAACACTGTAATCTGCGGCTCTGGAGGCATTTATGTTAACATCTTCCCAATCACTTATTTGATTGCTTTAGTTGTGTTTAACGCTGTCAAGGGGGGATATTTTTAATGTTTTTTTTTTTCTCTCTTTTTCTCTCTTCTGTGCATCACAGGGGCAGAAAACGGTTCATCCTCCCATGGGGCTGTGGGACAGTCTGTGGCCAGCTCAGCAGCAGGAGTTTCCAAGAACCCAAAGGGCCAGGGATCTGCTGAGAAAGAGGAGCCAGGTGGAAACCAGAAGCGAGCGCGTCGGCAGTGGGAGTCGTGGAGCGCTGAGGATAAAAACAGCTTCTTTGAGGGGCTTTATGAGGTGAAGACCGACACCAAAGTATATTTGCGAATTCCTTGCGTGATTCAGTTCCACACTAATCTTTGCTGCTCCAATCATCAGCATGGGAAGGACTTTGAGGCCATCCAGAATAATATCGCAATGAAGTACAAAAAGAGAGGAAAGCCAGCCAACATGGTGAAGAACAAAGAGCAGGTCCGCCATTTTTACTACCGCACCTGGCACAAGATCTCCAAACACATCGACTTTGCCAATGGTGAGCTTCCCTCTCTAAATTACAACCACAAATAAAATCCAAAGCAAAGGGAAGTCTGTCGAATCTGAAGGACATCTAACAGCTTATCTAAGCTTTTCTGTACGTTGAACCCATCCGGCTGGAGATGTCTGTAACTTTAAGTTAAATTGTGATGATTCAGCTGGAGTATTGATTTGAGTTAAGGTCCAACATGTTTATGAATAAGATGTGTGTATTTATTTAGGGTATTTTTACAATACAAACATTAAACATGAATCTACTAAACAGGTTCTGTATGACATTTATTCTCTTTGGAGAGACTCTAAACATGAGATAGAAATGTTCACTAGATAAGGCTGAGGCCTCGTCACTTGTAGCCTCCTTAGCTATGGTTGTTATCTTTACCTAGCATACACAGTTCTTTTTGCTCCAGACATGTGACTTCTGTCCCTCTTTTCTTTACAGTTTACTCCCGTGTTTTGAAAAAATCTTCACAAGAGCTGTACGGTCTTATCTGCTATGCCGAGCTGCGCAAAAAAGTTGGAGGATGTAAGTGGAAGTTTGTATTTGCAAGCCTTCAGCTGTACCACATTTCTTGGGTTAGCAACAGAAACCTGCAGTTGATTTTATGTGATTAGACCATCACAAAGTAGCATCTGAGTGTGAGGTGAAAGGAAAAGGACACAGTAGAATCAGAAAAGTTTGTTATAATCCGTGAACCCCATGAAAGAATAACAGGAAACGCATCAAACGTGCAACAAGGTCGACCTAAATTGGTCCAGACACCTGTACATCTTCCAGAACACACTCTCTGTTTGTGGCACCATCAAGCTGTGGGAATGCTTTTCTTTAGTAGGTGCAGAGAAGCTGATTAGAGAAAATAGGGAGAATGATGGAGCTTTATATGGGGTAGTTCCTTTGGGACAGTCTGCAAAAAACCTTCATAGGCATCATTTATCATCAGTCACTTTGATCTGTCTTCAGTTTTCCTCCTGTTAGCTTTTAATTTTAACCTGCTTGTCTATAATGTTCCTTCTCATCTCTTGAGACAACTCTTTCCTTCTTAACCTCTGGTTCATGTTGGGTGTGGTATACACCATGTCAACAAGCAGAACAGCGACTACCTGTAGCTCTATATATGGACCCAATGACTGATTACAAGATTTAAGACACCTCTGATGCTAATTAGTGGACACACCTTGATTTAAAATGTTCCTTTGGTCACATTATTTACAGTCTTTTCTAGTCCTGAATTAAACCTGGCATTCGTTGTAGTTGTTTTTTTTTTAAATCAAGCAACGTCTGACTTTCATTTGTTTATTTTCATAAAATTATTTTATTTATTAACACGTCACCACTAGGTTTTTCTTTTTAATTAAACAAGGCTTACCAACCATTTTTTTCCCGCGTGTTTGTGTAAGAGTGGCCTAGTTCAAGTCCAGACCTGAATCTAATTTGACATGAAAAATTTTGTAATAGATGTTTTTTATTAATTCTCTCTTCCAGATGCACACAGCTTGCTCTTCAAAGTGTTGAATGCCATCCCATTGTTCGTTGTAAAACAACCAATTGCTCTTAGTTAGGAGAACCACCTTTTGCCTGTAAAGGTGTTGGTCTATCACAAAGTAATCAAATGAAATAAAGTTTATTAAAACATGATAAAATGGTAGAAAACCTTATGGGCCCGTTACACATTGTCAGAGGGCTGTGTATTGATTTTTTTGGCAGGGACTTAGGGGATATGATTAAACCTGTAACACCTGAGGGACAAAGACGTCATTAGCTCTCTGGCTTTCTGTTTTGTCTTTGACAGTGATGGATGAGAAGAACGTCGCAAAGCTGAATGAACTCATCCAGCAGGGGTAAGCCTTCGTCTTCGGTTTGTGTGATGAGGACATTCAAGATGAGTTAAATAAACTAAAGAATTACCGATATCTGCGTAGGGCCACCACTGTGCGCTCCAAGGGGAGAAACCTACGGATCAAAGCCCCCATGTGCCGAGCACTGAAGAAACTCTGCGATCCAGATGGTGAGCTTTGCACGCAACCAAAAAGCACATTCCGCTTATGCAGAATAATTGAAAGACAATCGATGTGAATATGAGAAACAAATATTAAGGTGGGGGCGGGGTTTTGGTCAGGAAGCATGCTGATTTCATTTCCATGGTAACTGAATAGAAAATGGGGATGAGCAGAGATGGAAATTATTGCTTCCAAAATGAATCCATCCCCATCTTTTGTAACATTTAATGTGTTTAATTGTTTGAAAAATGGGGGGGAAAACAAAACTTCCACTTAAGGGTAACAATGAGAGAGTTTATGGAAGAGGTTGTGTTCATCTCTGGTGATTTGTCCTTTTTTCTGCAGGGGTGAGTGATGAAGAAGACCAGAAGCCAGTGCGCCTTCCTCTTAAGGTGGCGGTGGAGCTCCAGCCTCGCAGTAACCACTCCTGGGCCCGTGTTCAGAGCTTAGCCCACAATCCCCGCCTCAGGTAGGGGATGTCAAAATAAACCAGTCAGTCTAAAGTGTTGCATGTAAAGTTTCTGTCCTGTTTATTCAAACAAGCCTGTTAATCTGGTGTAAGGTTTCCCTGCTGCTCCTTAACTTTAATTCCTTTTTTTTTTTTTTTTTTTTTTATAAATAGATGTGATTCAGTAAGTGCTCATGTTTAAATTTTCCTGCAGCAAAGATCAGTGATTCATGACCTTTTAATTTTTGGAAAGGAAGCGGTTTGATTTCCTGTTTTCTGACTATTTTCATCTAGTATTTGAGCAGGTCCCTGTCTGCAGTGCTGGCATGCTTTGGAGCTTTATACTCCCATTTAGAGCCTTATATACACCAACTATGGGCATGAGGCCCTGTTCATTTTTTACTTGTATAACAATTTATTATATAAATTTTTTATTTCTCAGTGGATTCATTAAGAAATAAAATAACGGACCTTGTTTATTTTATAATCAGGAATGGATAAAACAAGTGAATTTTCTTGCATCCACACTGAATTGTATTTTGGCTGAATATTTTAGCCTCTCTTTTTAGCAGAAAGGATGGAGGTCATTAGTAGTCCTCATCATTATTCTGTTTTATGGACAAGTGGGGCGGTCTCCTCTTCAGTATTTTTAATTGTTGCCATACTGCTACATCTATAGGCCTGTTTTTAAATGGGCACAAGTAATCACAATAAAGGCTCAGTTGGAAAAAAAATAGCTTTCTTCTCTGGCTGTTGTTGCAGCATCTTCCAGTCTGGGTTGAGCCATGGTGGTTGCTGTTGTGTTGGTTAACCATGCGCATCCTTTTATCCTCGGGTCAGTTTGAGATCAGTGCTTCAACCAGGCAATGATCCTAAATCCAGAATCAAATCATTGTTTGGGAATGATGAAAGTAGGCTAAACCTTTTGGACTCCATTCCTGTTGTAAATCTATCAACTACACTAAAAATCTAGGATGCAGGCAATCTGGGAACCCTGCAAATATAAATGAGCTTCTCCAGTTTTTACAGGAGCAGTTAAGTATCCCCCTTGAATTAAACCAAAAGCTTCTTTGTAGCTGCTAAAATTATGGGATTAAGGGAGGAATTGCTGAATATGTATTTATTTGTTGCTGGTTCTTGTTTTTAAATATCTTATAACTTAATCTTGACTTTTTTTTTAAAAGACAGACCTTTTTCTTTTTTTTTTAACCAAATCTTCTTGTTGTTTTTCTCTTTTCCGACAGGATGGTGGTGGAGCTCCACAGGAAAGTCTCCTGCCTCATCGAGTACCTGAAACAGAAGTGGGCTTACCAAGACCAGCGAATTGTATCCTAAAAAACATGTCAAGGTTTGCAGGTTGTTTTTAGAAGACTTGCCTTCTCCTACCGTGTGTTGTGCTTAACGTTGACGCTCCAGCTGAAGAGTCTCATGGAGCGGGAGGCTCTAGAAGGCAGCCAGTCCAGTCCAGACTCTCCCAGCAAAGCCCAGCAGCAGGAGCTCACGCTCTTCCCAGCAGAGAACAGCGCCCTGACTACACTGCCTGGTGTGGCTCGGGTAGTTCACTCCAAGGCCTCGTGCACCGTCCACTGGTTAGAAAGCGGCAAGAGCCGACCCAGTGTCAAAGAGCTGCCGGCGGTCCAGATCCTGGGCATCCAAAGTGCGGCGCCTCTTCGAGGGGGCAGCAAATCTGGACGAGGAGGCTCTGCTGCTGCCAGCACGTCTGCGGCGGCTAACCCTGACCCATCACCAGACGGTTCTGGAAAGCTGGAGGAGAAGAAACCTCCACCGTGCTCCCTTTCCTCTCAGCAGACTGTGACTCTTACAGAAGAGGGAAACGGGACAGTATCTACAGAGACTGGGAGGATATGTAGTGCAGTGGAGGACAATGGCAGCGAGGAGTTCCTATCAGATCAGTGCAAAGAGGAGCAGAGCACAGGGATCTCCTCAGATCCAAATGCAGCCAAAGCTGCAGTGACTGTCTCAGAGGAGAATGTGTCACAGGGCTCTGCACCGCCAGCAAAAGAACGGACAGTAGAACAGATCAGGGAGGAGGGGTGGAGCGCCCGCGATGCAGAAAATGTTACCCTGGCTGAGCTCTACCTGATGTTTGGGAAGCCAGGCAAGCTGCAGCTGGAGTACGAGTGGCAGCCGGCCGCCGCTGCTTCCAGCAACCAGGAGAACGGAGCGACCTCAGAGCCACCTAAGCCCCACAGGACGAACAGGGTGTTACGCTGCTTACTAAAGCTGGTTTCCACTGAGATCAATCCTAAACCTCTGGTATGAATATAAACCTACCTCCTATGTCTATTTGTAACTTTATACATAGATGTTCCTGTTTGTCTGCAGAATGACAGATAATCAGATTTTTAGGGGGGGAGGCTTTAGATTAGAGAAGCCCAAATGAGCCAGAGGGTGAAGACAAAGGCTGTCAGTGTTGCCTTTGGTGCTCTCCTCTGCAGTAATCCTCCACGGGTTTAGATTAGTCATGATTCATTGTAGCCTGGTTCAATCTGCATCACTCTTGTCGAAACCTGGACTTGCAAAGTTGGCGGAGCTGGATGCTGTTTACTGACCCTCAGTGGTTTACCTTTTTATCTGCAGGTTTCAGAGGTGTGCTCCACAGCCACGTCGCCTCTGAAGACCAGCCAGGAGGAGCAGAACCAGGTTCTAACGCCTCCAGGAAAGAGCCCAATCTCAGGTGTTCGCAGCCCCAGCTTCGGCCGGACCCAGGCCTCTGTCCGTGGGGCCAGGACCCTCCCGCCAAACGCAGCTGCCTCTGGTATTTCTGACTTTAAAGGCACTGATCTGACAAATGTGTTAGGATGGAGTAAACATGAAAGTTAGATTTATTGGAGACCCCTTCAGGCATCCTGCTCTTGCTTCCTTTCCCCAGGTGGGCGTAACCTGCCTCGGTCTCTGCTGGGGTCAGCTGGCGACTCGGAAGGCACCGTGTTCGCCGTTCCCACCACGCTCCCTCCCAACAGCTCGCGACACAACAGAATGTTCTCTCCCAACAAGGAGGCTCAGCTGGCCTTCAGGCAGCAGCTGGACTCCATCAGCGTAAGTCCCAGCAAAGCATGGCTTCCACACCCAGTTACATACCATCCAAACTAACTCTATGCTCAGATGTTCACCTGTTTGCTCTCCCCCTCAGATGCAGTCAGATCTTTTCCTTTCCAGACAGAGAAAACCTCGGAACAGGCAGTTTCGGAAACCTCTAGTAGTTCAGGTATCAGCGGGAAGACCTTATCTGCCCTGGACAGATCATTGGAAATACATTTTCTGTCTTTATTCAATGTGCTTTCTTGTTATCATTGGCAGCGAACGCTTCTCCCCAGGACAACGGGGGACACTCCTCAACATGTCTGCTCCTTCTCCATCCTCTCCAACTCCTCTGCTACAGGTACTTTGGAGATCATTTGTTCTGATAGGGATCTCTGTCTTTAATTGTTTCCATTTCTCAGTAGTTGATCCTTTAAACTGCCTATTTGTATGTCACAGTTAAATAAGGGACTTGATTTTCTCTTTGTCATCGCCAACAAAGTGCTTGCTCTCTCACTTCCTGTTTCCTCCACCAGGAACTGGATCCTTCCGGCCAATCAACACTCGCCTGGCTCCGTCCTCTCGCCCTCCAGTGACCAAAACTTCGCCTCCTGCGTCCGGCGGCTCCACAGTGCCCAGCCAGTTGTCCAGTACGAACTTTTTTATTGTTATCCTTCTTTTTTTATTCTAAGGTTTTATTACACAGCTCACCGATTTCAGTTTAGGTCTTCCTGATGTCCCAATGTGATTCTTTTTGTATCTGACTCTTGGATTCTCTCTCAGGCGCCATCGACCTGGCAGCAAAGACTGCCGGCATCATCCCTGGCAGCCCCTGTGGGGAGTTGGATTCCCCTGCTGTTAACGCCGCTGTTCTCCCAACAACACCCACTGTTGATGCTGCCGCAGACTCCCAGCTCCTGCAGCAGAATGTCCCTGAGGTTTGTACACCTACTGTTCATACAATAACACCTCCCAGCTGAGCTCATTAAGACATGATGCAAAAGATGTGATCGCACCCTCCAAGGAGAACAGGTTTTTTAATGTATACTTCAAAATAAATGTTGATCTTTTGAGTCACTCTACTCATTTTTCTTAGATTTTTAAATGATTGTTATCCAAAAACTAGCTCTAAATGATGCCCTCTTTTAGATGAATAACTGTATCATATTTTCAACAGAACGGTCTACCTCCTCCATCTCCTGGAGCCACAGGCGGTGGGGACTCCCTCCTCTCTCCACCCAGCGTCGTCTCACTCCTGGACATCTCTCTGCCAGGCCCCCCCGAGGAGGCCCTCACCCCTGGAGAACCTCAGACACACATTAGCGACTCCATAATCGAACTAGCCATTAACTCGACAAACTACGGTACGTCTTGGCGCCCTAAACTCCTTCATACTTTGCCTCCAAGCAGAGAGATGTACCTGCAACACCTGAAGTGGTTTTGGTTAATAACTCCTTCACTGTCAAAACTGTTTGGAGACCTGAGAGATCCAACATTCCTCTGTTCATATGTGGGCTGTATCACACGTTAAGAGTTCTCTGGAAATCATTCCTGACGATCGTAATCTATTTGATACTTTTTTTTTGATACTTTTGATGATTTAGTTTAATAAAGGTTAACAATTCTCATCATTTGGCCAAGTTTTTAACGAGAAAATCCAGATGGATGTTGGTTCTTCGCCAACCTTTCTGTTTTGAACCAAATCATCTCTTAAGTTTTTAAGCCATTTTTACTAGAATGATTCATAAATCACATATACCCCATTTACACTACCCTTGAAAAACCGTGCCGAGACCGGTCCGAGCTCAGTAACTGAGATAACTTATCGTGTGTAAATGGAAAGCAAATTGAATTGAACCGAGCTAGACACAACCGAACCGAGCTAAATGCAGACCAGTTCCAGAGGTGGGCTCGGCTCGGTTTTTCCCTGGCTCGGTTCTCTGATAACAAGAGCGCTTGAGCAGAACGAGTCATTTCCGTCTGGCTGCACATCCCGATTCACACTCCATTCCAGTAGTTGGCGGTAATGCCCCTCTGGAAGTTGCTTGCCAACCAACACAAAGCAGAAGAAGAAGAACAACTATAAACAAGAAAGGAAATCTTCTCCATGCAACATTTGGGCTCTATTCGAAAACCTAGGACGTGTCCTCCAAGGACGCGGTCTACCTAGACTGGACCCTTCGAAGTCCTTGAAAATAAGGAGACCGGAAGAGTTTAGGCTGTGAATTTGACCAGGTCTACCCTTCGGCGGGTTTTACCGCCGTATGCTCTGTTGCTTAGCAACCGTAAACATTGACACACAAAGCAGGAAAAGAATGAATACAGAAGTTTTCAAAACTGTTTATTTATTTCTTTTTTATTATGAAGTGAACAAAGACTACACTCACAAGAATCCAGAATGGAATAAATGTTCCAACAGCCGGGAGCAGGAACAAATAAAATCAAATGTAATGATAGAAACCTTAGTCAGTTAAATAACATGCTGCTGTCATTCTGCACATCTCTGATGTTGCTGCTACTTTCAAATATCCATCACTGTAAAAATGTCCATAGCTGCATATTGGTTATTTATTTCCCAGTTTTATATTGTTAAAACACTTTACAGTATTGTATTGTTTATATTTTAACTCTTCCCTATTATGTTATTCTCATACATTTTTCTAAGGTCCACATTTGTGTGACCATTTTCAATAATATTTCTGCTGCTGTAAATTTGCCCATTGTGGGACAATAAAGGTATTTTCTATTCTATTCTATAAAAGGGGTAGAAAGATATAAGTAAATCTAAACAATGTATTTATAAAAAATAAATCTGCAAAATCTCTAAAATTCAACAACAAAAAATACGTAGTTAAGCATATTGTGTAAAACATCAATAAAAAGATAAAAATCCTATCAGATTTATAGTCCCCACCCTGCAGATCTATTAGAATCTGTCCTTTAATTCCAGCCAAACCCATTTACACAGTAACAGATTAAAACCTTTAGATAAACCAAACACTACCGCCACATATCTGACTCAATAACCATTAAAGCAACTATTTTTCATTAATCTCAGACGGAACTATTAAATGACTTGTATTATATTAAACTGAACTTCCAATTTTCACCACTCTTCGGCGCCAAGTAACATTTCCTCTGATCGCAGCTTGCTTGGTCTCGTATGGGGCCAAAATGGTAGCTTTAATATTTGCAAATGTGTGTGGAGAGTTGTGTGTCTGTATCTCAATTTGTGTGTGTGCAGTGGGATTTGAAAATGTGTAAATAAATCTGTAAATGTGTGAGGAGATTTGTGTGTCTGTACAACAATCTGCAAATGTGTAAAACTACTTGTGTGTAATCCGTTTTGCAAATGTGTAAAAAATCCACAAATCTGTATTCAGATCTGCAAATGTGTACTGAGATTTGCAAATGTGTAAAAAATCCACAAATCTGTATTCAGATCTGCAAATGTGTACTGAGATTTGCAAATGTGTAAAAAATCCACAAATCTGTATTCAGATCTGCAAATGTGTACTGAGACTTGCAAATGTGTAGATCAATCTGTAAGCACACAGAGACACTTGTGTCTGAAGTATTTTCGCTTCAAGACCCAGAAATACAGACAAATCATTGGTTACAAGTCAAGCGGTTTTTCGGTTGGCTCTCTTTACACACGTGATTTTTGCTACTCTTCTGCCGCGTGAGATGCACAAATGCGTAGAAGGATTTGTATGTGTATTTTTCGCGATTTGTAACCCCTTTCGCAGGCTCGCAGGCTCACATGCTGCCCTGACCGCAGGCTCGCAGGCTCACAGACAGCCTCTCTCTGCTGCGAAAGTTCAGCACAACTTGCTTCACATACAGCCACATACCACCAGTTGGCGGTATTGTACAGTACGTGACGTTACTGGGGTCCTAGGGGTTGTACCTGCTAAGTTGAGAGCAATGGAATCCCGTCAGCTTTCTGTAAGTATATTTCTTTCATTTTTTCTATAGTTTGCATTAGTAAAACTGTTTCTTCTTCTTCTGCTTCTGTTTTATGGCGGTTGGCAAGCAACTTTATGATGTGCATTACCACCATCTACTTCAGTGGAGTGTGGATCGGGATGCTATGTATTTTCCCACTGAAAAATAAAAATAAATATTAACAATATTTACATAAATAAACTTATATCCTTTCTACCAATTTCGTTTTTTCAATAATCATAAGTAGATTTTTTTTCCCCAAAATATCTTGTATATTTAACTGTAATTTATTTTCTTGTAACCCTTCTCTCCATAGAATATTTATAACAAAACAACAAAACATGCTCCACCGTCTCCCCTTGATAACAAAAACCACAACCTCCTGTTCCCATTCTAAATAAGTTTCCATTTAACCCCGTGTTTCCGAAACTTAATCTAGATATAACCTCTTTTTTATTCCTTTCCGTTCTCCTCATTTCACCAATTTTCCTTTGAATACTATAAAGCCAACTTCCAGTTCTATGCTCTTCCCACAGCTTCTGCCATCTTTCCGTAACCTTTTGTTTAATAATAGATTAAATTTTTTCCTTACTGAATGGTATCAATATATCATCCTTGTCACGTCAACTCCCACAGCGGAGGAAAAAAAAAGGTAGAGGCTGTCTGTGAGCCTGTGAGCCTGCGGTCAGGGCAGCATGTGAGCCTGCGAGCCTGCGCAAGGGGTTACAAATCGCGAAAATACACATACAAATCCTTCTACGCATTTGTGCATCTCACGCGGCAGAAGAGTAGCAAAAATCACGTGTGTAAAGAGAGCCAACCTAAAAACCGCTTGACTTGTAACCAATGATTTTTTCTGTATTTCTGGGTCTTGAAGCGAAAATACTTCAGACACAAGTGTCTCTGTGTGTGCTTACAGATTGATCTACACATTTGCAAGTCTCAGTACACATTTGCAGATCTGAATACAGATTTGTGGATTTTTTACACATTTGCAAATCTCAGTACACATTTGCAGATCTGAATACAGATTTGTGGATTTTTTACACATTTGCAAATCTCAGTACACATTTGCAGATCTGAATACAGATTTGTGGATTTTTTACACATTTGCAAATCTCAGTACACATTTGCAGATCTGAATACAGATTTGTGGATTTTTTACACATTTGCAAAACGGATTACACACAACTAGTTTTACACATTTGCAGATTGTTGTACAGACACACAAATCTCCTCACACATTTACAGATTTATTTACACATTTTCAAATCCCACTGCACACACACAAATCGAGATACAGACACACAACTCTCCACACACATTTGCAAATATTAAAGCTACCATTTTGGCCCCATAGTTTCGCAATGAATCCTGGGATATCCAAGAATACAGAGGATACATCAGACCCATCCTTCAAATCGGGCAAAAAGAAGGACGCATTTTAAGGCCGCATAACGAGGACTCTTGGAATCCGACCAGACCTCGGCGCCGCACTATGACGTAATCGGCCTTCGAATCCGGTCTTCTAAGGATGCGTCCTAGGTTTTCGAACAGAGCCTTTGATTTGCTTGATTCCCTCCTTCTTCGTCTTCTTCTTCTTGTGTTTTATGGCGGTTGGCAAACAACTTTTGGCGCATTACCACCACCAACTGCTTGATTTTCTCCTTCAGTACTGGCAGTGTTACCGCAGATCGTTACTCGGAGGCGACGAGTCGAGGAACCGAGATAGCGTGATGTGTAAACGGTCGTCAGAACTGAGCTCGGCCTGGTTAACTGATCCGAGCTCGGACTGGTCTCGGCATGGATCGGTTTTCAAAGGGTAGTGTAAATGGGGTAATAATCACGGTGCTGATTACAGATTTTTTTTTTTTTGTCTTTAAATCACTTACAAGGAATCACAGCAAAAGCAAAAATACCAGATTAAATTTACTGTAAAATGAATTACGGAATAAATAGATGGAAATTTAAAAAAATCTTCCCATGCAATTTATTTATTCTTTTCTTTTATTAGTCTTGGTGTTCATGTAATGAGAAAAACCGTGAGCCTCTAATCTGTTGATGTGTTTTCCAGCAGGTGAGGAGGCCACCCTCTCTCCAGCCAAGCTGGGTAATGCAGACCCCTCCAAGCTGTTGGCCTCGTCTCCCTCCGTCAGCCCGTCCAGAGGATGGATCCCGTCTCCCAGCCATGACCCTCAGTGGTACCCCAGCGACTCCTCTGACTCCACGCTGGGATGCCTCCTTTGTACGTCTGTTTTTACTCAACTTTTTCCTCATCTGGTCATAATTTAGAGTTAATCTAATTGAATTATTTTCAGAAAAGCTTGAGCTTTTTGCATAAGAGAGAATCAAACCTGACAAGCTGTATTAGAAAAACAAACCTTTGAATGCAAATCCTCTTATTTGCTTTCCTGACTGTTCATTGATTCCTCTGCTTTTTTTTTTTACCCTTTCAGCTAGTATGGTTTCCCCTGATAAGAGCAGGCGTACCGCCCTCACCCCCTCCGGCCCCTCGAGCGGCACAGCCCTGCTCGGCCCTAGTCTCCTGGACTGCAATTCCCATGACTCCTTCCAATCCCGTGGCCTTCCTGATGTGGCGGAGGTAAATCTGCACCTTAATTTGAGAAAAGCAATGTTCCTCATCTCGTTTCCTTATTCATACATCCTCAGTTCCTCTCTCCAAGCTATCATCTCACATCTCAGTGTGAGAAAAGATGGTGGCATCCAGCAGGACAGGAGTGACTCATCACTGTTTAGTGTTAAACGCTAAGTGATAGTTTTAGACTTGAATGTTGCTAGGCAGACTCTATCTAATAGGAGATGTTTATGCAAAGTTTGGACTTAAATGTAAGTCGAACAAAGTTGCTGCAGAGGTAACCCCAAAGATCTAAGGCTGTATTTGCATCTAACTCTAGAATATTAAATAGTTTGATTAGTGTGATCTTTATTAAGAACGGAAGAGCTTTTTTAAATAACTAAAATGCCTCCTCTACGCTTCTTAGTAAAATGTTTTGATCCTGTAATGGTTTGGTTTGCAGATGGACTCTCAGCTTGTCTGCATGATGAGTGAGAGCAGCGTGGACTATATCGCTCGCTTCAATGACCTGGCTCAGGAGCTGGCCGTCACCGAGCCCTCCATCCCTCCTCCGTGAGGAACAGAGCCATCTGGAGGACACAAATCACTTTGCCTCCTCTTTGGATGAAAGCTTGGTCTCACCATCAAAGCCATCCCTGCCCTGGAGTATAAGTGCAATAATAACGGTGAAACCTGAGCTTTGGTTTCCCCTGAACTCTTATTTAAGATAAAAAGAAAAAAAACACCCTTTAAAATCAACACTTTAGAGGAATTAACGTGTTTACAAAACACCACCTCATGTACATGATAAATACTATGCCATATCTGAACAAAAGGTTTTCACCAGTCATGTCTCATCCTTTCCTGTATGTCTGTGTTGTTTTGTTTCTACTCTTATATCAGACCCGTAAAATGTGGAAATCCAGCAAAATGTGCAAAACCTGACCTTAAAAGTGGTTAATTTATGTTTTTTAACAAATGGCAGCGAGTAACTGGCTAATTAAGATGAGGTACTCGCTATAATGAAGTTGTAATGTAAAAACCAGCGACAGCATCTTCTCATTGTGCCCACATTTCAGGCGTTATTCATCTCATATCGGTCCCAGTATTTTTGGGTGAGATTCAACAGTGCTCCCTTTGAACTCCCTTTGTTTTCTTACAGCCACTCACCAAATGGCAGCTTAACAATTAACTCTACTGAAGTGATATTTTTGTAGCTACTGGCTTGAAATTACACACAAAAAAAAACATTCATTTCAATAGGATCATTTAAAAAGGCAGTTTTATTTTGGAAGTTGGCCGAAAAGTCAATTTTGGCTTCTTTCTTAACCAAACGCTTGTTTTTCGTGTGTTTTTTTTTCCAGCTCTGGAATACTTTTTAATCATCTAATACTTATCTTAACTCCAACACGCTCCTCTTTTGGCTATGATTACTTTAGTTGTTATTTTCCCTATTATTTCAGATTGTTTTCTGCAGTTAGTTTACGCGTAAAGTGTAAAGGCGTGCAGTCAGAAGAATGTAACTGGATCAAACACTAAAGCCATACTAGCTTTTTAGCTTAACAACTCCCTTAAGATCAACCCCCCTCTGACTGTTATTAAAAACACTATTGCTAACATTAATATGATTGGCTCCTGAACGTCTTCGTCCCTTAGCATTATGTCACTCTGGTTAAAATAACAGCTTCCTCTATCTGTGCAGTTTCCACATACAGTTTTTGCAACATGCATCCTGCTGTTAGCCCAGACTGGGTGCAATCAGGGTTCATACATGCCGTAGTCTTGTCCACAGCATCATCCTACATTAAGAGTGTAAACTACAGGACGGCTTTTTACTATCATTCCACAAAAAGTAATTCAGAATGCTTTGCTTTTCTATTAGCTCATCAGTAGCTTTGAAGTCACAAAATGTAAAAGCTCTGACGTGTGAGATATCTTAGCAGCTTCATTTTGTGACACTAGAGTCTATATAAGGAATAAGAGGCAGGTTTTATATTTTATTCTGAAAGGTTTTTGTCGTTTTTTCTGTTGAAGGATTTGTACAAATGTCAATTCCAAAATTCTCTACGCTTGTGTAACATAATGTAAAATTGATATTTGGACTATTTATTAACATTTCTTAAAGTGTTTTTTTTTTCTGTTTAACTTAATATTAAGGTGGCATCTTAAAAGGATAAACCTGTTTTAAGTTTTGTAAGAGCTGGTTTTATTACATGTATAAAGATAGATGCAACGTCTTGTCTTTTCTTGCCGTTATTGTGTGTCATTTTGATGATATGGGATGGTTTCAATCAGAAGACTACACCAAGACATTAAAAATGGCCCAGAATGTAGCTGGTCTTTGCACTTGTCAATATGCATCACAGGGTGTTCCCTGACTGTTCTGAGCAGGCATAAATCATGCATTAGGATAAAGGTAGCAGCATAACTAAACCAGTACATCGTGTCTTTTCAACTGAAGCAAACATCTATAGCAGGGGTGTTCAAGTCCAGTCCTCGAGAGCTACTATCCTGCAACTTTTTGATGAAACCATTTTTAACACACCTGAATCAAATTTGTGGCTCGTTACCACGCCTCTGCTGAGCTAAAATGAGGGGATTGAGGTTTTAGATTCAGGTGTGCTAGAGAAGAGAAGCATCTAAAAGTTACAGGATGGTAGCTCTTCAGGACTGGACTTGAGCACCCCTGATCTACAGTAACTGACAGGTTTTAGATATGGAGATCCATATGAGATTCTGTGTACAAAGGGCTCAAGCACACACCTCCAAATTGCATAAGAGGCTAGTTGCTGGCAAGTTAAATTATGTCTGGAGATTTATAGGCTGCAGCCTGACTGCACTCAAAAGGCCTGGGAGCAGTGCTTATCGCGCATGACCCATGTATGGAGACCTTAGTCCTCGACTTGGGTGACCCGGGTTCGATTCCAACCTGTGGTCCTTTACCGCATGTCTCCCCCCCTCTCTTATTCCACCTTTCCTGTCAGCCTACTGTCCATAAAAATGAGCCACTAGTGCAGTAAAAAAATAAAAAACTCAAGGCCTGGACGCATATTTAGCATGAAAATTTATTTAAAAAAAACAACAAACAAACCAAAAAAATACATCAGGATTTAGAGCCCGAATATAAAAAGCTTTGCCACAAGATTTCATTGGTTAGAGATGGCAGGCCTTAATCCAATGTAAAGCTGTGAGGGAGACCAGAAACACAAAAAAAAAACTATATTAAGAGTTTAAACTTAATATAGAAAAAATAAAAAAACAATCACATTGTTTAGATAGATCAATTATTAGTATCTGTATTTTATTTGGTAGAATAAACATTTTATATCATTTTAGAAAGGCAGTCAAAATGACTCCATTGAAAATGCTTTCTAGTTTGAAAACACAAAGTTTTTAATATCTCCTTGCTGTTTCTTAAGCAATACAACTTGGTCAGTCAACAGCAATCCGCCGGATGAGGGGGGAGTAGTGATACCGTGAATATGAAAGGTGTGGAATATGGAGCGACTGTTGCAAAAACACCAAGTAGGACCTTGCTCTTAAAATTAATATTTTTCACAAAACTAAACAACAGACTTGCTCAACTAGTCAGACCCAGAACATTTTAACAGGAGTCACACATTATTTAATAACATGCTGCTTTCTCCCAGAACTGGGTCCAGCGTTACCACAGAGCTCAGTGTGTCCACATTTCAAATCCATCCAGTGTCCTGGTCGGGTCTGACTTACTCCAACACAGTCTCCGTTCTGCTGCTGCGGTTTCACTCTTCTTTACGTCTCTGTTCTTTGCGAGCCCGAGACGCCATGAGTTTAAAGAAGAGAGCGGGCCACAGTGTGCGGAGGTAGATGGCCACGGTGGGCACAGGTCCGGCCAGGACTACGTCTCTGCTTTTCTGACGGATGGCCTTCAGAACCGCGCCGGCAACATCCCTGGGGTCCCAACCTGACGCTGTGGTTTTATCCAGAACTGCCAAGACACATAAATAGGGAGTTTTAGTGCAACTAAAACAGGAAACAGTCAAAAGACTGGCTTTGAAGTTCCTATTAAACCATTTGAAAGCCTCATCACAAGAAGTTTTTTCATGTTGAATATATTCCTCCCTCTAATAAGGTACAGTTTGCTCTTTTTATGCCTCACCTCCATATTTGGAGCCATCTCCAGTGACAGCATTGAGTGACAGGTTGGTCCGGATGTACCCAGGGCTGATTACCGTCACCGGGATCCCAAGGTGCTCGATTTCTGCCCGCAGGCAGTCAAAATAGGCCTGAGTGGCATGTTTAGATGCTGCATCTGGTCATAAAAAAAAAAAAAAGAAAATTAGTGATGCTTTACTTAAAAAAGTTCTGAAGGAGAATTTAAAACAGGCAACTTACAAGCAGATCTGTAAGGAATGGCTATCTTTCCCTGGACGCTGCTGATGACAACAATGTGACCGCTGCGTCTCTGAACCATTGAGGGCAGGAGAGCTGAGAAGGAAGCAACAATCACATTTAATGAAATTTAAATCATATGATGGACTAAAAACGTACAAAAAAAGGGACATTTTTTAATCTGAAGTTGATTGAAAAAAGGGCATCAAATTGAGTCAATAAAAGCAATTTAATTGGCAAAAAAGAGGTGGGAGGGGCTGATGAGAGGAGCTGAATGCAGCAGGGAATTCCTTAAAAAAGAAATTCTTTAGGCTTCCAGCAGGACCACAACACTAATCCTAAAGACAGAACCAATGGCATGGTTCAGGTCAAAACAACTAAATAAATGATCAAATTGCGGTTATGATTTATCTAAATGTGAATAACATCCATATTCCTCTATGATCTGTTGCCGACCAATAAACATAACAATGACAGGGACATGAACTCCTTACCAACCTTGAGTGAGAGCGATGGGGCCAAAGTAATTGGTCTCCATCACATCTCTTTGAACAGACATGTTGGTGTCCAGAATGTTGCCACGATAACTGATTCCTGCGTTATTGATGAGGACATCAACATGTCCATAACATTTTAGGATCTCTTGTGCAGCTTTTTCCACGCAGTCCGCTTTGGCCAGGTTGAAAACAACAGTTCGGGGAGCAAAGGTCTGTTGGGTACAGAAAATGAAGACAATAAATCCAATCAAGTTATTCCCTTCTAGAAAAACCCTGAAAGTAACGCACCTGGCTCTGACCATCTGCTGGGCTTACACTGAGCTCCTGTACCACCTCCTGCAGGCGAGCTGCATCTCTTCCACATAACACAAGCCGAGCTCCTGCAGCGTGGAAGACTCGTGCACACTCTACATAAAAAAATCAATTGGTAGGAGACTGTACTTATCATTTCAATGGAAACTAATAGTGACGGACCAACCTTTTCCAAGCCCAGAACTGGCTCCTGTGATGACCACCACTGCACCATGAACTGAAGCCCCCCGTCTGAGTCGGACTAGTATGCGGTAAAGCAGTAAGACGCCCACACTCGTTAAAACCAAGGGAAGCATTCCTCCACCCATGATGCGCTCCATGGCGGACTCTTTCTGCTCCTCACAAAATATCTGCAGTCACAAACCAGCATCATTTGTAGGTTTTTTCCAACAGTAACCATCAGGGCATTGAGGGACACAACATGTTAAAGCAGACATTTACATGAATTAGTCAATAAGCTACACAGGAAAAAGATTTTCTTTAGTAACAAGAACTATTCATACAGTGCAAAACGTTTATAAAGAATTATTCAAGGTCATAAAGGTCTCAATGCCTCAAGTCAAAGCCACTCAGAATGTGTCGTGGTGGCGCGTACCCTGAGCGTCTGTAGCATAAGTCTCCAAAAAACTAACTTATCCAATTCCTTTGCAGTTCCATCTGGGTAAATCCTGGAGAATGTCAATATATCTAAGAAAATATCCACTTTATGAAGAAATAAACATTCCTGCTTATTGCCATTCAGAAGCAAGTGGTGGTAACCCAATTCAGTAGCTGAATTCTCTGCCCCTCCAGCTGGTCTTTTCTGAGCATTAAAACATTCTCTTTCCTTCTTAATGACTGATATTCACAGCAACATCCTGTCGGTCTCTGATGCCTTTTTGATGCATAACAGCAAGCATGGTTCATGACAAAGGAATGATAGCAGCACTATTTAAATAAACAAAAACATTCTTCACTACTTATACAATGTAATCATGTCAGCTGCCCTTTGCTCATCACCACTTTCATTTAACTTTTCATTTATTTCCACTTTGATGACTCTTCATAGCAGCTTGATGCAAACTGTCAAACAGTAAAATGTAAACAAGAGCTCTGATCATCTTAAGACTTTGGGCTAAATCATTTTACACAGATATTTCTCCGGTGCGTTATTTACCTAATAAATCAACAAGCTAGCTAACGTTTATAATGCAAACAACCCCTGAACACTATAATATATATAATTCCACCATTGACTCACCTGAATAATTTCGAACAGTGCAGAGAAACATGGGTTTCACTGAAACGAAGCACTTCCTGTTTGAGAAGAATGTTTCTACACGAGCTTCGCGTGTTGCGCACAGCTTCCGCACAGGATTATGGGAAGCGTAGTTTCACCAAACAAGCGACCTTTTTTCCAACAAGCTGGGTTTTCTGGTGCTTTAAAATTTAAAAGCATAATATTAAGACATTATTATTTAATTTTTATTTTATTTATCATCCTAAGAAAATTTCTTACAACTCTGCTCCTCCCAAACCTTTTTTTTTTTTTTTACTTTATTTATAAAAGAAACCAATAGTGTACAAAGAGGTACAAACATTACAACATGGGTAGAGGAAAAAAAAAATAAACAGAACATGGGGCTAAAAACAAGAACATATACATAAACAATAAGAATGAATAAATATAGAGCAAGATTTAAAACAAAAGAAAAGTAGAAATACTGGCAATTACTTTTTTTTGGCAGAAGCAGACTTCAAATGTTTTAATGAGGTGTAATACCATTTAAATTGGTTAGGAAAAAAATTCAAAACAAGGAGTAGAACCTCTCCATTTAGATCAATGTATATGATATTTGACAAGCAAGGAAACAATATGAACCATATCTGAAATTTTACTATCAAGGTCATAAACTTTAAACAACACGTGGGTGATTGTTATTTCTTGGATGTCCTTAATTTTAAGGGACAACTAATTTTTGATGTGTCTCCATAGTTTAAAATAAAAGGAACATGAAAAAAAAAAAGATGATTAAGGGATTCATCCGGACATTCACAAAAGGCACAGCATGTTAAATCAAATTGAAATCTTTTGTGCAAAAATTCTTCCACTGGGTAAATATTGTGCGAGATTTTAAAGTGAGTCTCTTTAACCTTTGGTGAAACTGGCCATTTAACAAACACAGAGAACGCCTTCTCAAATAAGGGCAAATTAGCTGTTGTCAAAAAACTATTATAGTAATCATTAAATAATTTAGATTTGAAGGCAGTCACAAGCATAGCATTATTTGTTCCTCCCAATCCTGCACGGTTGGGATGCTTCGTTTACCTACAATATCAAATCAACCAGTCTCTTTCCAGGAACTAGTTTGGCAGTTAGAAGTCCAAGAAATAATTAACCCCTCATTCTGGCCCTGCTTTGCAAACATTGTTTCCCAGAATCGATCATTCCTCGTGAAGTCAAAAGAGGAACAACATGGGGGCAGTGCTACTATAATTAGAGTGTATAACAGGATTATAATTTAATCTAAACTTAGGAGGAAATGTAACCACTCTGCATCTTCCTCCCTTTTTAACATCCATCAGGTGATGTGTAGCAAGGCTGAGTCCTCAGGCCCGAACATGTCAGGTATAAAAAAATGGAAAAACTAGTTTGCAAATCTTGCTAGCCTTGACTTTCACCTTTTTTTTATTAGAAAACTATACCTAAGAATGCAACTAAGCCAAATGCATGCAATTTATAAGTGATCAAAACTAAATTGTAATTTTACACCAATTTTGACAAATTTTTTCCTTTTGATTTGCTCCTGATTCTTAGTAAAAGATGAAACTGACTATCAGTTACAAAGTCTGTCAAATATCGTTATACACATTCTCACCAACATATAGCATCTTTAATAATAATAAAACTTTTTTGATCTCACATTGAGGCTGCTCAGCAGTGCAGTGGGCAGCACTACGGCCTTGCAGCAAAAAGGTTCTGGGTTCGATCATGGCCCACGGTCTTTCTGAATGGAGTTTGCATGTTCTCCCTGAGCTTGCGTGGGTTCTCTCTGGGTACTCCGGCTTCCTCCCACAGTCCAAAAACATGACTGTTAGGTTAATTGGCTTCTCTAAATTCTCCTTAGGTGTTAGATTGTGAGTGAGTTTGTTTCTGCGTTGCCCTGCAACAGACTGGCGACCTGTCCAGGGTGTACCCCGCCTCTCGCCCACTGACAGCTGGAGATCGGATCCAGCACCAGTGACTCATGAACCCACTTGGGATTAAGAGTGTTATACTGGAGAAATTGACCTCTGAATTTAACCCATCTCCTTGGGGAGCAATGGGCTGCCATATTGGGGTGCCCGGGAGCAATCAGGGGTAAAGGGTCAGAGCGGCAGTCTGTGGGAGTGGGTTCTGAACTCACAACTTAATGATTCCAAGCTGTATGCCCTAGCCACTACTCCCCTTATTTTGGGCCTTTTTCTGATTATTTGGAAATATTCTTTTAGCAGGGTGGGGTAGCTTAAAATGTGGATTTGGAAGTCACTTACCTTCATTTTTACCTACATCTTGTGCATTGCACCAATGCCAATGGCAGCAAAAGAGATCCTAATCATGATGCTGCCACCGCCATGCTTGACAACTGGAACAGATTAGGTTTGAAAGGCTTAACTTAAATCCTAAAAACATTTTTTTTCTTGCAAATTCCAGTTGATATCTAAGGTGTAGATTTTGAAGCAGGGCTTCTTTATGGATATGTGCCATCTGAGTGCATTACAACGATAAAGTGGCCATTGATTCTCAGGTTCAGGGCAGGCTTGACGCTTTGGTGGATACTGGGAATTTCAGAACATGCCTTTTTCGTGCCTCTCCCTGAAGGTTTCTGTCAGATGGTTAAAAACTGGTTCTAGACTTTAAAAACTGAAACAAGTAGCTTGCAAGGTGAATACGGTTGAGTGTGATGACATATGAATTCAGGAAGATCAATAAAACATTAACAAGTATGCACTCATTTTCTTTATGTAAATCTGTTTTTACAAAGAGTTCAGGTCGATTCTCACAAGCCCAAAGTTATAACTAGATTATATACTGCTCCAAGAAATAAAGGGAACACTCACATAACGCATCATAGATATGAATCAATGAAATATCCTCACTGAATACTTTGTTGTGTACCAAGTTGAATGTGCCGACATCAAATCACACAAAAATTATCACTGGAAATCAAATGCTTGAACCAATGGAGGCCTGGATTTAGAGTCACATACAAAATTAAAGAGGAAAAACACACTAAAGGTTGATCCAACTTTGAACAAAATGAGGCTCAGTATTATGTGTGGCCTCCACATGCCTCTATGATCCCCCTCTCCCTGGGCATGCTCCTGGTAAGGTGGTGGATGGACTCCTGAGCGATCTGCTCCAAGACCTGGACTAAAGCATCCACAGTCTCCTAGACAGTCTGTGCTGCAACATGACGCTGGTGGGGTCTAACATTGTCCTGTAGGAACCCAGGAGCAACTGCACCAGCATATGGTCTCACAAGGTCTCTGAGAATCTCATCTTAGTACCTAATGGCAGTCATGCTACCTCTGGCTAACACAAATGGCACAAAGACATGCCATTCCACACCATTACTGACCTACTGCCAAACTGGTCATGCTTAAGGATGTTGCAGGCAGCAGATCGCTCTCCACGGTGTCTCCAGACTGTCACTTGTTCTCAGTGTGAACCTGATTTTATCTGTGAAGAGAACAGGGCACCAGTGGCGAATTTGCATATCCTTGTGTTCTCTGGCAAATGCCGAGCGTCCCGCACGGTGTTGGGCTCTGGGCACAACCCCCATCTGGGAACGTTGGGCCCTCATACCATTCTATGGAGTCAGTTTATCCTTTGTGGAGACACACGTACATTTGTGGCCTGATGGAGGTTATTTTGCAAGACTGGCAATTCTCCTCCTTATTCTCCTTGCACAAAGGCAAAGTTTGAGTCCGTCTCATGCTACCACGGGTATGAAATCACCAACATTCAAAAATGACCAAAACATCAGTGAGAAAACAAAGGTACTGAGAAGTGATCCATTATCCCCACCTGCTGAACCACTTATTTGAGTTTCTCCTGATAATTACTCATATGGCTTGTGAAATTAAGTGGCCAGTTTGATTTCACAGAAGTTTGTTTTAATTCTATTTATTTTGTGTTGTTTGCGTTACCTTTATTTTTTGAGCAGTGTTTATATTCTGTAACTTGAACTAATGAGTGGATATTAACCGTTTTAAAAACGCTGTAACTGTTTTGACTTTAACTCTTTTCTTTTCACAATGGACAATTAACTTAATTTGATCATCTATAGAAAAAACCAACAATTTCAGGCCATACTTCTGTTTTATTAATTCAGTTTTTGCATTTCCTGCGAGTTCAACTGATTGTTTACAGACCAGTGTTGTGCAAGGAGCAGTTTCCATGTTGCATTTCCCTTGATGTTAACGTGACGTACATGTTAAGAGGAGCTGAAACAGCTACTCATGTGATCTTAATTAGATTTATTAAAACCAGTCCAGGACACCAGAACAGTCTTAAAATCAGATACTCTCTCTTTTCCCAAAGAGAATTCATTTGACGTTAAAGGAAAATAAAATACGGAAAAGTTTGAAATATCCTAATGTTTAATGAAACTGTGGTGCAATGATCAGTGACAAAGGGGTACAGCAAACTTTGAGGGTAAGGAGAAAGCCTGGCACATAAAAACACATCGTCCCATTTCAAATCCAAAGCGATTCAGTCCAGAGGACCTGCAGCCATTCCTTGTAGCTCTATCCCATTGGTTATGGGAATAAAGGTGGGGAAGACAGGGGGAGGTGGCGCACAAGAACTATGTGCTGTAGTTGTCACTTAGAAGTAAAAGGAAACATACGGGAAAAGAACTTCTCTCTAGTTTTAACTATATCCCTCTGATCAGAGTTTACATGAAGGTGCCCACCACGTGTGGAGGTAACGGCCGAGCTTGTCTTACATCCGGGAGGGTGGGCAGGTTCTGTTTTCATGGTTGTTTTTTTTTCCTGTTTTCATGGTTTTTGATTTCTCTTCAGAGTGCACTCATACCGCATAGAGTTCATAGATCTTCTTGACGCAATACGCCAGAGCAGCCAGTGCTATCGTGTTATGGAGTCTCTTTCTGTGGACGTCGTCCCTGCGTACCAACACCACGGGCGTCGATGAGGTCAGTGTATGCAGGGGCAGCCGTGAGAGTTTTTGGCTGTCGTATTCCACCTGGTACTTGCAGCAGGGGTCGAACTGCCACGAGATGCCATAGAGTGCGGCGCAGGCCACGCTGAGGGCGCCGGCAGGCAGCGCCACGTAGCGCGAGTACTCGACGGGCAGCGAGAGCGGCGTCAGAAGGCACGCGGTGCCCGACAGCACGGCCGTCTTGTGCAGGCAGTTCCCCACCGTGATCCAACGGGCCGTCTCATCGCCGATCCGCGTGGGCTCGATGACGATGTATTTGTACTGGGCCTCCAGCGCCTGCTCCAGCTCATATTCAAACTGGTCCTGCGCATTCTCTCCGTTGTAGATCTCGTGCACGATGTAGCAGTCTGACGCGGCCATTACTCCCCTGCGCAGAAACATATGGAAGGCAACAGTGAGTCGGTAGGATAACACTGCAATTCTACAGTAACAACAAACAGGATTCATTTACAGCTACATTTTTTGGCCACCAAGTTTTTTTTGTTTCCAAGGCGAGCAAACATGGCCGATCAGCAGCAGTAATATCTTCTTGCTTTGTATTTTGTTAAATGTTTTGTGAATCTGGGAGCTCTTTCACTCTTTGTTTTCATACAGTGAAGATCTCATGTTGACTCAAGAAGATTGTGAATGAATTTAAGCTCTTGAAAAATGTTTTAGGGATTTTTTAAATTATTAATTTACCAAAACAAACAGGACGCTCTTCCTTCTTAGATTCTTGCACTCTGTATTATTATGTCACATGTTTACTTGGTCACTTCTATGAACTCAGAGGCATTTCCTCTGTCCTTCAGTCATTACTCAATACCAGTCTTTCATGCTTTATATTCAACCCTTTTTTTTATTCTTAGCCCCCCCCACACACACACTTTGCTTTCAAATATCTACAGTTGTAAGGTGAAATAAAGTATTTTGCATTCCAACGATTGTATATGAAAATGTCTCATATACAAAAATCAACAGATTCAACTTTCATTTTAAAGGGGTTTTCAAAGAAAATACCACAAATCATTTGTTTGTTAATTATTAAAAACGCAGGGAACTATTCATGTTATTAATACTAGAAGAATAACCTATTAAAAAACCTAAAGAAAGAAAGAAACACTTAAAAAAAATGTGTTTTTCAAACAAAATAAATTACATACATTATAAATAAATCCTTACTTACTAGCCCTACATTAAAAGATGCAGTTTATTATGGGCTTCTAATTGACAATTTTAAACATAAGTTCTTTAGAAGTAAGAACTTTGAGGTTTCACATCAACCTTAAAATCCAACATGGCTGCCTTGGTGTTAAAAGTCACAGCTTCAGCAAAATTAAGTCATCTGCACGTCTGGTTATTTTCATTGTATTTAATCATTTACCTACAGTACTAGTGGGCCTACCGGTATTGAAATGCTGTTTGTAAATGTAAGATGTTGAGAAATGCATCCTTATTAGCTTTGTATTGTGATAAAAAGTTAATTGAATACCCAAGAAACCTATTAGCATGCACTACTGGTGTTCAAACCTAGAAGTGGAATACTGCTAAATCTGGTTTGATGGGATTACAAGATCCAAGGTTGGATTTCATAAAAAGGAGTTCTGGAAATTCAAAGCTTTCTGATGAAACATCAGACATCACTACATTTTATTTATACAAAAAAATAAAAGAATAAATAAAGCCTTCAGCAGTTTCATAGCTGCAGGTGACTGCATGTTCAGTTTTCTTGCAGTCATAAAGCCAATTTAGATTTCTTTGTCAGAAACACACGCCCTTAAAATATGGCATCCAAGGAGCCATTTTTTTTATTTCAACATTGCAAACATTGATAAAGCAATAATAATTGTAGCTATATACCCTAAGCAAATGTTTTTTTTTTTAAACATTTTATAGCTTTATTTTTTAACCAAACACAAAAACGTTTAACAGTTGTGCAAACAAGTGAATCTCAATTCAACAGCTGACGCCAATAAATATAAATTGCAAATGTATATATATTTCAAGCAATCACATCTGATCACAATAATGGGGATACCCATAATCAAATTTGTATATTAAATATTCAAATATATAAATACATCAGTGGACAGTTAAGCTGGCTCCTACATTTTCGTGACACTATCAAACTCTGTTGCATTTAAATTTATTCCGCAAACTCTCTGCTGAGGAAATGTCAAACTCTCCACAACAAACGCTTAAAACCTAACTGAAGTTAAACTCCAGCGAGTTATTAATCACGTCTTCATTTAGGGCGGTTGCTTTAAATCGTCGCAGTCTTCCGTTACCGGGGACATGATGTCCCTGAGAAGCGGATGAACAGTCCGCCTGCTTGCTCAAAGTTTGGACGACTGTCCAGTTAAGTTCAGGACCGTTGTACTTTTCCAGCCGCGGACTGTCTTAGCTCAACCAAACTTCTTACCTAGAGTCCCCCGGAACATAAAACCAGTTTCCGAATCAACCCGAGTAAAAAAAAAATCTCTTTTAGCCACATTTTCCGCGATATCCCTGAAACTATCCAAATATCACATGAGCAGCTAGTTTGTTTCTCTGCTAACCACGGCAGCTAAAGACAGCTAACCATGGCTGAAAAAAAATACTATTTCTGTAGTTGGCGCGAAACTTTTGAAACGCAAACAAAGTGCGTGATAAAGAACTGGGTATGACATCGACAAAACTGTATAACCTGCAAAAAATACATTGACTTTAAGGCCAAAATTTGGAGCAACTGACCTCTCCCTGCTTACTGGGACACCGCGCCTCCTTCCCAGCGACGCCATGTTGGAAGATACGGCTGTGATTCCGTTTGACGTAATAGGTCGCTCAGCATTATGGGTGTTGTAGTATCTAAATATCTGCAAGTATGGACACTGATACGTTGATAGACTACAGCTCCCATGAGGCTCCAGGGTCACGTGTACATGCTGTACGTATTTTGTAACAAGTTTGAGAGGTCAGGCGAGATATTTGTATAAATCTGTCAAACAACAATACAAATAAACGTATCTTATTAAAATAATTCTATCTAATTTACACAACCTATTTAAGAATAAAATAATACAATAAATCTGTTATCATACAAGTAGGAGAAGGAAGTCCGCCAAATATAAGACTAATATATCGTTATTACCGTTGTTTGATTGGATTGCGAGTTTATGAGTGTATTTCTGAACACTCATCCATGGGGTGCTCTGTGGGGCTCTGTGCGCCTTTCGTAACTTGACGCCACTTGGATGTAAGAAAGATAAAGCCTACGTTCAGGAATGTGAGGACGCTTTGAACCACATGCGGTCTGCGCAGCATGACGCACACATCCCGTATCAATACAAATGGAACCTCTGGAAATATTTATTAGTGGTATATATATATATATATATATATATATATATATATATATATATATATATATATATATATATATATATATATATATATATATATATATATATATATATAGCTGAAAGGATTTAAAGGTCTGATTTAAAGCCAGTTGGACATTGTACTCATAATGTATGAGTTAAGTCACAATTCTCAAAATTTGTTGACAAGATGTTAATATTTATTTTATCCTATTTTTATTTATTTTTTTTTTGCAAATTACATAATTTTAGTTGACAACAGCTGTAAGAAAGGTCATATAATTTTCTTTTTTTCTTTTCTAGTTTTACTTCAAATTATATAAAATTATTTCTGTTTGCTAAAACCATAGTAGGTTTTAGTTAAATTTTTAACGTTATGCTCTCTCTGCTTTTTCTCATTACCTTTGCCTCATCTGTTTCTGTTTGGCTGTGACATCATCCTGGAGAGAAATATCAGCTGTGCTGCTGCCATCAACACCTTTGTTTATAGATGTTGGAGATCTGCCTGTTTTCCAGGGTATTCCTGTTTCTCTGACTGTGACTGACTGGATGTGCACTCTTCATCCTCTGACATGGGAGTCTGCATGGCTGCGTGTTTCCTGGATGGGGCCGCCTTTTACAGTTGCTTTTTGTATCTCTGCTTCTGTCTCCTGGAAGCCCAGCCGGTCTTGGCAGATGGCTAAAAACACTGATCCTGGTTCTGCTTAAGGTTTCTTCCTGTTAAAAGGGAGTTTTTCCTCTCCATCGTCGCTACAAGCATGCTAAGTGTGAGGGATTGCATTTGAGTCAATGGGTCAATGCAATTAACTGGTTTTCCTTAGATAGAAAACTTTGAATCAATTTGACTGTATGATCTGGTTGAACTGTAAAGTGCCCTGAGATAACTTGTGTTGTGAATTGGCGCTATAGAAATAAACTGAATTGAATTGGATACAGAAAACCTTTTTGACACTTTTCCGAACATTTATTCCGTCATTGTGTGATACTAAAACTTCATGACTTGGATTAAATGTTTTGGGTTTTCTTTTCAAACCTTTTTAATAGTTTTCTGATAATGTGGACCTTTTTTTCCTGACAGAACAGTTGAAGCTGAGTCATGAGTCATGCAGCTCGCCCACACACCTTCTCCATGCTTTTCAATGGTGCACCTGTCTCTCCTACAACAAAATTAGGCCAACATTATGTTAATGCAGTTCTTTAGTTTGCAATCTACCCCCTTTATCCACTTTTTTTGATTTGCAAACTCTAATCAGGCTTTTATGTTACTTTAGGAAAATTGGGCTAGTTTCAAATTCCATATCTACTCTAGGCATCTTCACAAGCTCGCAAGGTTATCATCGAGTGTTCAAACTGCAAATTTTTATCTCTGTGACACACAAACTGCTCCCTTCCTGAAGGGTGTGATGCGGGGCGTGTTGTTGCATAAACCTAACTTGTTAAGAACCAACAGATTATAGCCTTATCTTTTTACACAATGTCGCACATGAATGTGTTTCAGGTGGGCTTTGATTTTACAAATTATGATTCCTACCATTATGATGGTTTTTTTTTTTTTTTTGTTATTTGCATGTTTTAGCAAAGACCATTAGAACTTGCAGACATTATAATCCAAAGACAATCGTTTGCACCCAAATTTTATTTAGAAGTTTCAAATCAAAGGAGATTTATACAATCTATTGTTTTTTTTTAGAAAGTCAAGCCAACCTAAATCCTTAAAAAAAAAAAAAATTATTTTTAAGTAAGGGACAAGAATCAGAATAGGAACATAAAATCATAGGCCGCTTCCCTACCTGATGTAGTTCTCTATGCTGCCACAAGTCGGCGTCAAAATAGGGAGATAATATTATGCAAAGGTTAACAAAAACTTCAGATCAATTTTGATGATGAAATAAAGTCTATCGATTTTTCTTTTATTTTTCTGTTATATTAATCTAAAGTAGAGCGATGTTAATATTACTGCTGATGATAGAAGTGTAAAACATTACGGCCACTTGACAATGTGATACCAAATTACATATGGGTTTTGCAAAGATTTCTAGTTAAATTTCTCACTAAGGTATATGTGTGATCTTGATGAATAGTTACAATTGTTCATCACAAATAATGCAAATAATATATCTATATTTAAAATATAGTGCATTGACACAAATGTTTAATTCTTAGATGTCACAGTGTTGTATCTAAATATATTATAAGCCAATGGATACATTTGAAAAAATTGAACCTAGGAAATAAACAATAGTTCTCAATTTGCTTTGAGTTTGTGATGCAAACACTCAGTAGTTTCTTCCTGCATGTTATTAGATCCGTCTGTTCTGTGAAGGCCTCAAAGTTCTGTTAGTGAACATTGGTGCAGCACAAACGCATTGCTGAGACAAAAAATAAAAGTTCAAAATTACCACAAGTCCCGCAGGAAATACAGTGAACGGGTTTAAGAAGAATCACTGGTCAGATAAGGACTAGATCAGAGTTTTAAGTTTAAACAAAATCCTACTGTAAATTTAGCCAAAGAAAAACAAAAAACCTCCTATAGTTAAGCTGTCATTAATATAACAAATGCTGGATTTTTTAGCTGTACATGACATTATATGCTACATATAATAAATTAGCAAGCCATTCTCAAATAATACACTACTGAGCAAATAATCAATTAACTGGTCTGACCAGAAACATCTTCTATTGAAAGATCATTGATGATGCACTCAAAACACCTAAAGTTAAATCTGTCTGGACACTGATTTAGGTTTAATTAGAGCATGGAGGCCAGCTGGTAGGATAGCAGTTTTTTCTCCAGAGTCTTTGCTTACCATCACCAAAACAGGAGACACAGAGAAGTTTATGTAAAACAGACTTTGTTTGGATGGAATCATTCAGTTTTTATACTTTCTTCCCAGAAAAAAAAAGTCTCAGGAGTTCAGAAAATTATTCATTTAAAGAATGAAAGAAAAAAAAACACAGCAAAGGGCTCTGATCAGTCACATCAACAGTTAATAAGGCTGGATGAATTTGAAAGCCTATATTGAATGGTGCTTCAAATATTAAACTCATTAATTTCTTTATTTTTTTAATTGACATTCATGTGCAGCATTTCAATGTCCTGAATTTCTAAACCTTTCTGCCTTATTCAAAATTAGTGAGGTTTTTCCAAAGATCTCCCTTTTACTCCATTACCTCTAAATTGTACCATCATTAAAAGCATTTGAGAATCTCTATAACTGGATTTTATTAAGGCAGAATTAAAGATTGCTCTATAAAAACATAGCCTAATTCTTTACATATTTTATTATGAAAACGATGGATAATTTTCTTTCCACTTTTCAAGCAAAAGTGACTCACTGTTGGTCGACCACATAAAATTCATACATGGTCATGTGAAAAAAATATAACTAAAGGAAAACATTTGCATTGCACTCCGAAAATACCACCCCATTTCTTTCAATTTAAAGTCGCTATAAACACTTTTGAACAAATCTACATACCAACAGATGACGATGAGTCATTTATTCAGAACAAGTAGAGAAAAAACAATATCAAGTATAAAACAGTGTAACAGGAGCACTGGGACATATTCGTTTGACAGGCATTGTTTTAACAAAACAAGACAAATATTACAGAAAACACCCAAAGAAACTCATAAAATAGAGAAATAATGCCTCGGCTGGTTCAGAGCTTTATGCCACCAAAACAAAAGGTATAAAAGGGGCGTCGTTATTGCAGTTATTAGTAGAGAGTGTGGAGTTAGCCTGAGGTATTCGTCTCCTCAACACTGGAGATTGTCTACAGCAAAAGTTCAATTTCTCTGTATATTTTCAGGTAGAGAAAAGAAAATTTCCCTGAATAAGAGAGCGAGGATTAACAAACCTTAAGCAATAGAAATGCCCTGAATCTGCACGGTCACTGATGCTGAATTTAAGCATATATAGAACACCCTACGGAAAGGTTAAATTGCACAGGTAGCAATGCCTGTAACTTGGGGTTTATCTCGCATCCCGTTCAGGGTGGAGATAAGCTTAAGCTCCACTTTACATAGACAGCACCTTTAATCAGAAGATGTATCAATTTAGGACTCATTAAGACTAGAATAAATTGATGAATTAAAAATATTTGTATCACTAATGTATGGTTTTGGCGATTATGAAAAAAACGTCATAGCCACATATTTAGAAGGCCTTTTTCATAAGAGAACCTTCAGCAACAGAACGCTGCACAACTGAAATGTTTTCTGAGAAAGGGGAATATTGTTAGACAATGAGAAGTAAAATTATTTTAAAATGTTATAAACTGCTTTTCATCCAAATACTAGGAAAAAATAACATAAAAAGGTCTGATTGGTGTGTTCAAATGATGACATTGACATGAAACCAACATTTGCTTCATGTCAGCAGCGGGAAAAGGTCCTGGAAGCTCCGGCTGCCACCATTGGTGGCTTTTGTCTTTTTAAGTCCATACTCCATGATTAGCATCAGAACTCCGCCTCCATCTGAAAGTCCGGTTCTGCTTTGAGATACTCAGCTTTCGCCTGGTTTAGCTTGGAATGATCCTTGGGAGGTATGCTGCTTTGCATCCTGAAAAAAAAAAACAAGAACTCCCACCCAAAGCATGCCGCCACACCATCTCCATCTTCGAGTCTTTTTGGTGTCATGTGGGGTCATTGATAGATGTGTTCAAAGTACTTAGGTTGAGGGTTCTCCTTGACATATTTCTGGATGTACCAGCAGGTCAGATGAGCCTTCAGGTCCTCCTCCACCACAAAGTCCATGGCTGCCTGAAATGACAACAAATGAGAGGCACAGTTTAACATATTGTTATCACAAACGTTTACTTGTTGAGCTTGCTGAATGCTGTAGGAATTCAAATTCAATTTATGGAGAGTCACCGTATGCTGAGCCCAAAGCTGTGGGTCTGCTTCCCCAAAGCCCACCGAACCATGTAGAAAGGGAAGGCATCATTTTTTAAAATATTAAGCTATTTTAAATGAGAAGTAGGGGGGTTCTCTTAGAAATTGGAAAGTGCCATTTCATTCAGTAGAAAACAAGTCTATAACATCTGCCCAGATCCAGCTTTTTTTTTTATTGTCATTATACCCTCACAAGTACAGAGCAACAGAAATAACTCTCTGCATTTAACCAATCCCCTTGGGGAGCAGTGGGCTTCCATTGTGTGGCGCCTGGAGAGCAGTGTGGGGTCAAAGGGCAGATTAGACTTCTGCAAACCGCACACATCAAATGTTGCTTGGGTCTGGTCATGAACCAGTTTTGCTGGTATGCTTCTGCACCATCAGTCTGGAATTTCTAGGGATGCACAGCAGTTTCCAGCCAAAGTGCAAGGGGGAGCCTATTCGAGAACTTGCGAGAAGTTCTGAACCTCCTGGATTAACCCTTTCGTTGTAGTTGTCCATTGTAGTTGTAGTTGGTTTTTAAAAATGGCCCGGCACCAAATCGAGAAGGACGACCACACAGACAGCCGGAATAACATAACAAGGACCAATCACAGCTGCTTTTTGTCTGCAAACTTCCTCTTAAGGTCTGCGCGGGTTTGCGACCGTCCAAGGGGTAGTTAGGATTTCTTTTGATATGCGCGACGACGGTTGCAGAACCTCTGCACAGAAATATATTTGACTGTTGCAGAGGCTATGCGTCAGAAGCAAAAGTTGGCCTTAATGATCTTTTTGCTTAGGGACCCAGAGTGGCAGTCTGTGGGAGTGGGGCTCGAACTCAGAACCTCAGGATTCCAAGCGCAATGCCCTCACCACTAGGCCTCCACTCACCCTAAAATCATCAATATCTTTGGGGTGAGCTGAAGAGAAGAGGGTAGAGCAGAAAAATCCTAACCTTGGAGGTTATAAAAAACATGTCAAAGGAGAAATGCAAAACTGCCCCTTCCCCACCTGTTGCTGCACCATGCTGGTGTCGTGCTTACAGGAAAGACAAAAAAACAGTTTGTCAAGAATAACTTTTGGTCGCAAAACCCAAAAAACTAGCAAAAATGAAACAGTTTAATCTAGAATTTGAACCTTGGCCAAGTGTTTGGCGATTCCTCTCCCTCTGTAAGCATCTGGAACTTCTGTGTGCTGTAAATCCACCGTCTTCTTCCCAACATATTCATAGAGGAGGACCGCTCGATCATGGGACCCTGAGAACACACACATTCAAGGGTTATTGTTTCGATGACTAAAACCAAGAAAATCAGATTATACAAGCTGCACGAGGAGAGAAAAAAAGCTGTTTTAGAACATAAACAAAGCATAAATATAGAACAAAATGAAACAAAACCAGTCCCTGCTGAACAATGAGAAAGGGATCCTTAAGGATCATCAATCACAGCAATGGAAACAATAGATTGAGCAACATGTTTAAAAAAAGAAAAACCCTCAAACAGCAAGTACATAAAAAAAAAAAAAAATAGGCAGGACAAAATGATATTAGGATTAATAAAAAAAATATGATATTTGACAAATATAGAGGGAGCTGGTTTAGAATGTTACAGAATCAAAAAAACAACAACATATTCAATGCATTTGTACCTAGTCCTGCAGAGCCTCCAGTTTTTTAGAGAAATAATGTCTGATCTAAGTTAATGATTGAGGTTATTACTCAAAGGGTCAGATGTCTTCTCCCCTGAACTGAACCAGGCAGCTGTGCCTGAAATGGCAGCTGGAGTCCTTCACAAGGAGGACGACAACAATGTTAGCAGAGCAGGAAGCTAACATTGCAAAGCTAACAGTCCGTGGCAGAGCCTACCGTTCAGTCTGATGACAAACTGCCGACGCTTCCTGTCGTGTTCCACCTGAATCTGAGAGCCGCTGGCCTCCAACGCGCCGGCCTGGGCCATTGTAGCGGAGCTGTGGGTCTGCTGGGCTTCCACCGCTAAGCAGAAATGGCTGCAGCTCCAGGAACACGGTGATGGTGATGATGAACGGCTTGGAAGAAAACACTCCATCCGACCGAATCAGCTGTGAGGTCACGTGTCGATCAGCCAATCAGGCGCGATGACATCACAGCTGAGAGCACAGCAGTGGGACTTCGGAAAATGATCCGAAGGTTTTGGCCTCATGCTGCTTTTACCGTTCACAGTGAAGGTGAACTACAAGGTTTATTAGTGGGAATATCTACATGCGTTACAGTTTGATGTTAAGGGTACAAAATTAGAAATCCCTCTTGGCTTAATAAACAAACCTGACTACCCTATGCTTATGAGAGTGCTTTTTGTTTTTATTCTGAACCAATCCATCCATCCATCCATCCATCCATCCATCCATCCATCCATCCATCCATCCATCCATCCATCCATCCATCCATCCATCCATCCAGCCAGCCAGCCAGCCAGCCAGCCAGCCACCCAGCCAGCCAGCCAGCCAGCCAGCCAGCCAGCCAGCCAGCAAGTGGCATAGTCCCTCCATTGTGTCCTGGGGCATCCCCTGGGTCTCCTACAGGTATACAGAGACCAGATCACCCCTAGTAAATGGCCCCTGAGTCCTTACTTATGAAATGCCCCACACCGAGCCTATGAGGGACCCAGTTGAATGAGTTCTCCAGGTCCAGAAAGGAAAGGTCTAGAGCTGGTCCGCTCTTCCACGGCCATGACGAAAACAACACTGCTCCTCCTAAAGCCGTGGTGCGACCATAAGCTTGACTGTCCCCTTCAGCCTCCTGCATAGGCCTTAGCATGGAGGCTGAGGAGTGTGGTTTCATTTTAGAGGGCATCATCCCAGACCTCCATGCAATGTTGAAGAGGTATGTCAACCGAGACACCACAACAACATCCAGAGCTCTAAGGTACTCATGGCGCCATCGTGGAGTTTCTAACCACCTCTGTGACTTCAGTCTGAATGATGAACAAACCAACCACCATCCAACAATTTCTTCTTTCAGGGTCAGCAGCTTTCCATTCCCACTGAAAACAATGTTAGCAAAGCACTACTTTCCTCTCCGGAGGCCGAAGTTGCTTTGAGTCCAACTTATAGTTTCCATGGCCTCTTTAAACTCGTCCCAGGACCAAGTTTTTGCCTCTGATACAACCCGCCTCACAGAACAGGAGATCAGTGACAACTCAGTGTCCACAACAGAGGTCGGTTGAGAATTGCTGCCATGACAGGCACTGTTAACCATACAGCCACAGCTACGGGCGGTCGCATTTAAAATGGAGGCAGAGAACATGGCCCACCCAGACTCCATATCCCCAACATCCCCCGGAATATGGGAGAAGCTCTCCTGGAGGTGGGACTTGTACACATCCCTGACCGAGGGCTCCCCCTGACGTTCCCAACAGAACCTCATTACTCGCTTGAGCCTGCTGTGTCTTTCCATGTTCCTCCTCTTCCAGCGCATCCAATACCCCAACAAGTGGTAGTTGGTGGACAGCTCTGCCCCTCTCTTTACCAGTGTCCAAGACATGGACTATATATATATATATATATATATATATATATATATATATATATATATATATATATATATATATATATATATATATATATATATATATATATATATACATATATACATATATATGTGTGTGCAATGGGCTCAAGAGGACTTTAAACAAGAGATTTATTCATAATCTGATTGACTCGGAGAACTTTGAAAAGTGTAAAAGGTTGGTGCATCAAGTTCTCTAAAGTCACAGTGTGGTAATCCTGTTCAGCTGGTGGACTAATCCTACAAAAATCTAATGGAGTGTGTCAAGTCTGTATAAGATTAAGTGTGGCTGAGTCTTTGTGTGGGTTTCTGTGGGACTCGTCGTGTTCACCTGTCTGTGGTTTATTCTCGTTTCTGCCAGACAGACTGACCTTTTTTTGCACCGGATAACCATAAAAACTCAAACCTCTTTTTTTCCCTCTTTCTCTTTTCATGAGCCTTTTTTTTTTTTATCTTTCAGCTAAATATGAGCTCCAAAAAGCAAAGGTAAGTCCAGCAGGTATTAAGATATGACATAATTTAAAGTCAGTAAATGTTGCAGTTTTGTGTCAAACATCTTTTAAGGCAGATAAATCATTGATTTTACCAGTTGCAGGGATAATTCTGGTTGTATACAATAAGCTTTTTTATGTTAAAAGTTTGAATATCTGTCAAGTATCTTTATAGATGCCAAAGGGAGATACACTTTTCTCAAAGTTAAACCAAACACAGCTTAGATCCTTCATAAAGACAACATTAGAGAGAGAAATGTGAGTTTATCTGTGATGATTTACCTGCCGCCTGTTTCTACAGCAGGTGGAATGAGGCACTGCCAACCACAAAGACCAACAAACCTGTACAGAAAGACAGAGAAAATGTAAGTATTGACATTTAAACATCCAGCTAGTGTTGAAATACTCCTGCTACAAACACTAAATGGTCTATGGATCTAAGAATACTGGTGCAGTGGAGCTGTAATATGTAAAGATTTAGGTCACCTCGTATTTGGGAATGCACATTGTTTATCTATATGAATCTAAATTAAGTATTTAACCTGTTTAAAACAGGGTTAAACATTTAGATTTTGAGCAATCTGTTCTGTTTTAAAATATCTTCACTGTAATGTTCTACTTACATTACAGTGTCCATAAAATCTGTAATACTCCCTGAATGAATTGTAATAAAGCTATTTATATGCATAAATCAAGCAGAACACTATGGCGATAGCCGTATTGCTCCACTTGTGAAAGTAAAATCTGTTGGGCTCCTTTTATGGCATCAAGACAGTTATTCTTAATCCACGTCGCCAGACAGGACACTGTTAAAGAAAAAAAGAAAAGAAAAAAAAAGAAATATCTTCATGCATTGTTGCTGCTTTTTGTGGATATTAACGTGCAGTTTAATATGAGCACTAGGTTTCCAGATTTATAACGTGGGATTTGCATGTGTTTTGTCAGATTTATGGTGCTGTAAATGGCTAAAGATCAGCTTGGTTTATTTACAGTCTACACAAATCGCTAAGTCAGGCCTCTTCAGCCATCTCCCCATTGATTTCTCTGCCTTGCACTCCAGCCACAGATTCATTGCCTCTGCAGTTGTTGAGGTTGCATCAACAGATACTAGAGTAGACTGTATGTACGTGGTGACGCTCAGATGATCAAGTGTGATTAAGTTTAAAGTATATGTGTGTGTCTGTTTCCGTCTGTGGCCTCATTACGGGTCAAATGGCACTTAAGTAAATTAAGAGCGCTTGTCAGGATTAAAAGCCTCTCCCTGGGGTTTATTGGATTGCATGTGTCCAAAAAGCCAAGCTGGGCTGGGGATGAGCATGTGGTGTGGTGTTTGATATTTCAGCTGAGCAGCCATGAAAATATCAGATTATTCTTTAAGGAAAATTCTGTCCTTTTTCCCTTCAAGGAGCTCAGAGCCTGTGTTGGAAGTAAACTGAACTCCAGCAGCGCTCTGAAAACCAGTGGGAGAAGCAGCAAAGGAAGTGACTCGGCAGCAGCTGAGAATAAAGCCGTTGGTGGCAAAGGCAGCATCAGCACCCAGGGTACCAGAGCATCCTCTCAGCCTGTAAAACCATCTCGTCGCCTGCCAAGCAGCCGCAGCCTTTCCTCCCTCCAAGCCTCCTCTCTCACTACCGCTCCGTTCATGAGAAGCAGCCGCTCACTCAGCAGACTTGATGAAAGATCCTCTGGTAAATACTCTATTTACTTATTTCTAAGTTAATTTAGCTCTATTAGATATAGGTCTGACGTTCCATCATGCATGCATGATGAAACTTTTGGCTAAAAAAAAGTCTATTTGCGATGCGTTGATATTTATCTGAGGCTTTTTGGTTCTGCAGAACATGCATGTGATACTAATGCAAGTTTACAAGTAACAAAAGCCAGAGGTACTGGCAGGAAAACACTGGAATCTGGCAGGCTTTCATCCTCTGTGGAGAGAATAAGGTTACATTTAAAGTTTATGCTTGTTTTAAATTTCTGAGTTTTTTTTTCTGAAATGCATCTTTTATTGTGTTGCTTATCTAATCATTCCTGTTTAACCAATCGCACAGTAGCTCCACTCAGCTGCAACCATCCTCCTCCTCCGTGGTCTCCACTGCTGTATGCCATCATCAGACCACCAAAGAAAGGAAGCAGGTACATAATATATCTTATTTTAGTCTGTAACTGCAGTTTAGCTGCTATACAGAGACACACAAAATGACAAATAACTAAACAATAATTCTAACAGAAATACAGTCTAATAAAACCGAGCTATAACTTTTGGGTCACATAAAAAAAAAAAAAAACTTGTTCTAAGACAAAAACCTTGAAGTATTTGCCAGAACAGTTTCACTCTCACTATCGCAGTGAGTCAAGCATTCAGTGGACACTGGCCAGAGTCCAGAACTGAATCTGTAAACCTGAAAAGGGATGTTTTAATAAACCCTTGAACTTTTGGAAGGTAGGGTGTGGAGATATTTACAAGTTAAAATGTACTATACTAATAAACTCCTTACAAAGAAAACTAAATTTTAAAATTGAAATAAGCTGCAACAACCAAGAGTAGCATATGACCCAGATTATTGCACCTTTTTTAAAAAGTCTTTCAATCCTTTAATCCTAAGGTTTACCGAAAACTCTGACTTTCCCATTTCACAAAGACAGTTTCCTCAACCTCTGTTTCAGTCACAGTAACATTTTCCCCAGAGCTAATCTGGTCGGTAGCAGATTTTACTCAGTAAACTCTGAGTGTCCTCTGTCTCTGCTCTCATTACAGCCAATATGTTGTTTAATTTCCTGATTTAGTCAGATTTTTGATGTAGTTTTGTGCATAAAAAAAGAGAAGAAAAAAAAGAAAAAATTATATATATATCTATATATATATATATATATATATATATATATATATATATATATATATATATATATATATATATATATATATATATATATATATATATATATATATATATATATATATATATATATGTATATCTCATTCACTAGGTCTGTTAGACACATTAGGTTTTAAAAACAGACATTGCATGTCCGTTTGATGAGGATCTTATCAAAGAGAATTTGATATTTATAGGGAGAGGATTCTACAACTCAGTTGACAGGGTATGAAATTACTTGTGTTTGGTTTGTTTAATAAGAGCATGTATTTACAGTACATGAAGAACTACTGAAAATATTTTCAGATTACATGTAAATAGATTAGTTAATTCCACGGGGGAAAAGGAATTACTTTAAGGTTAGGATTAGGATTCACTCGATGATAACAACCTAATGAGCCTACTGGCACAATCTGAAGCCATCTATGGAACTATTTAATAAATGCCAACAACAATTAATATCCTGTGCATTTATCATAGGGAAAAACTAGTGTTGATGCTCTGGAGAAAATCTGAGGCTCCTTCGGTTAAATTGTGGCTGGAGGAATTGGTTAGGCTCTCTCATTTGGAAAGAATATGGTTCTCATTAGCAAATAACTTAAAGCCATTCGATATAACTTGGCAACCCCTTCCGCAAAATATTGATAACTCTATTTGAAGAGAATTTGATTTGATTTTCCGTGTGATAAGATGTAGGTCCTAGGAAAAGGGGAGATGGGCGGGTCCTGAGATTGTCTCTGTTTATTTATGTCACTTTTGTTGTTTTGATTTTGTATTGTCTTTATGTTTTATGTTTACATCGAATAGAGGAAGAATTTGTTATTTTGTGGTTTCAATTTTTATGTCTGATTCCTCTATAAAACTGTGGCAACTGACATAAAAAGAAAGGTTCTATCTGTTTCTGTTTCCACAGATCAAAGATGGGGTTTACACGCTGTGCGCAATGACCGCTGGGATGCGACGCAACTGGGTGCAAGCAGTTTTTAAAAATGTGCAGCCCATTTGTACTCCAGTCTACACAAGGTTGACTTCCTGTCTTTCCCTAAATGAGTTAATTTAATTTTGTGACATTTTCCAGTCCTATATACATCTATATATATATATATATATATATATATATATATATATATATATATATATATATATATATATATATATATATATATATATATATATATATATATATATATATATATATAAATCAATTCCCACTTTTTTAATGTGTAAGATGTTTTTGATGTTGTAAAGTACAATAGTCCTAATTCCAGTAAATTCCCCTTTGTCTCAGTCTTCCTCCGAGCTCTCTTGGTGAGAACAACGAAGATCAGCTGGAGGACTGTGAAGATCCACATGAAGACCAGCAACCACAGCAGCTGGAGGGACGACAAATCCTGACTGATTTAGATTTGTCCTCCCCTCATCGCCCTGTTTCCCCCTCTTCTTCATCTACTCAGACACCTGCAGATCCTCCACAGCAGGTGGAGAAGACAGAAGAAGCCCAAACCACTGGTAAGTTATGTCACCGTCTCAGAGGGAACTGAGGTGTGAGACATAGAAACAGTAAAAGTGCGACATCTTTGCTGCATCATGCCGACATTAATTCTCACCAGATGTTGTCGACAGCCAGAATAATCCACACATGAGAAGAGTTTTCGTGATGCCTTTGTTTTTCCTTAAATATATATTCTAATATCAGTTCAGATTCAATTCAATATTTCTCTGTTCAACCTCCCTTTGTTTATATAACATCTGGCAGCACCATATGCTGACAGAGGTTGTGAGGTGTTGGTCTAATCTAGATTATGCTGTGTTCTCCTGGTACTTCTTGGTCCAGATGTTAACAAGCTTCAATATACCTTTGACGATAGCCTTTAGAGGTCCCATAGTGCAGAGCTTATTTCTACAAAGCAACCATAGCTAATTCCAGGTGCCTTTGTTCCTTTGTTTATGTACACCAGGTGGGACAGGCGCATCCGTATCTGTTGAAGGATTCCAGAGTGACAGCTCTTCTTCCACGGAGGTTCTGTCCGATGGAGAGGATTTCAGAGAACGTTCGGATATCAAGACTGCAGCTGAACAACTGAGTTCATGTAAAGAGGAAACTAAGCCACAAAAGGAAGTGCAACAGGTATCGATAAACCCAGTGTGTGCAAAAGACCAAGAATCACTGCAAACTGGGCAACTCGTCAAAGAGGTGAGATGATAGCTGTTCATTTACAGCAAAAACTGCTCACAGTTGCATATCTTGTAAGAAATACAATGTGAAAAACCAAAATACACACACATATGTATATATGTATGTGATAATTCAAAATGAGTTGTATTTTGTTAAAATGTTTACTTCTGTTTGTCCATAGCTGGAACAAACACAAAGAGAACTGTCACGAATCCAACAGCTGAACAAGACTCTACAGAAAGAACTGCGACAAGAAAAAGAGATTAACTCAGGGAAACTTCTTCATGTGCAGGTAAAATTAAAGATAACCAGACACTCATATTTTTAAAACCAAACTTATTTATGGGTTTCTCTAGTATTGTCAAGAGTTGCCTAGAGTTGTCAAAAAAACAAACAAAAAAAAACAACAGAAAAATAGAACTAGCAGAACATTGCACTGTAATAATAACTAGAACTTTAGCACATTAGAACTATGGGGAAACAGGCTAAAAGAATGAACTGTTTTAAGCAGATCGAAGTTTGTAAAACTATGCACAGCTAATGCTACTTTTAAAATAAATCTAAGAAACAGATTTTTGATTTATAAGTTTAAAATTGACCAAAAATTGCTAGGACTTTGTAAATAGTAATCCACTTCTCTATGTCGCCTCTCCCTGTTTCATTAGGAAAGTGACTTCTTTACATTTAGCTACTGAGATGTTTTGGGGTTGCCAAGTCTAATTTACAACCATCAAATTAACTTTTCAGTTCCAACTTCACAAACGTAAACAAGGGATTTGACTAAAAGGAGAGAAGATTAGTGATGCTGTGAGCTTTTTACTACAAGTATTTTTAAGGAGCAAAGAAAAGGAAAAAAATTAAAACTAGATTCAAATTCAGAAAAAAACTGCAATCTCATGCTTACTATGCCAGATTAAAAGACATTTGTGTTGGAGGCTGGAGAAGTTCCACCCTTCTCCAGCAGAGTCCGCCGTGGATCCTCCTGAGCAGAGCCTCCTGCACAGCTGCTGCTCGTTACCATCATCAGAGGATCCACTACTTAAGCTGTCTTCAGACCTTGCCTCAACGCCGCAGTGTTGATCCAGTTGGTTAGCACCTAAGCCTAGAACCTCTGAGAACCTTTTGTTGACTTTTGAATCCAAGCTGGATTCTAACGTTATCTCTGTCTTTCCAGGAAACCAGTTTTTTCCCGCGAAGCTCTGGAAGAGCTTAACCTGCCGAGCCTGCCCTCTGAGCCAAACCTGAAGACTCCCTCTGGTTTTCTATGCAGCTCTGGACCAAGAGCTGGAAACACTAACCAAGGTCGGCTACCTCCTGAGAAGCAAGACGCTGAAACAGCTAGCGGACTCTGCTACCAAACCTTCTCCAGTTCCAACAACCTCCCTCTCCAAGCTTCATTCAAGGACCCACAAGGTACAAGCCAGAAACAATCCTAAAGACAAGTCCCTAAGTGCTCCGCTAACTAAACTGTCCTCCACACAGACTCCGGTGTACCTGTCTCCCAGGACCAGAACCAGAACCCGTTCATTGTGCTTGTGAACAATAAACTCTGTTAAACCTTTGAAACTGTTTCCGTCTAGTGGTGTTCTGCATCATTGGGTCACATTTGAGAACCAATCATGACAGAACACTGCGGCCAAACACAAGGCCCAGCGGATCACCTCACCCGTCATTTGGAAGAACAGGCGGCCCAACTCAATGGACACGCCTTGGCCTTACATGAACTAAACACCCGCATTGAGATGCAAAACCAGCTAATCCAAGGCTATGCTAACTATGTAAACAGTGCTAACGCCACGCCAGCAGCGCAACCATTTCCGGGTCCGGTTCCCCCTCCGAGGTCACCAGCCGTGACGTCACCTGAGTTCCGTCCTTGCCTCCCTGAGAGATTCTCCGGTAATATGAAGGATTGCAAGGGTTTTTTATTTCAGTGCCGGTTACTTTTTCAAAATTCTCCCAACAGTTTTTCCACGGACTATAAAAGAGTAACCTTTATTCTTTCCCAACTTACAAGAAGAGCTTTGGAGTGGGCTCAAGCCAGATTCCCCTCTGATCAAAGTCTCAACTGCCGATATGCTGACTTTATTTCTGAATTTTCCCAGGTTTTTAACCAGGAGACGGACCAAACAATTGACTCTCGTTCCCTTTTCAGTTTAAAACAGGGAAATTCTTCTGTGGCTGATTTCTCAATCAACTTCCGGGTTAAGGCAGCCGCTTCCGGATGGAACCAAATCGCTCTAAAGGGGGCTTATTTTATGGCCTTAAATGAAAATATTAAGGACGAACTTGCTACTCTCGACGAACCAGCCTCCCTCGAAGAATTAATCAAGCTGACAATAAGATTGGACAACCGAATCCGAGCTAGAAGGAGTTCCAAGCCAGGAAATCTAGGATCTCATTCATCTGCTCCTGCTTCAAATAATGTGTCTGTTATTTCTCCTCCCACAGAACAGTTGCCTAAGTTGAGACCTAAGGTCCAGTCTCTCCCTCTGCCCGTTCAGGCTTCTCATTCTGGTGACATGGAAGAGGTACCTATGCAGGTTGGACACACTAGGCTCACTCCTGAAGAAAGACAAAGACGTTTTCTGAGTAAACTCTGCATTTATTGTGGTGAGAGTGGACACTTCATCGCTTCCTGTCCGGCTAAGTTAAAAGCCTGGGCCCGCCAGAGGATCTGAGGAGTTTGGCGGGCCGAACTAATTCTAAGAAATCTCCTCGATTGTTTCTTCCAGCCACCTTGTTTTTTGATAATCAGAACCTCTCCTTCTCTGCATTTATTGATTCAGGCTGTGAACGGAACCTCATTGATTCCAACCTCGTTCAACAATTAGGAATTGAAACTATTCCACTTTCTCAACCACTTCGTGTCTCTGCAATTGATGGGAAGAAACTCCACCAGGTTACCCATCAAACTCAACCCCTCGAGCTACTACTCTCAGGTAACCATCGTGAAACCATCACATTTTTTGTTTTTCCCTCTGCATGTTCGCCCCTGGTGCTCGGCTTCGAATGGTTGGAGAAGCACAATCCACGTATTAACTGGTCCGACCGTCACGTGGAATCCTGGTCTACATTATGTCATGAAACATGCCTTCGTGCGGCAGCCCCTATGGTGGGGCCTCCTAGAGGTGGGGGGGAGATGGACTCTCCTGACCTTTCTACAGTTCCCCCTGAGTACCATGACTTGGCTCCGGTCTTCAGTAAGGTCAGTGCTACGTCCCTTCCACCACACAGACCATATGACTGTGCCATTGAATTACTACCTGGAGCACCGTTACCCAGCAGCCGTCTATACAACATCTCCAAGCCCGAACGAGAAACCATGGAGAAGTATATTAACGAGTCTTTAGCTGCTGGAATTATTCGCCCATCTTCTTCTCCTCTGGGTGCAGGGTTCTTCTTTGTTGGCAAGAAGGATGGTTCTTTAAGACCTTGCATTGATTACAGAGGTTTGAACCAAATAACAGTTAAGAACAAGTACCCTCTGCCTCTCCTAGCCTCTGCCTTTGAGCCTGTCCAGGGGGCTACAGTCTTTACCAAGTTGGATTTGAGAAATGCATATCATCTCCTCAGAATCAGAGAGGGAGACGAATGGAAGACTGCCTTCAAAACCCCCTTAGGTCAGTTCGAATATTTGGTGATGCCCTTTGGATTAACTAATGCCCCCGCCTGCTTCCAAGCTCTAGTGAATGACGTCCTCAGAGACTTTCTAAATGTGTTTGTGTTCGTTTATATAGACGACATACTCATTTATTCAAGAAACCTATCTGAGCATAAGAGACATGTCCGCCTGGTGTTACAGAGGTTATTGGAGAACAAGTTGTTTGTCAAGGCTGAAAAATGTGAGTTCCATCAACCTTCAGTGACCTTTTTGGGGTTTGTGCTCGAGGGCGGGCAGGTTAAGCCTTCTGAAGACAAGATAAAGGCGGTTTTGGAGTGGCCGGTTCCTGAAAATCGCAAACAGCTACAGAGATTTTTGGGATTCGCCAATTTTTACCGCCGGTTCATCAGGAACTATAGCCAAACAGCTTTACCCTTAACCTCATTAACGTCTGTTAAAAGAACTTTCCAATGGTCTCCCGAAGCTCAAACTGCTTTTGAAAAGCTGAAATCTTTGTTTTCCAGAGCACCCGTGTTAATTCAGCCTGACCCTTCTAAGCAGTTCATCCTGGAGGTTGACGCTTCTGATTCTGGCGTTGGAGCCGTTCTGTCCCAGAGACTCGACACAGACCAAAGGATCCATCCATGTGCTTTTTTCTCTCGAAGGCTCTCTTCAGCAGAACAGAACTACGGCGTCGGAGATCGTGAGTTACTGGCCATTAAGTTGGCATTGGAAGAGTGGAGACACTGGCTAGAGGGAGCTGAGCACCCGGTTCTAGTTTGGACAGATCACAAGAACCTTGCTAGCATCCAGTCAGCCAAACAGGCCAACCCTCGTCAATCCAGGTGGTCCATTTTCTTCTCAAGATTTAATCTCATTATCTCCTACAGACCCGGATCTAAGAATGTGAAACCAGACTCCCTCTCGCGTCTTTACTCCGTCGACCAACCTGAGACACCTGAGCCTGTCCTTCCGGCATCATGCACTGTTGGAGTTGTGAACTGGGAGATCACTGATCTCATTAACTCCGCCCTGGCCTCGGAACCCGACCCAGGTAACGGTCCGGCTAACAGAACCTATGTTCCATCTTCCGTCAGGTCCCGATTGATACAATGGATGCATGCTGCCAAATTTTCCGCCCATCCGGGAGTCAGTAGAACCATCGCTCTCATTACAAGACGTTTCTGGTGGCCCTCGCTTCACAGGGACGTAAAGGAATACGTGCTGGCCTGTCCCACTTGTGCCAGAAACAAGGCCTCGCACCAGCCACCCTCGGGTCTGCTACAGCCTCTTCCGACCCCTTCTCGCCCTTGGTCCCACATTGCTATTGATTTTGTCACCGGTCTCCCAGTCTCTCGAGGTATGTCCACTATATTCACCATTGTTGATCGTTTTTCCAAGTCATGTCATCTCATTCCTCTCAGGAAGCTCCCCTCGGCATTCCAAACGGCTCAGCTTCTTGTGAAACACGTCTTCCGGTTACACGGAATTCCCCAGGAGATTCTGTCTGACCGTGGTCCTCAATTCATATCTCAAGTCTGGAAAGCATTCTGTGCAGCTCTGGGCTGCAGGTCATCTCTGACTTCTGGCTATCACCCACAAACTAATGGTCAAACCGAACGTATGAACCAGCATCTCGAATCCACCCTCCGCTGTCTAACCTCCAACAACCCCTTTGACTGGTGCCAATATCTACCTTGGATTGAATACGCCCATAACTCCCAGAGATCTGCATCCACCGGTCAGTCCCCGTTCCAGGTCAGTCATGGTTACCAACCTCCACTTTTTCCCGCAGATGAAAAGGAGATATCCGTCAGAACCATCAATCAGCACATCCGTCGCTGCCAGAAGATCTGGAAGGAAACCATCACCACCCTCAACAGATCCTCTGAAACCACAAAACGCTTCGCTGACTCCAGGAGACGTCCCGCTCCCGAGTACTCCATTGGACAGGAGGTATGGCTGTCTACCCGAGACATCCCCCTCAAGGGTATGTCTCGAAAGTTATCCCCAAGATTCATTGGTCCGTTTAAGGTTTCCCAGGTCATCAACCCATCTGCAGTTCGTCTCCAGTTACCTCCTACTCTACGCATACACCCCACCTTCCACGTTTTTCAGATTAAGCCCGTGGTTTCTAGCCCCCTGTGCCCACCACCCGACTCCCCACCACCCGCCCTGGAAGTCGATGGCCATCCTGCATTCACCGTCCGTCGCATAGTGGACTCCCGTCGGCGAGGTCGCGGCTGGCAGTACCTCGTCGACTGGGAGGGCTACGGACCAGAAGATCGTCAGTGGGTTCCTGGCTCTTACATCCTCGATCCTTCCCTGATCGAGGAGTACGAGCGTTCCTGCCCATCAACTTCCTCCGGACCGCCAAGGGGCGGTCGTTGAGGGGGGGGTACTGTTGGAGGCTGGAGAAGTTCCACCCTTCTCCAGCAGAGTCCGCCGTGGATCCTCCTGAGCAGAGCCTCCTGCACAGCTGCTGCTCGTTACCATCATCAGAGGATCCACTACTTAAGCTGTCTTCAGACCTTGCCTCAACGCCGCAGTGTTGATCCAGTTGGTTAGCACCTAAGCCTAGAACCTCTGAGAACCTTTTGTTGACTTTTGAATCCAAGCTGGATTCTAACGTTATCTCTGTCTTTCCAGGAAACCAGTTTTTTCCCGCGAAGCTCTGGAAGAGCTTAACCTGCCGAGCCTGCCCTCTGAGCCAAACCTGAAGACTCCCTCTGGTTTTCTATGCAGCTCTGGACCAAGAGCTGGAAACACTAACCAAGGTCGGCTACCTCCTGAGAAGCAAGACGCTGAAACAGCTAGCGGACTCTGCTACCAAACCTTCTCCAGTTCCAACAACCTCCCTCTCCAAGCTTCATTCAAGGACCCACAAGGTACAAGCCAGAAACAATCCTAAAGACAAGTCCCTAAGTGCTCCGCTAACTAAACTGTCCTCCACACAGACTCCGGTGTACCTGTCTCCCAGGACCAGAACCAGAACCCGTTCATTGTGCTTGTGAACAATAAACTCTGTTAAACCTTTGAAACTGTTTCCGTCTAGTGGTGTTCTGCATCATTGGGTCACATTTGAGAACCAATCATGACAATTTGTTTGTCTAATATTTACTGCAGAATGACACCAATTCATCTCCAGAGACTTTCCAGCGACTGCAGAGGATAAATCACAACCTCCGTATGGAGATTGAAGAGCTGAAGAGGAGTCAGGAGGAGGCCCGGGAGGCAGAGCTTCGGCGAAGGGTCGACCTCTTGGCCCAGCAGGCCCAGCTTCTGGTTACAGGAGATGCAACAGCGCTCGCTCAAATGCATCTGGAGCAGGATCGTCAGCGGTTTCTGGAGCAGCAGCAGGAATGGGAGAACCGTGTGGCTTCTCTAAAGGCTCAGCTGAAGGTCAGTGAAGAGAAAAGGAAGGAGACCGAGTCCCAGGTGATCCAGCTGCAGCAGGAGCTGCAGAGTCAACAGGGCCTCCAAAAGGAGGCCGAACAGCTGCAGAAAAACCTCCAGGAGATGTCGGCTCAGCTTCGTGCTTATGAAGAAGCTCAGGCAGAGAAAGAGGCCCGGCTGCAAAAACACCTCTTGCTCCTTCAGGCGAGTCAGGAGAGAGAAAGAAGGAGCCTGGCTGCCAGCCTGGATCAGGCAGAGCAACACTCCCAGGACCTGCAGGACAAACTGGAGAGGGCCGAGCAACAGCTGGAGAGCCTGACCAAGACCAAGACGTGGACAAAGCAGATCGAAGAGGCGCAACAGCAGCTGCAGGAGGAGTTAGCATCTACCCTGTCAGCCGTCCAGCATTTGCAAGAGGAACGGGAACAGCTGCATCATCGCTGTCAGGAGCTGCAGAGCCAGCTGTCAGAAGCTGACAGGGAGGTGGGCAGGCTGCAAGGTCGGCTGAAAACAGAGGAGACCCACTACTATGACCTGGAGCACTCATATGAGAGAGTCTGTGAAGAGCTGCAGGTGGCATTAGGTAAGATGCAGCAGTGGGAGTCTGAAACCGAGGAAATTCGGGAAGGCTACGAAAGACTGCTGGACAGGAAGGAGCAGGAGCTGAGTGAGGTGCTGCTGAAGATGGAGGTCTTAGGTAACAGCTTAGAGGAGACAGAAGTGAAGTTGAATGAAGTGATGAGAGTTTGCACCTGTTCTTCTCCTCAGTTCAAGGAAAAGGGCCACCAACAAACTCTTGAACCTCATAGCTCTCAGTTGATGAAGGTAGAATCCGGTAGAACTCGATCTCGCTCAGTCGATGCATCGTCCCATCACATTTCCACTGCAGGGGATGATCCAGAAAAATTTATGTCTGTAATCCAGCTGCTTGAAACTAAGCTCTTCCTCAGCGAGGAGAAGCTTAGAGGCATCACTGAGAGACTGAAGGATCACCAGGGACACATCAGCTGCCAGGACCCCCACCTCTGCTCCCAGTTGACCCAAAGCCGAGCCACATCCCAGCACCTCAGCCTGCTGCTCCACAGCCAGGCCAAGCAGAGCCAGCGCTTCGCCCAGGAGACGGAGGCCCGCTGCAGGATGCTGGTTGGACGGTTTCAGGTGGCTCTGAACGTCGTCCAGGCCTGCAGGGAGAGGCTTCAGGCCACTCCGGTTAACGTCCCAGACATGGAGAGGCAGCTTGCTGGGGTGGCTGGCTGCCTTCAGCAAGGGGAGAAGGATGCAGAGAGACTCCAGCAGGAGTCACGGAATGCGTGCAAGGAAGAAGGGAAGATCCTCAGTGATGATAAACTAGTTGGAGCTGAGGGAGACATTGTTTCTAAACTCACCAGCACCCGACCTTTGCATGATATTTCAGATGTTGAGAAGTATGTAATCAATGAGCTGTTTGTTGTAGAGAAAATGCTTTCTGTCCTGCAGAATCAAAATGGGATCTGTGAGTTATCTGCAGGCAGAAAGGACGATAAAGGTGATTTGGTTCAAGGTTACAAAACCTTGATTTCCCAAATCCTGAACTTAAAAGCTGAGGAAAAAATGGAGTCCAGGAGAACCGGATGCAACAGCGAGCAGCTTCTAGAGAGCATGATTGGTAGGTTTTGTGCTGAAGCTGAGCTTCTTTATGCTGCTCTTAAACTTCAGCAAAAAAACGTGACTCAAGTAAGCATTCACGATCAAAGGGAAGGCCTGGCAGATCTCAGTCCCTCTGAGTTGTCTTTCTATGATGAGAAGGCTAAAGATTTAGCCAGACATGTAGCACAAAGCACACCAAATCGATTTGGGGATAAAAAGGTTGAGAAAGAGAGAGAAAGAGGTTTGTTAGAACAAATTGTGTCTCGGTTGCAAAATCGAGCTAGATTCCTCTGCCAGGTGTGCCAGGAGATTTCTGCTAATAACACACATGTCCAAGAAAGTAGGGACTATAGCGGGGACAGAGTTTCTGCAGCTGATTGGATTTTTTTGCAGGAGCAGGTGAAGATGATTTATTTGTCCGACAGGCTTCATTTAGACATAAAACAAGAGTTTCAGCAAAGGAAGGCATCTCAGGGCAACCTGCAAGATCTTTGCAAAGAGGGAGATTATAGCATGATAGATGAGCAGGATGTTTTAAATGAAGCCTTGAACCAGCTTCAGGAAGATAACAGTGCACTAAGAGAGGAACTGGAGCGTGCAGAGCAGAAGATAACGTCGGCAGAGACCGGAAACCAAAGACTTCTGGAAGACATGCAGAAAATCGAGGATTATCACAAGGAGCGGATACAGAACCTAGAGGCAGAGTTTCAACAGAAGATAAAAGAACTGCAACAGATTCATGAGGAGGAGATGAAGCAGCTGCATGGCTTCTACTCCAAATCTTGTTCTTCTAAAGAAAAACAGAACAAATTCTGCACAGAGGAGGTTTCTCCTTTAGTAGAAGGACCCTCCACTCCTCCTGCCCAGGCTGTGGCAGAGAGTAAAGCAAATGGAGCTATCATGAGAGAGGCTTACCTGAAAGAACTGGAAAAGTTGCAGGTAATAAAAACCTCTCTTTGTAAAGCATATACATTTTCTAAAATATTTCACTGTAAAAAAATAATGCAACCACTTTTGGCATTTGCTTAATCATATTTAGTTACTTTAACACAATTGTTTTATGTCCTATCCTGCTAACATGAACCAATTGTGATATAGTAAGCAAATATGATTAAGTAATTGCCAAAAATGGTTGCATTATTTTTTTCAGTGGGTCATCTCAGCTTTTTATTATGATCCAAAATGGTGAATCTCAAGGGATTTCTCAAACAGTTGAAAGTTTGCTTTTGTTCTTTTCATGGGTTAGCAGCAGTGGCGATTCCTCAATAAATTCTAGCGAGGCTAAACCTCACCTCTAAATTTGGCAAAAATTATTAGTAAAATGTGCATTTTCAAACTTAATTAATCTAGTCATTAAACTGCATTAAATATGCACTAAAATGCACCAGATTTTATTAGTATGTTGCGCAATAATCAGCTGTTTAATCACTGTATCACTGTATGATACTTCCAGTGAGGATAAACCTCTTAGGAGGGCTATTGAGTAGGGGCGGGTCATGAAGCTGGCTGCTCCATGCTGATTGGCAAACATACCGAAGGATTTTTGACTGACAGTGGCCAGACAGCAAGGAGGTTTTCCTCATCAGTCGAGTGCGAGAAGTGATCATTCAGTCAGAACAGTCATCTTGTATTCTTTCTGGAGTTTATTATTTCACAACAGCTATTTTCACCCGCTATAGTGAAATGTTTCAACATTTGTTAATCTAATACGTGACATTTGGATTTAATTAACCCTATTGCGCCTCCCTTGTTTCAGAGAGCAGCAGCTGCCGCTGGTTTGCAATAAATAAAATGGATGTAAAGCATGTATGTCTTTCTTGTATGCAAAAAGTATTCACATCCATTAAACCTTACTGCTAAAAACTTTTTATTCTACCTGAATTCCATGCAAAAAAAACATCCTGTGATTGGCTGCCCCCCAGTCCAGGCTGTTACCCTCCTTTTGCTTATAGACTACAGCAGATAGACACCAATGCTGTCACGTATCTGAAGGTATTAAAACATTTATGGATAACCTTAGATTCATAGTTGTGAAGTTAAAGAAAATTTTAAATTTAAGTGTGCAGATGAGAGTGAAGTTTGCAACATATGTTTAAGACATAATTGTTACAGCTTACCCACATTTCACTTCCTTATTTCACCCTTTATAGATTCAATCACAAGGGATAGACCATTCATGGCCTAGTGAGGGCTGCATTGCACTTAATATAAAATACCCTTGCAATGTTGCGGTTGATCAATCATTAGCATTGGGATGTTGCATCCTTTTGCAGCTGTAGTTTACAGCTGTGCCATACTCTTTATTTCCAGATTACAAGTTCAAATATTGTTTTTTAAACTGACCCCTGAACTGTCTGCCGGGTTTCTGGGTCTTCATGATGTTGTTTTCTATCGGATGCTCTCCAGCAGAACATCTGCATTTATACCAGGTTTAAGTTAAACACAAATGCATGTTATTTACTAATTATATGGGTTCAAAAGGCAACTGCCTTCATTGGATCTAAGATATCAGGGAGATGAGGATGTATTGTGTATTGTGTTTGAGTTGTATTTGTAAAATTTTTGAAAGCTAATTTACTTTTTCCTGCTGTATTTTGTAGAGATCTCAGGCTACTGGTGCAATGTTGTAAACAGGCATGATTCAGCACTAAGCTAGAAACATGAATTTCTATAAAACAGATCACTGTATATCACATCTTTCTATTGGTTATTTTGTAGCTTCTGGAGCCAATGTGCAGAAAGTGCATTAAAAAAACAAAACGGAGTACATTCCTATAACTTCCTTACCGGAGGAGAAGGATAAGATTTGGTCAGATGCTTTGATTAATTAACAGTTAGAAAGTACACGTAACATGCACAAGATTTTTTTTTCCCACCACATACACCTGAATGTCTCCAACATGTCATGATGGGGTATGGAGGCAAGCCCAAGATGCAGAACACACACGGAGGAGACAGGAAAAAGTTCAAATGTTTATTAAAGTTCTGAACACAAGGTTAAAGCACTGGGACTGGAATTGGTCTGGTTCACTGGAGTCTTGACTGGGACTGGAGACTGTTGGTTAGCAGAGTTCATGAGAGGCTAAGCATCTAGCTTCAGGCTTAGCATGCCAGTCCTAGGTTTGAGCTTCCAGCTCACTGCAGAGAACAGGGGAAAACACGAAGGATCCTTCAGGCTGAGCTTCCAGCTCTTTGCAGGGAACAACGGGGAAAATCCACACAGGATTCTAGAAACCGATTCCACGTAGGAACCTCCAGGGAAACTCCACATAGAAGTCATAGGTTACATCCACATAGGAATCTTCGGGTTGGCTCACCAGGGTAGATTAGCAGGTTAGACTCTCCTAGAGCTTCAGACTTGAGACTGGTTTCCTGTGATGCAACTCTCCCAGAGCTGCAGGCCAGAGACAGGTTGCCAGAGAGACAGTTCTTCCAGAGCTTCACGAGGAGACAGGAGGTTAAGCTCATCCAGAGCTTTCACGAAAAGACAGGATTCCTGTGAGGCAGAAACAAGGAAGAGTTCGAATCTGATCTCACACTAGAGATAACTAAGATTCATCTGTAACAGAGGCTCAGGAAGCTAACCAACTAAGATCAACACTGCGGCGTGGAAGCAAGGTCAGGCAGGAGCTTATAAAGGAGAGGTCTTCTGATGAGAGGATTAGCAACAGGTGTGCAGGAAGGTTCCAGCTCCAGAAGACCCACGGCGCACAGAGGGTAATCTTCAGATCCCCACAGTAACTCCAGCCCTAAAGGAAAATAGCAAAGAGCAGAAGGGGATCCTCGGCGCCCTCTGGTGGGCAAGCCTGAGGATCCCAACACAACAGGCATTATAACAATGATTTGAGCAATTATTTCATTAATCTGAAGTTATTTTTGATAAAATGTTCAGATCATTCTGAGACTGATCATTTTAATGCAAGAAGAAAAGATAATTGAGAAATTCCCTGGAGTTAGGATGAATTTTAAATCAAATAGAACAGAAAAATCTGAGGCCTACATATAGACTTACTATTCTTATAAACTATTCCATGACTCACTGTGTGGAAATAACCCTCTTTGTTACAACATCTAGTTTGATGTGTGCATATTTTACTATCCTTCTGACAGCACAATTAGAAAAATTTATTTTGTTTAAGCACAGCTTGAATTTGCCATAGATCTTAATTTTTTGATTTTTTTTCTTTTGTGAGGATGGGAATATAATTAAATATAATTAAATTAAAGGTTTGAAAGTAGTCTGTAAGTATCATCTGTCATATTATTGTGTTATTGTGGCAAACACCTACCAATCATCCACGACTCCTTTCACAACATATCCAGACCAATTAGATCCCTCTCCCAGATTCCATCAAATTTGATTTAAAACTTTATTAGTGGTGCAGATTCTGTCTAAGGCCTTACACAACCATAGACCACCTCTGCTCAGAGGCACAGAAACTGAGGCTTTAGTGTATGTTACACAGCCTCACATCTGGCATAAATTATTAATGCCCAGAACTGTCCACTTCATCACCTTTGTTGCTGCAAAAAAAATACCTTTCTTCTGATTCTTTGTCAGGCGTCATGTGATCTTGGGTTTACTTCCATGGAAGAAATGCACAGGAAGGTTATAGAGGACCTCCAGCAGGAGCATCAGAAGCAGGTAACCAACCTTCTGAAGGAGAAAGACCAGCTCCTGCAGGAAGAGACAGCTGCTACTATGTCAGGTAAATACAGTTTGAATGTATTGTTTGTCTGGTTCTTCTTCTTGGAAACATTTGTGCATGAGGAATTATGTTCAGTGGTTGGGCGCTCAATGTGAGCATTTATCCATGAAAAGCATAAACAGCGTTGAATTTTCCAGGAGTATACATTTCAATATTAATCATACTGTTTACAGCGATTGTAGCAATGCGAAGAGCCCATAAAAAGGAGCTGGAGAGGAGCAGACAATTTCAGCAGATCAGGGAGAGTGCAGACATCAGTGAACTCCACCTGGAATATGAGTGAGTCACCATGAATGGTTGCTTTTGGATCTAAAATGCTCTTAGTCTTAACAACAAAAAAATTTTTTTTATTTTTTTTAATTCAATCTAAATAATTCATCCTATGTTTACCTTATATTTGTTTCCGGTTGTGAACAAATGTTTTCCCACAAATGCTCATTATGGCTCTGATACTATCTGTTTGAGGTTCATCGATCAAATGACTGCCACTTTTTAATGTGATTTCCTTTCAAAACTAACTTAACTGTCCAGCATTCTCCGTGCTTCTGCTTCTCCATCGCAGGAAGGAGATCCAATTATTGCAGAGGGAGCTGGAGGTGTTGTCGGATCAGCACACAAAGAAATGCCTGGAAAACTCTGAGCTGAGCCAGGAGCTGCAGAATGAGAGGGAATCAGTAACACAGTGCAAGAAAGAAAACCAGGAACTCAAAGAGATGCAGGTAGAAACATCCTCTTTTCACTGTAGATTTATTGTTTTTCCCAAACCTTTTTTTCCTCTCAAGAAAGTGGAAAAAGAAAGCATTCAGGTTTTTTGAAAAAATAGCAATCAGCTTCAACCATATGGAATTAGGTGTCTGTACGATTTTAAAATGGGTCTGCTTTTTTACCACTAATATATGCATTGTTTTGATATGCAAATATTAGACATGGTTTGTAACGTTTTGTTCTTATTACTGCCACCAAACTCAGGCTGCTCTTTTGAGATTTTGTGTGATAGTCCAAAACAAATGGGCATGAAAGCAAATAAAGTTAAAGAAACAATTCTAACATATCCATGAAAAAAGAAGCTGTTCAGATATAATCAAGCTGAAGTTAAATACAGCGTTTCCTCTCCACTTTTACCAAATGATTGCTCAGGATAAGGAATTACTTCGAAACTCAATGCATGCTCAGTTTTATTTTATAGATGACTTGGCCTAGTCAAAGTCCAGACCTTTATCCTGGTGATAGTCTGTAGTATAACTTGAAAGTGTGTTTCTACACACTTTGCATCAAATCTGATTAAGGTTGAGCTGCTTTGCAAAAATAAAAGAAAATTTAAAGAAGCTCCCGTAGTTGAGACAGGGCAAGATAGAAATTAGCCTATTTTTCATTTTACTTGTAAAATATATGGAATAAAATATCATGTTTGTTCCACTTCACAACTTTGTGGCACTTGGAGCTGCACTGCAAATAAAACATATCCTGATGAAACTTACTGTTTAAGGTTCAACATGAGAAAAAGTTTTAAACTTAAAGGTGGGGGGGGTGTTTGTGTGTGTTTGTGTGTTCATCACTGTATGATACTGATGTCTGCCTGCAATAACAGACGACTCTGAGGACACAGGAGGCAGAGATGCAACATCTAAAACAGGAAGCCCTCTCTCTCAGAGAGGAATTGGCAATTGCACAAATGGTAAAATATCTTATAAATTCAACAATCTATATTCAGGGTTTATCTTTGATACTGTGCTCACTAAATAAAACATTATGTCAACATATCAAATATGAAATTTCACTCTAAACAATTCTATGTATTATAGGACAAAGTTTATGCAGAGAATAAACTGAAGGCCCTCCATACACATAATTACAATGAAGCCAAGTTTGCCACATGGACTCCAAGCCGAGATACTTCAGGACATCATGCTGGTGGGAAAACTCTTCCTTCATGTTTATCATCAAATTCAACGTAAGAATTTATTCATTTTAACATTTTTATTCTGCTGCTCGGTCTTTGTTTATAGATGACACTGTGACGAACAACCCTGCTACCAAAAAGAAAGAGAAATCCTCCTTCTTGCGTCAAATTCGGGGATTCAGATCAAAGGTAAAAATCAACACCAACATTTCCATCATTGATTTCTTTTTTTTTCTTTTTTTATTAATCATCTTTGTATTCTTAAATACTTATAGTAAAGAATATATCTTAACATTTGGATTGGAATCTGATTTTAGTTGCCAATGCTAATTGTTTACTAGTTTGATTATTCTTTTTTTAAATGACTTTTGTTTATGAACAAAACATTACTTCCTAATAAGGATTGTATATTGTAGATGTTGAATATGTGTAGGGATTTTAAGAGGGTTAAACTAATGAGAAGACAGCCTGTTAATTAAACACAAAATACTGGATACTCAAAACATCTGAGAAGGCCACCAGTTAGTAAAATAAAAGCCCTATAGAGGACGATCTTTTATTTCAGGGTGGATCATCTAAATAAGTGGTCCTCCTTATTGTCAATCATTCTGGTGATATGTTTACATAAGGCTGTCTTATGTGCTCGCCCCGTCAGCTATCTTTTTCTGCATCATTGAAGCTCACCTTTCTCACCACAGTTTTTTTTTTTTAAATGGCCAAGGGGGGTAAGAGAAAAAGTGTCTACAAACTGTATGAGAGGAAAAGAAAGACCTCAGCAGAGGCATAAATATCCCAGAATGCTTTGCGCAGAGAGTTCTCCTTGCAAAGAACTCTGGGATTTGCTGTCACAGCGGCCCTCTGTCACTATAGGCTTTCGCTACCCGACAGCAGCGACTAATAACAAAGATGAAAGAGGAGGAGTTATGTGACCAACGGAGCAAAAAGCAGTGATCATCTGTCCGAACGGTCAGTTAACTGAGTTTGCTATAAAGTCCACTATATAGTCCCCATAATATGTGGACACAGTAAGCTTGTATGAGCTATGACAACAGCACATTTTAACAGCACAAGGAGAAATGGGCTTGTGCATGCTCTTTCACACGCATTTTTTTTTTAAAGTGGACAGTGCGGGTCTTTTATAAAAATCCTCCACAATACCTTTAAGACAGCCACAATCCTCTACTCTTTAACCACAGCTTTTCCACATTTACATCATCAAAATGCATCCAATTACCAGATGAAATAGCACATAAAGCATGAAAATAAAATATCACACCCATCACAGATGACGATTATTTATAAAAAAAAATCCATCCACCTGTCTTTAAACAGGAAGTCTTGGTATGTCCATTGAGTATCAGCCATTGAGGCCAGAAAAACTTTTGACAAAAGCGAATCTAAAATGCATATTGTCATTAATCTAACATGGCTGTAAACGTTTTGCTCTAAGTGACCAATCAGAGGACAGAAAATGCTGACATTCAGGTGGGCCCTCTAGCTGGCCCGGTCGAACAAATCTAAAATCTGATTGGTTAAAGATAACGCTCCTCACTGATATTGTTAAGGTAACATCAGCCAGCAATTCTAGTTCTGAAGACTCTGGGCAGATTAGATTGAAATAGCAACTCACTAAGGCTGAAATCTGATTGGACAAAAAATTAAGCAACCACATAAATCTAATGAAACATCGCAGCCAAGAGGAACCCTACAATGGAGAATGGATTGTTTGGACTAAATTAATACAGATGGAAAGAAGAAAATTAAAATTAAGGTTATGAATGTGGGTTATGTGTTTTTGGTTGATCTTAGGACAGCAGTGAAGGCCTTGAAGGCCCTGACTGCCAACTACTGGTTGTTGTTAAGATAAGGTAGTGAATTATTTGGATTCCAGAAGAGACGACATGTCTGGTATAAAACAAATGCTACACCCCAAGAAACAAAAATCCTATTGACTGTGCAGCATGGAGGTGGAGAGTCATGGTTTGGAAGGAATCTGCTGCAGCAGGACTGTGAATTCAAAGCTCTATCCAAATCTTAATCTGAGTAAAATGCTATAAAAAACAACAACAAAATGCGAAACAGGCTTTTTATAGCATTAACCCCTGAAAGATACCAGCTGAACATCTGAAATGGAGTAAACTTTTCTCAGAGCAAATTAAGTAACTTTCTTTTCCAGATATGAATAAAAAGATCATTATACTTTCTTCCCCAGAACTTTATATCCAGCTTTTGTTCATGTCTGTAGCTGTAAGAACAAGTGGTTCAAAATCATAATTTGTTAATTGCACTAACTTTAAAATAACTTCATATGAAATGAATCCCTACTAGTAGCTAAATTAATGTCCAGATCAATAGAGGTAAATCTGTGTTAATCTGGCTGTTGCTTTACAAAGACACCCAGAGTTACTGTTGATATCCCACGTTATTGATGAACAACAAGCTTTTCTAGGTCAGTTCTCTTCTAATCTATTTAATATAAACTGTAGAGCAGAAAACCCAGAAGTCTGCTTTAAATTACAGAGTTCTGATGCTTTTTATTCTTGGATAATTCACAAATCTAAACAATCCTCTCTCTTTTAGCTCTGTTTTTTGACATATTTTTGTTTCTTCTGTTTTTCAGAGTTTAAAAGATGGACTTTCTACACAAGAAAGGAGGAAGTTGTTTGAGTCGTCATGATTTACTGGAGGTGAACCGACCTCACAGATACGATGCCTGATTTTTAGACTTCTGTGAATAAAGAGACATTTGTATTGTTGTTCAAAAGACATTATGTTATGTTTGACTCTTTACTATAGTTTATTGTTTGGTTTGTTCCACTAGAGGGAGCAAGATACAGGATTTTTTTCATGCAGATTCACCACTGGTTTAAATTATATTGAATATATGTTGGAGTTTGTAAAAATTATAGACCTACAGCTGTTTTCATTAAAATTATTGTTGCATCTGTTGCTTTGGGTTATTGACATTATTAGAGAGCTGTGTTTAAATGCCTTCTAAATCACCATGTGTCACCCACAATAAAACACACCTTATGCGATTAATGATTTTTTTTTTTATATAAACAGGCAAATTTGTTCCATTTTCAGATTTGCTATTAAATCCCGTATCACTGAGTTTCAACAAGGTGCCCTGATAAAGAACAGGAGATCTATAAAAATAAGGAGTTTACCTGAAATTTTCTTGGTGTCTAAAAAAAATTCCTTGCTGAAACCACTAATATTAATTTTATAATCTATATGCATAACATGTTTTTTGAAGGGAATGTGGGCAGGTTCATCTGTTATTTGATGTAGGGGTAAAATTTACAACTTTTTTCTTAAAAACACATCTTGCAAATGAAATGATTGCTTCAAAATCTTTATGAGAATACACATCAATACTGATATTAAAAACAATAACAACAACAAAAATAAAGAAGGTAGAACAGTCTCCACATCTGGTTTTGGATTCCCAAAAGTTTATAAAATCTCATCAATGACAGATTTGAAAATAACTGAAATCTAACCTAAAGTGTAAAGAGCCAGTCATCATACACACTCTTCTGTTACTGTTCACATGCAAATAGAGAGCAGAAATAAAGCTGAGCACAAACCTGGGAACTTGAATATTAACAAGAAAGTAAATCTCTGTAAGGAATTTGTGTACTGATGAGGAATGTACTTTGCTTTTAGCATGATTGCATTAAGCGACTCTGAGTATCTACCTAAGTGTTGCAAAAGGATATCAACATTTTACAGTGAATCTCAAACTAATCTGTAAAGTTTCTAATTTTCTTCAGATGAAACATCAAACAGACAATTCTGCATAGTTCAAGACAAAATTAGAAAAAAAAAACCCAGAGTTTTTGCATTAGAAAAGCAAAAAGAATGGGTAGGGTCTTTAACTTCTTGCAGCACTGGGTACTCACTCCTGTTGCATCTGCAGCAAAACAGTCCAAAGTGTGGGGTCCACCAATGACACTCAGGAAATCTACCCCACAGCCCTGCAGCTTGTTGTGTGGCCTCAAGGAATACCTGCTGTCCCACTGATGCTTCATGATATTAAGGGATCACTTATGTTCATCTTTTTTCAAAAGATTAGTATCTTAATAAAAACAATTTCTAATGTATATGTCTATACAACTTTGATTTAGCACTTGTAGGTTACTTCTCTAATACTCCTCTATATCGTTGTGATACACTGGGAGATAAATGCAGCAGATATAATTTCATTGAATCTTCTTAACCCTGCGTCAGAGGCTGTTCAGAGAGTTCCTTGGAGTCGTGTTGCTTTAGAGGAACATCGCACCTCATTAAAACCCAACACTCACCCTCCTTTCTCTGAGACCCCCACTGTGGGCTGACACTCTGAGAGCGTACCTACTCTTAAAACTCTTCTGTATGGATGCCCTGCGCTTTTGCACCTGCCAGCAGAAAGGTGACCTGCTGTGATTCAGTGCATAAAATCTGAAACCGGGCAAACGTCATTTCTACACTTTTCAAGCAGTTTTTTTTTACTAAATAAAAGGCAAACAAACCTGAATTTCTGTAGTTGCACATCAGATCCATTAAACGATTGAAAGTTTTCAACAGGTGGAGGATAAATCCATATAGAGTATGTATGGAAACAGTGCCAGCTAAAGGCATGAGCAGAGAGATGCTTAGAAAGTATTAAAACACACCTCAACACACCATCTCCACCATAACACGGTGGTGGCAGCATTATGGAGTTGGCATGCTTGTTTTTGGTTGGGACAGGGAAGCTGGCCAAAGTTAATGGGAAAAAGTTAATTCTATTCCAAGCAATTTTGTAAATATGAGAAACAATTAGAAGATAAAATTATTACCCTAACAGCAAGAAAATTAATGGCTGAGCTGAGCAGAACAGAATATAAATATATATTTCCCCATCCACCTCTAAGTTATGTGCTACTTTGTTTTGGTCAAACACATTAAACCCTCCTAACAAAATATTGCAGTTAATGGAAACTGAACAACGGATGTTTGCAGTCTGTATTTTTTCTCTTGCAATTATTTCTTCTCCAAAAAATGTCCCGCTAAATCCGATTGATTCTTCTCAACAAGTCCGTCGATCAATAATTGTAAATCATTAAGTTAAATACGCACATTTATTTACAAAGTATCAAAAAGTGAGATAAACACCCCTATAACATTGTTTTGCATGGTCACCCATAAAAAATTAAATGAAACTGATTTTCTTCAGAGAAACAAGGTAATTGTACCTTTTTTTGTCTTAGAATTTTATTTAAATTCATTTTTGTCTATTTATATGCCACAAAGTCACAAAAAATGTCATCACCAGGCACTTTACAAGACAAGCAGAAATCTATAATTAAATCAGTTCTGTACAATGCAGCTGTATAGATAGATTTATATTAGATTACATACATTCCTGTCAGACCTTAGTAAATAAATTAGTGTTGCACCATATGCTGAATAGACTGGAAACCATCCCACCACATATGAATTTGTTCTGCTTGTTTCTGCATTCCTACATGCGGGACAGAGCAAGTGTGTGTTTGTCTTCTGAGCACCTGCAGGGCTTCTGAGTCGAAATGAACTGCAAACCAGGTCCTCATGACAGATCAGCGGCTGATGTAAAGACACCAGTACGCAGGTGCACCTGTTCAAGCTGTAAAAATAAGTGGCCCATTTAGTCAAGCAGAGATCAATTACTGCAACCAGTGCAGAGGCTGCCTGGTACAGTCTGTTTCCAAAACCTTCCTCTTCTGTTGTGTTTACTCTGCATCTGACAGGATCTCAGAGATGGTAATTTTTACCTTCATGTGTGATGCTGTGGATAAAAACCTCAGTGAAATGGTTGCTTTATTTAAGCCACCGAGTTGAAAAAAGGTGAAAACATCTAAATAAAAAGCAGTCCAGAGGAGCGTGACCTACATGCAACTCGTGTGCTCACACTTACCGGTAGATTTATCAGCGTTTCCATGACAATGGATAAATCCCACATTGTTCACTCAGGACAAATATAAATACTTCCCCTGGCCTCTGCCTGGAGGATGATTCGTCTGATTGAGGTTTGAAGAAGCAACTGTAATACAGTAAACTTAGGTTTTTTTCTGTAAACTATAACAGGATCAAACTGTGAACATTTGATTTGGTGAAAAATATTGATGTTTAGGGCCAGAAAAAGTTGTGTTTTAAATATAATTTATCTGAATATTAAAAGCCTTTTATGTAATGGGATAAATGTGATTTAAAACCAACAAGAACACATAGCTTAAAAAAATAGAAGATCTTAATAACCTTTTTTTTTCAGGTGTTGATGGTACAGTGTATTACAGTTAGAATTACATAAGGTGTAAAACTTTATTTTCATAGAGTGATATGTAGATGGAACAGGAACCGAGTGTTTGTCAACTTTTAAATAATTACATTGGTCCTTTTTCCCTAATGTATAAAAGGCTTTTTCTCTTAGCCAGTCTTTAAAGTGGAAAAGAAGAGAAAGTAAACTATTTAAGTAAAGCAGGTGTGGGTTGCCTCTGTGTCGACTTGGACTCAGTTGCAATAGCAAGGTTGCAAGTAAAATTCCAGGTTTCTCCTGTCACATCTCCTTTAAGCATCCCTCTCACTGTTAGCAACGACTCATCTTTCTAAACAGGTGAAATTTCCTAAATGAAGGTCGATAAATGGGCTAAGAGTGTTTTTTCTTTAAAGAAGTTATTTTCTAACAAGGAATTTTGTCTCCCTAAAAACATAAATCTTCTCGAAACAAAGGCTGTACATATCTTAGCTTGAAATGATGATAATACTATGAAGGAAGAACTTATTTTATGCATTCACACACATTTACTGAGGGTGCCATTAAAGTGGAGGAGCATACATCGGAAATGGAGAAAAACTGTATACGGATTAAAACGTATGGCCCTAAGAATTATTCTCTATAGAAAAAAAGCTAATTGGATGTTAACAAACTTAACATTTTTTTTTTAAAAAGCTATAAAACTGCTAAGTAACAATACATAAAGTTTAACTCAGCATCTTTGCAGTTAAGATATTTTGTTACTAATCCAAACAGTTTTTTAAGACTCAACCACATTTAAAGCATTTCTAATTTTTAACAATGACTGAGTTTCCAATGCATTTTAAAAATAAGAAATAGGGCCTTAAGATATCTGTTGAGAAATGGGAGAGTTCTACAATATATATGTTTTCCATTTCTATTTTCCTTATAAATTTGCTGTATTCCATGTCAATTCGTTTTAACTAGGCTGTACACCAAGATGACAGAAGAGTGAAAAACATTTTAAAGCAGTAAAAAACATAAATTTGCTCTAACACCTGAGACTAAAACTCCAAAAAGAAATAACCTTTTTACAACTACAGAAATTATTTTTATATTCAGCTCAGCTGAAAAATTGTACACTGTAAAAAAAGTCAGTAAATTTACGGTAAAAAAAGGTAAAAGACCAACAGTTTTTGACCGTCGTACCCAAAAACATTGCATTACCGTAGAAATTACATGGAACTACCGTAAGTCGAAACTGCAAAGAAAGTCAGTAAATTTACGGTAAGAAATGGTAAAAGACCAACAGTTTTTGACCGTCGTACCCAAAAACGTTGCATTACCGTAGAATTACATGGAACTACCGTAAGTCGAAACTGCAAAGAAAGTCAGTAAATTTACGGTAAGAAATGGTAAAAGACCAACAGTTTTTGACCGTCGTATCCAAAAACATTGCATTACCGTAGAAATTACATGGAACTACCGTAAGTCGAAACTGCAAAGAAAGTCAGTAAATTTACGGTAAGAAATGGTAAAAGACCAACAGTTTTTGACCGTCGTACCCAAAAACGTTGCATTACCGTAGAAATTACATGGAACTACCGTAAGTCGAAACTGCAAAGAAAGTCAGTAAATTTACGGTAAGAAATGGTAAAAGACCAACAGTTTTTGACCGTCGTACCCAAAAACGTTGCATTACCGTAGAATTACATGGAACTACCGTAAGTCGAAACTGCAAAGAAAGTCAGTAAATTTACGGTAAGAAATGGTAAAATGCCAGCAGTTACTGACCAGAATATTCACAGCATTATACTGCCGTAGAAAATACATGGCATTATCATAACTGAATAAATATATATCCTAAATAATTGTGACAGTCACGAATGTAGAAAATACAGAAATATAGTGTAAAAATATAAGTAATTGTAAAGTTCTTAAAAAATTGTAATATTGCCAGCAGTTAATTACCCTAAACTTAACAGTAGCAATCAGCCAAAATTACAAATTTTGCTGATGTTTAGATCTACAATGTAAAAGCGTAAACAAGACTGCAAAAGAATTTTTTACAAAGAACAGAATGCTGGTGTGATATTCTGGTTTCTTTTTTAATAATGCCTTTAATACACCAAACTGAAATCTCAGCAGTAGACCAGGCATCGATCTGGCGATCCACCGATTGCAAAGCAAACTCCTACAGCCAACGCCACCATTACTTATGAGAGTATTTGATCATTAACATTAAGAGAACTGTATGTTAGCCCCTCTTGCTTGAATGAAGCTGAAGTTGGTTTCCAATTGCTGCTTCCAATTTGGGAAATGGCTAAAGGGCAATTCCACCTAATTTTTCACTACAATCAGCATCTTTAATTTACTCTAGCTAAAAAACTACAACACCTAGACTCTTCAAATCTGGACTAGATTATTCTCAACTCATATCAGAATATTTAAAACCAAGTGTGGGGTTTGTAAAACCTTTATCTGATTTGTGAAACTTCAATAAAGAACAATTCTAGTGTTATCCAAAATCATACAAGTTGTAAAGTCACCCATCATTGAAGTTTCACAAATCCCACACTTGGTTTTAAATATTGTGCTATTAGTAGAGAATAGTCTAGAGCAGGGGTCCCCAAACTTTTTCCTGCGAGGGCCACATAGCTGTTCCTTTCTCTGCTTGGGGGCCGGTCTTAGTTTTTGGAGAAAGACACCTTAGAAACGTATTGTCGGGGGGGGGGGGGGGGGGGGGGGGGGGGGGGGGTGGGGGGGGTATTGCTGACTACGACACATTCGCGGTCGCTTTTAGATAGATTTTTACCCAGAATGGAAATGGAAAAAACCGTGAGTGAAACGGTGACTGGGACTGACTAGTATATATTTGAGGGAAAGTTAGTTTAACATCTGCTCAAGAGCCCCCTGGTGGTTGAAGGAAAAATCCACAAACCAGAAAATACAATATATGAAAAAAATACACTGAATGCTCTCTGGTATGAGGAGGCAGGCCGGATCCAGCATTGCCAGACCAAATGACACAGGCTGTAGTTTGGGGACCCCTTGTCTAGAGAGTTTTTCATTTTGTTATTGTGATAAATAGCAGGGTTTCCAGTAAATGGAGACTGTTATTTGTCATGTAAACAAATAATTATCTAGTTTGCATTGCTGCTTGATCCTTCAGCATCAGCAGCAAGATTATTTTAACTCTGTTCCTGTAGTGGTGTCCTGAACTCAACACAGTAAAGTCACTGTGCTAACTAAGGTTGCTAACTAGGGTGCTGAGAGCCCAGTAGGCCTGGTCCTTGTCAAGATGCTGCTACTGTCTTTGAAATCAAATTTCTGCTATTTTTGCACGTTCAGGAGGAGAAGGGCAACACATCACAGGTGAGTCCCTTTCACGGTTTTAACTGAAGTTAGCTAACTTTAACCAACTGACAAAGAAATGTGTAGTTTCTGAGCCATGCTGTTTATGTATATGCACTGCAGCTATATATTTTTACTATACGGAACATTTAATCTTCACAGATGCAACACTTCCATTAATGTTTCTGTAGGAACGGCTGCATAGATTATATTTCTGGTCTACTTTAGACTACATGTGCTTAAAGTTATTGTTAATGGCAGAAGCAACTTTTTCCAAGTTTGGTTCAATAATTAATTTGAATTACTTTGAGTGTGAAATGTTCATGCATGCAAGTTAAATCTCTGAAGAACATGTTAGCTTTTGTTTCAATACTTTGGTAATACTTAGAAGTATAAAGCTTGGCATCAGAGATATTATTTAATATTTTCCTTTGACGTCTTGACTCTCACCCCCAAAATACTTGCACTAAAGTCACTGGGTCCATGACAGTTGAAGGATTTTAAAATAAGAGAATTTAAATATTAATATTTTACAGCTTTTCTCAGTTTGGGTGCATCTCTCAGAACAGAATTGAAATTCCTAAAACTACCTGTTCAATCTTCAAATTACTGTGTCACTTCTGCACATCAAAAAATTAGTTTTGCAAGTTTTGCTTTTGTACATCATGTAGCTGGTTATGTACACTTCTATGCTTTTATAATTGTAATTTGCTTTTATCGTCTTGATCAAAATATGTTAACCCTCCTGTTGTCCTCGGGTCAAAATGACCCGCCACTGTGTTAACCCCCCCCCCCCCCCCCCCCCCAAAATCCCCTAAATGTAATTTTTTTAACTTGAGATTTTAAGACTTTTCCTAGATTGGCCCAGACAATAGAAAAAGTTCAGTGTTGCTTTTAGTCTCATTTCCATGTAAGCTGTACAAAAAAAGGTACAAAGATGGTCTTCAGGTCAAAATGACCCGTGAGGCAAATGGAGTTGAAATCAAGGTCACAGAGTTATTTACAAACCATAAAATGTTACAAAGTTTTAGTTGTGTCTCAGATCAATCAGTAGCAGAAGTAAGCAGAGAGTGGAAGGCCAATTTTCCGAGCCACAATGCCACTCAAACTCTTTCACACCTACTCAAGACTGATGCGATTTGATGACCGTGAATCAAGACCAGCAAGATGTATGACAGACAAACTTGCAGCCATAAGAGAGGTATGGGACAAGTGGGTGGAGCGGTTACCCTACCTCTACAATCCAGAGCCTGATGTAACAGTGGATGAGCAACTGGTTCCATTTAGAGGTAATCTGTTTTCATATTTGTAATAAAAGTGATTTTCACTATTGATTTCTTTGACTGTTTTCTGTGACACTGATACTAATCACTGATGCTAATGTCTTTTGTCCAAAGGTTGTTGTCCTTTCCAGCAGTATATGCCCAGCAAGCCAGCAAAATATGGGATCAAGTCATGGGTGGCTTCCGAATCAAGCTATGCTTGAAAAATGCAAGTCTATACTGGGAAGTCAACCAGTGGATGCCCAGAGAAGAACCAGGGGTTGCGAGTTGTGCTTGATGTGACAGAGGGACTGAGGGGTCACAATGTGACATGTGACAATTTCTTCAACTCTTATGAACTCGGACAGCAGCTCCTGAAGAGGAAGATCACCATGGTTGGTACAGTTCGAAAGAACAAGCCTGAGCTCCCACCTGCACTGCTTGGGTCAAAGGAGAGAGAGGTCTTCTCCTCAAAGTTTGCCTTCACACCCACCACCACTCTAGTTTCCTACCTCCCAAAGAAAAACAAGAATGTAGTTCTTCTGAGCACACTGCACAAAGACGGCGACACTAGTGACCGTGAGGACAGGAAGCCAATCATTATCCTGGAATTCAACCGAAACAAAGGAGGTGTGGACAACCTAGATAAGGCGATTGGAGCATATAGCTGCAGAAGAATGACTGCCCGCTGGCCCCTGGTCATCTTCCACAACATCATTGATGTGTCCTCCTACAATGCCTTTGTGATTTGGATAGAGATCAACCCAACCTGGATGTCTCATAAGCACAACAAGAGGAGGGTGTTCCTGGAGCAGCTAGGAAAGGCACTTGTAACTCCACTCATTGAAAGAAGGAAGCATGTCCCCCGCACAGAAGCCTCAGCAGCAGTTGTGAAAGCTATTCAGAGTGCAGCAGCTCCTGATCAACCTGAGGATCCATCTACCACAGCCACTTCCCCAGCTAAGCCAAGTAAGAGGAAGAGATGTCAGTTCTGCCCTCAGACTGTAAAACACATACTGTGTGCTGCAGGTGTAAGAAATATATCTGCAAAGACTGTGCACTTGCATACTGCCCTACATGTGCCAATTAGTTGAATGGGTTATGTTATTTTTCATATTTTTGTATTGTACATCCTCTTGTTCACTGGAGAAAAGTAAAAGAAAATTAGTCACTGTGATGTATAAAAATGCATTCGAAACTCATTTTGCACATTTTTTTTCTTAAGCTATAGAAATTCAAGTGGAGAGGGAAAACTCAAGTATTCACACATTTTGTGGTGAGTGACAATATACAAGATAGAATTTGGTGTTTAAAATTCAATTAAGCTGCTTATATAGGGGGTTTAGTGAAGACGGGTCATTTTGACCCGGAGGATAAAGGGTGTATACAGAAAATGAGGACAACAGGACAACAACGTGTCTGTGTTGAATTCTCAACTTCCAAAATAGCATCAGTTCATTGTGTAAGTCTTAACATGCATAAGTCTTAAAGTTGTCATAATGTGAATCATATATTAATTAATTTATATTCTATTATTTTCTAAATCTGTCCTGAATTGGTAAATTGCTCCCAAGTGAGTCCTGAGTTTCTCTAACAGGTCAGTGTATGAACCATTAGCTCAACCAACGATCAACCAGTTTTCTGAAACAGATTGGAGGTGCATCTTGTGAACCATCAGTTGGCAACATTATGCTCTATATAGTCAGAACACAACACAATGTTACATGTCTGAGAACTGATGAACAAGTATCTGGACAGAGTGAACAGCCAGAGAGAAGAAGAGGAGTGAGGCTGAGGAGGAAATAGTTGGGAGGAAAGCAGAAGAAGAGTCAGAAGAGGCTGAGGACATCTGCCAGTTTCCATCAGTCCAACATCAGGACATGGCTGAGACCCACAACATGACGCTGATGGAGGTCCTCCCACCCTACTGTTCATTCCTTAACCCCACTGAGGAAAAAAGATCCTCAGTGGAGTTAAGGAACAAAGTGACTATGGAAATTAAAATGTAATGTAATGTAATTTCTACAGCACTGTACAGTTTTCCTTGAGGAGATTGTCCTGTGGCTCCTTTTCTACTTTTTTTGTTCTCTGCATTTCTGTCTTTTTCTTTCTGAATCACCAAGGCATGGTCCATGAATAAATTATAGCAAAAGCGTAAATCAGTGTTTCTCAATCCTGGTCTTCAGCGTCACCCTGTCCTGCAGGCTTAGGTATTTCCCTTCTGCCACACACCTGAATTGTATCTCTGGATGATTAACAAGCTTCTGCAGTACTTGATTGTCATCCAATCATTTGAATCAGCTGTTCTGGAGTAGAGGCACATCTAAAACATGCAGAGCAGGGGGTGGTGAGGAGCAGGGTTGAGAAACACTGGCGTAAATGATCCTTTTGTAGTCTCTTCTCATGACTAATCAATTTGACTGTCTTATCTGTACATAGAGAGACTATAACTTATTATTTTGAGTCACTGATATGTTAACAGACAGAATTTTAAGAGCTGAACTAAGGATTTTGAAAGCAAACAAATGCTATTTTTCCTGTTTCTACAAATTGTTTTGAGAAATGCGCTTACTGTTTTGTAAATGCCAACAATGACTTGAGAAATGCACCAAAAGTGACTGAGAAAAACTAACCTAGCATAAATTGTCTCAGCTGTGTCAATTTGTTTGCCTGTATGAAAAGTGTTCACATTTACAGCTTTGTTTCTGCTAGCTTGCAGGAAATGTAACTTACATAAATGGTTGAAGACAACCTATTGGCCTTCATGAGACTCAGATAAATGGTGAGTATCTATTTCATAAATTGCCTAAAACAGTTATATTTGTTTTTATTTGTTTTTTGTTTGTGTATTTTGTCTGGTTGCAGACCAGAGGATCACACCTGTTGACAACAAACAAAGGTTTAACTACTGAATTTTCAGTCAGAAATGATCGCACCACCTGGTTGAAGTACCTGTGTCCATATGCAAGTCAACAAAGGTGAAACAAACATTTAAGCGAATAAGATGTTCATGTAGTGCATCTTTCTAACTTTTTCTTTTTGTTTTCCAGCAGAGAGGAAACACCCGATTGACAACATGCGAGTCTCAATTTCAACCTGTGACTGGGAAGACTACAACCATCCTGAGCAACGTCTGATCTCAGCGACTTGTGACTCTCAACCCAGAACAAGAATCCTTTTATCACCATTTTGTCTTCTACAATATGTTATCTCTTATGTGGACACATACTGTTTGTTTTGTTTCTGTTTTCCAGATCTCAGTAATACTGTGAGGAAACTGGACAGAAAATAGAATCAGTTCTTTTTTTAACTTGACTTTTTAAATAGAAATTGTTTCTTTAAGTGGATTACTCGTAATCTGTATTTTTGTTTAATTAGAAATTATTTTCTTTATAACTTTCTGTATAGAAATGCTTGACAAGTTACACTTCCTTGTGTGTTGTACTATAATTTGTATGGTAAAATTCTGGTAGGAACAGAGACCAGTAATTTACCATAAGTGTTTTTTGGGGGGGAGGGTTTACAATAAAATGTCAATATATCATCCAGTCTGGATGTGTTTTTCACTCATGGAGATATTATGCCTCAGTCAGCATGACCGTATTTACTACGGCAAAACCACATTTTATTTTTTTTAAAATATTTTAGGAAGTACGGTATTTTACCGTATATTAAAAATACGGTAAAATCCTGCATTTAGCAAATACGGTAAAAAACTGGCAGCTGTGGTTGCCAGAATTTTACCGTATATTAAAAATACGGTAAAATCCTGCATTTAGCAAATACGGTAAAAAACTGGCAGCTGTGGTTGCCAGAATTTTACCGTATTTTAGAAATACGGTAAACTTCTGGCAACCAAAACTGCCAGTTTTTTACCGTATTTCTAAAATACGGTAAACTGGCAGTTTTGGTTGCCAGAAGTTTACCGTATAAAGACGGTAAACTTCTGGCAACTCAGCTGCCAGTTTTTTACCGTAAAATGAGGCCGTTTTTTTTTACAGTGTAGAAATATCCAGAAGATTAAGGATCAGCAGCAGCAGAGTTGGTGAAACCTAACAAATCTTTTTTTTTCCTCATACCTGAAAAAAACAATAGAGCATAACACCCCAGCTCTGAAATGCACAGACGTTACCCAGTCATGCACTGGTGCTCTGAAAGGCGATCAAGTGTGACCAACCACTGGAACTGGCTGAACCCGGCCCACTTTGTGCTGCTGCAGGACGGAGGCCTTTAAATAACTCACTGGGTACAACAACAAGCTCTGGGTTTACTCTATCCCGGTGGCACACTTTACATCATCATCCCCATCTGGTCTGTCATCTATCTGAGCCTATAACCCATTTAGGGTTCAGGCAGTAATGCCACAAAGCTCCATGGATAACTGCATATGAAGCAACATTGTTCTTATTAGTTTTAAAGCATATTGTTTTAAAATGTTTACTTTTTCTTTTCCAAAATAATTTGTCTTAGCTTCCCTGTGGACCACAGCTCAGATAGGTCAAGTATTAGAGGCGTTACCATAAAACCATTCTGACCTTTCTTTACAAGACAAGGGCTGATTATAAATTGAATTCACTGATTTATTTGGATAAATTGCAACAAACCAATGATAACATTTGATGCAGAAGACTTAGAAACTTCATAATAGGGACAAGTTGGCAGAACATCCCCACATACTGCTGATGCACTTAAGAAGGGAAACATCTATTAACATATCTGTTGTACATTTGTAATTTTTTTACATTTGAAGTTAAATACATTTGCTTATTTGTATGTAGCACTGATACACTGCAAATATTGCTATGATCAGCTTATTCATGCTGTTGTCTTAATTATTGAGTGAATCATTATTTACATTATGAGGTATAGTATGAACCCTGTGAAAGGGTAACATCTCCTCATCTTTGAGTTTTATTGGCTCTGTTTGTGAGAATTTCTTTTATTATTTTATATCCCTTTCTTTGTATTCTTGGAGTTTGCAGATTCTATATTACGTTTTATTAACATACATTTTCACTGGACCTCAGAAAGAATAGTTTCAGCCATGCTACAGTCATTGTGGATGTGGATTAGTTAACTAAACTAAACTTATCCAGTTTTTGTTTGATCAACCCCGAACACATTTTATCCAGGTATAGACATTTACAGATTTTTTTTTTATAGTTTTTTTATGTTGTATGGATGAAGGCAAAGATTGTCTTTTCTATATTAAATCAACAAGCATTTCCTGAGGAAGATTTGTGTTTCAGCTTTCAGTCGACCACATCTTTCGGGAGATTTTACCCACTCTACCTAAATCCAGCTTTCCAAAGCTTTTAGGATGTGAAAAGATCAAGAAGTTAACAGGCTTCAATTTGAACTCTGGTGAAACTGTCCTAAAACATAACTTTTCTTTTAAGTGAAAATGGGGACGAGCACTTAGGACGGCCTTGCGTAAACATATCACCATAATGATTGACAATTAGAAGGACCACTTATTTTGATGATCCACCCGGAAAAGGAGCATCCTCCACTATACCTTTAAGTTAAATGAATAAGTGCTGCAGTAGGGAGGACCTATGAGGAGTTCCCAAAACTCCTGTACTCACCTTCTTATGTTCTACGAATTGTCTTTGCCAAAAGGAGCTTTGTTCTTGTTCTTGTCAACATAAACAAAAAAACAATTTTCTGCTCTTAGGGAGCGTGTAATAGGGGTGGGTATTGGCAAAGAAGTCATGATTTGATTTGAATCACGATTCACATGCCACGATGCGATTCTATCACGATGCATCATGATACTTGAAATATTGCGATGCATTGCGATATTTTCACTGAACACTGTAAGAAAAAGATACAGCCCTTACCAGTGGCTGACTGGCTGGGTATGATCTGGATAGTGTCTTCAATTGATACATAACTGAAAGCAACTGAATTCATACATAGCTGTATTTATTGAAATGACTTTTGGAGGTGTTGCCATGAAAACAAATACAGGACACAAATATTGATATTACTGGAGTGGACACACTGACAAAAAGATCTTAGGATTCATCAAACTTAAAATTACAAAATAAGGATAATCAGTGCCATTTACATTGCCTCAGTGGTCCTTTAAACCAATGAAATGAAAACATTCAAATGTATGACATTTCCCCTTTTGCAAATTACGTGCGTCATATCAATTTCGTTTTTACCTTCTTTGTTTTTAAAGCCAAAATGCATCCAAGCATCTGACTTGAAATGTGATGAAGCAGCGGGGCGAATTTTCATAGTGTCCTCCATGTTTTATTTCATATGACTCGTTGCCGGACATGCTTGTTACACAAAGCAGCGGGCGTCAACACATCCGCAGCGACATCTGCTGGACTGGAAGTTGTATTCCACTTGATTTGGCTAATGTGTGCCAACCATTAATGTATTTTATTTGTTCTTTTTTTTTTTATATAATCGATTCTTGCCTTCAAGAATCGATGCAGTAGATCACAAAAATTAGATGGTATCTAGAAAGCAGTCAGTACCAACAAAACTTTTTTTTTTTATTTTTTTTTTTACCAAACCTTTTTTCATTTTCATTTTTTTTAACATAGTTGATAATAACTGTAAACTAAAGACTCAAGAGTCTTTATGGCTAATTTGAAACCATAATGTAATTCCCTGAGACAGCTTGTGCAAACAGAATGCACACAGACAGAAATAAAAAAAAGCACCCGTAGAAAAAATAAATAAGCATCCTTAGAGGACACCCCTAAAAAAAATTTATTCTTTATTGTCGTTGCCCATCAGGTATACAATGATCGAAGTGCTTCTCTGGTTGGTGTATAATAAATATATAGATCTTAAAAAAGTAAAATAATACAAGAGAACAGTAAAATAAGAATAAGACAGGAATAAAATGAAATTAGGAAAGAAATCCATATTTACATAATTTACAAATTACTCTAGCAAACACCCTCTGAAAGCCCAGGAACAGCAACTGTTTTCACATCTGTTTTCCTGCATTTGAGGCACCTGTATCTCCTGCCAGAGGGCATGAGGGTAAACAGGTGTGAGGGGTCAGTAGTGATTTCCCCCGTTCTCCTGAGAACGATGCATTGTGCAGTATTAATGACTTAGGTAAGTAAGCATCTGAATTCATGTTTCTTAACACTACAGGGGCAATGAATGCTGTTTGCATCTCCATCAAAATGCTAAAACTAAGGGATTTCACTCCTTGATCAGAACATATGTAGTCATCATATTTGCACACATTAATCCTGATGGAGCCGGTTGGACATCAGCTGACCATCAACACTTCACAGTGGACGAGCACGTAGTCATTTCCAAATGCCAAGTATCTACAGTGACACCATGAGAGGGAGGGGGAGGACCGGAGCTGAGCTGTGAGCAATAGTTCACTAGATGTGGGATACAGAGTGGGATATGCAGCAAAACAAGATCAGATGGCAGATATACTAAGAAAGTGAGAGACATGTGGAAGAGGAGAGACTGCTGGCCGCTGCTGCTGCGAGGATAATCTGTGAAGAATCGAATTGTTGACTGGACCGGACCAGCAGGCCCTAAATTCATTTAATTAGACTACCGTTCTATTCTGAGAGTAAATATAATGACTTCAGAGCTTGGCTGAAGTCATTCTGTGATTTCTGGTCTGTTTCTGAACCCCCTGGATATCAAGGACAGAGTGGGATCCTCTCCAGATTTGGTGGAACAATAGATACATGTGAATCAGGCAGAAACATGAAGATATTCACAGCTTTTTTTCTTTTCTTTCCTGGGATGATAGAGTGGCTCTGCCCCTAACAGAAGAGGACAAGTGGAAGGAGCCTGAAGAAAATCATGCAAAAATTTGGTTAAAAATAAACCTGGAAGCTTCAGAAAAGAAGGGAGAGCGATAAAACTCCACATTTATCAAAAAAAACCTGAACAAAAGGTAAGTGTTTTCCTTATTGAGACACAATAACAAATCAGGATGGAGGTGGATTTTAAATTGGGCTGTTGCTCATCTTTCAGCTCCAATGTATTATTAGTAAGAACAATTCACAGCAGGAAAAATCCTCACCATCACTTTAGTGATAAAATAACAGCATGGCAGGCAGAAGTGTGACTTGTGTGAAAGTAGGCAAGTTTTAGCACTTGATAATTGAGAAATAAAACCATCAGAAACTCATATTCTGCTCCCTAGCAACTAGATTATCATGAAATATAAAGGATTGTATAAACATCCCAAAAAAGTAAGAATGGACAAAACAAACAAACAGAAATTATCAGATTTTGTAGTTTCAAGGTTAGTTCAACTCAGCAAATACATTCTTGTCTCACTGTGGTGAATTCTTCTCTGTCCTACTTTTAACTGCGTGCACCTGTTATATGAAGGCCATAAACAGGGAGTTATCCAAGACCTATGATGGGGACACTGGCAGGACAGATTACAGCGTCCAAACAGAAGCTCCATATAAATAAACTCCAACTGCCTTCATGCAATTAGACTTTATATTATTTAACAATGTTTCATCATATTTCGTAATGTTTAATTACTTCATTATTAAACTGGAAAGTGCTAGTAAAAAGACATAATAAATTTTTTCTGTATACTGGAATGACCCAGATATCATTATGTTCATTTTTTGTTTTCTGCACAGCTGCCTTTTTCTGATTGTTTGGAATCTTGTGGTTCAGACATTTCTCCATATTCAGTTCAAACATGAACTGTCTTTAAAGCCAAATGATGCTAAGCCATTGCATTATTTTACTTAATGTTAAGGCAAGGCAAAGGAAGATATATATATATATATATATATATATATATATATATATATATATATATATATATATATATATATATATATATATATATATATATATATATATATATATATATATATATATATATATATATATATATATATATACATACACACACACACACATTTATATATATATATATATATATATATATATATATATATATCAGCAGGAAGACAATTCAGAGTGCTGGGAAGAGAACTAGTAATGCAACTAATTAAAAGGCAATGATTTTGATTGATGATTGATAAAACAATGAAAAGAAAGTTGAACTGAAAGCTTAACAAATTATGTTTAGGTATCATGTTATCATTAAATCGGATTCTTCAGTTCTGCACCATAGTAAAATGGAGGGGGCCCTAAAAACTTGCTACTCCACTAGAAATCCACTTCTACATGGAGATTTTTTTTCTCTCTTAGACTGCACAAATTCTCATGAGTTTTCTTTTTATTTTTATATTAATCTAAAATGTTTTGTTCTTCTCGGTGCGCGGCTACAGCTTCTAGATTTATGTTGTTGTCTTTTGCCTTCAATTGAATTCCACTGAACTCCCTTTGAAACTTCCTAGAGGCTTCCCTTTGTAGCAATCCTAAAATATCTGTATTTTTAGAGCATTTTCCACATCGCTCTGGAATATTTTTTTAAAGGAAACCTGGGTGCTGCTCTTTACCTTTTTGGAACTGTAACTTGTTATTTAGTTAGGCAAAAAGCATCTGAATTTAGCTGATTTTCCCTAAATATCAGTTTATTTCCCACTGTTACTTGTTCTGCACTGGTGTGATGCAATATTACAAGACATCTACAGAGCTTTGGGAAATGTGGTATATGAATTTTACATTTGTATAAATAGAATATAAGGAATAGCTGGGAATGCATAATTACAAACCATATTCAAGTGCAATAATATGGCTGGGTTGTATTAACAGGAAAGTGTGGCTTAATTATCTATACTTATCATGTTAAGTTAAAGTAGAATACTAACCAGCTTGTTTTAATTAAAAGTACCCAATAATATTCATACAACTTGAATTTCCTCATTTCTTCATGTTACAACCGCAAATTTTAATCTATTTTGCTGACTATTTAGAGGAGATACATCAGCATAAAAAGAGAAGGAAACAAATAAATAATAAATAAAAACTAAAAAGGTGTATTTATTTTGTTATTTATACTCTTCCTGTTCTTTCACTTTTTCCCAAATAAACTGTGGTGAAGCGAGAGAAAAAACAATGCTAGCATCAAAATATCCCTTTCCTGTCTATAGGCCCTGTAACTAAAGGTTGATTTAGAGACCAAGCCTTTTATAAGTCATAAGAAACCAATTTGAAACTAATGTAAACAAATGATTTAAAAAAGAACACAAAGAAATGGTTTCACATAATAATCAATATAAAAATGTCAAATAGTGTAACCAGAGCAAAGTTGTTGTGATCCATAGTTTCAGCTCCAATGTTAATTGTTTTATTGATGGGAGAAAATCAAATCAATGGTCCCTTAAATGTGAACACACTTTTTTTCCAAACTGTGTTTTGCAATTCACTGAGCTACAGTCTCTGTTTTCAGCTGTCCTTGACTCCTGCTGTGGGAGGCTTTCAACATCATTTCACATCATTTGAGTACTCTCCTCTGGGACATGATTATAAATACATTTGAAAATAAAAATTGATCCAACAAAGATGCATAAAACTATTAAAGAATAGGATATCAAACCTTTCTTTTCAAATTTTACAGTGATGCCACTTGTTTGGATTTTCATTTAAAACTCATTGGTTACCCACTGGTTACCATGGCCCAGAAAGCTGTGACAAAAACAAATTATACAGACGTATTTTAGCAGCAAGTGCAGACAAACTAAGATATTATTTTACAGTTTTAGAAGCTTTTCATATCTGCTTCTAACATTGAAGCTAAGAATCCAAAACAAAAACAAATGTCTGAATTTATGTACTTTATTGCATTTCATTGTGATGAATTACCACAGCAGAAATACTGACTTTCCTAATTGTGAGACACATCTAGACAGTTTTGGTGCAGTAAAAAAAAAAAGATCCTTAAACCACCAATATTTGCCCGTTTAACATCCCTGCTGCTTGCTGTGAACTCTTTGCAATAACAAACATTACATGATAACCCAGGAGGAGCGAATTCTTCAAAGTAAATATTGCAATCAGCCTGGTTTCCTTAAATAGAAAACTTTTAACCAATCTGTTAGCAATGAGCATGTTATGAAAAATCAGTATGTGATTTAATCTCAATAAAAGTCCACCTGTTATGTGAGCCTTATAGGAGCTTTGTAGGAGAACATTGGAGCTGGAATCAAGATATAATTTAATTGCCCTGGGATTTAATCAACAATTGGTAAGAGAAAGTTAAGATCAAACCTGAATGCAACATGAATCTTACCACTCAACTGCAGTTGACCAATTTAAAGCACAGTTCTATCATAAAACAAAACCCATAAAGTTTCCAGTGAACAGGGCTCCATTCAGACTACTTATATCATTGTAGTCACAGCTTTCACACTTTTATTGTGAAGTCAAAACAGAAAAGTGGTGCTGAAACACTTCAAGAAATTAAAGCTGAATAGGTCTATGAAGCTGCAGCAGAAGCAACAACTCACTATACATTTTGAATAAAAAACATACATTTTAGTCATTCATGTGGCCTCGATTTTTATTTTTTATTTTTGGGTACTCACCTGTATGATGGTCTTAGAGAACAATTAGAAGCATTAGCTTCTCTGCTGATCTTTGCTATACTGTATCTGCCACATACACAGAAAAACAAGTTTAGCCTTAAGATTTAAGGCTTGAACCTTCAATTAGAATATCCATGTGTAGAAAATGAAGTTGAAGCTGGTCAGATTTTTAGGAAAAGGAGGGATATAGACCTCCTTAATGAATATTGGCTCCTCACAAACACGGCAAAGATGCTCCACATGGGGGCTGAACCTCATCTCTAACATTCAAAGTCATGCAGTCCTCACCAAGAGGAATAATGTCCTTTTTTATAAGGTAATCAATGTTTGCATCTGAAAATCAAAGAGTAAATTTTCTCCAGGCTTCTTCAGATCTGCTGTGAGATAGACAATTTTAAATCTTCCTGGATGACATAAAACCTTTAACAATTATAAGATTTAATTTTCAGTTGGGATGAATAAAGCATTTTTAAAATAAACAGATTGATTTAGAGGTCTTTTTTGTTTTGTTTTTCCTTTTTGGACCATTATCTGTATCATTTAGTGTTTATTAAGTCCAGCCTCCTTTTGATCGTTCCCTAGTTTTTATTATTGTCTGAAATTTTCCTGATTAGATTATCCTTTAGAGTTCTTAGTCTAACCTCATATTGCATATTCTTAATAAATGTATTCCTATTAAGTCTCTGTTTATGTTTTATTAGTCTTTCCTGTTATAGTAAATATCTGTTCAGCTCTATTCATGTTTATTGAGACTTTTACATTCAACCACAGCCTCCATCAGTTTAAGCTTTATCGCTCCCCATGTTATGGGCTCATTACCCTAATTCTTTTCTTCTTGCTAATCAAATCACAGTTTCCAGATGTTTGTCTCGCAATAATCTTCAACTCCATCATTTGCCTGCTTAAGTCCATGCCTGTCCTTGCCTGTACTTTGTTTCATCCAAATCTTGTCAGTTTTATCACTTTTACTCACACAGATTTTTTTTTTTGTCAAACTTTTTAACACGCTGTGCTGCTTATGTCTATTTGTCTGCATGGTGGTCCAACTCCAAGAACCACAGCTTGACATCCAGCCACAGAAACAGAGTGCAGTTAGTGATGTGAAGGTGAACTGCTTTCACTTCAAATTTGTCAATCAGAAAAGCATCCCATGGTACTGGAGGAGCTGCAAGGATCTACAAGGGCAAAAGTCTCCTCAAAGTGCAGCTATTAGTTGGCTACACAATAAAGTTGGCCTTTATCATAGAAGTGAAAGAATGAAAAAAAATATTTAACAAGGGATCACTGTAGAACAATGATACTGACGTTTTGATAACCAAAAATGGAAGAACAACGGAATAGTAAAGTAAAAAATGTATCTTTAATATATTCTAATGCAGCAAAACAATTTACAAACATTCAACATACAACAGTCTTTTTTCTCCCCATCTATTGAATTTAGTGCCCCAGTTGATCTTTTCTTTACTTCATAGGAGAACAGCAAGCAAAATATGGCCGTTTTTCACCTACTCTATATTAGCCAGTCCCTAACAATTGTGGGGGGTAGAATAGGTTAGATACTTTGGAAGTTCTCTGCCCTCTGGATCTGCTGGCAGTTCATTTGCCATCTTTAAGAAAGGCTTCCTTTTCGCAATTAAACGCACAACATTCACTCGATCAGAATCTGTCATTTTTGTTGGCCTAACGCAGGATCATTGAAATTAGCGGTGTGGTCTGTCTCTGTCGCATTGCTTCTTACCTGGCTCTGAATGGGCATCATTCTTCTGCAGTTTATTTTTAATATTTACTCATAAAATCCATCAAGCCTTTGTTGTCATCTTCCCTTTTTTTTTTTCCGTGCAACGGACTTCTGTAAACCTGAAATTCGTAGTTTGCAGCGAAACGTACTTTAAAAGTTACAGCCCGCTGTTGTCCTGGTCAAACCGTTTTATGTTGGTGTGGGAGAGTTCTAATAACCCCTTATTTAAAGAAAACATACATATACCTAATGCAGATATATTTACATATTTAGTTGCTCTAATATTAAATATTTCTATCACAAATATTTTCTGAAAAATTATTTCTGCCTTTATTTTTAATAGTCAGTGTCATTTTTTTATGTTTTAAAATAAGTAAACTTGATTTACAAATGAATAAAAATAATGTAAAGTTTATTTGATAAGTTTGTATTAAAATTACCTTTTAAAAAAGTAAATGGGAATTTGTTAAGTATTAAAATTACTTAGATCATAAAATTTGGGTGAAATATTTATGTTAGTGTAGGTGCTCTGTTTGGCAAAAGCAGAGGAACACGAAAAGCCCAGGAGCATAATGGTCAAACATGGAAGAGGTGGCATCATATTGTTGGCATTCAACTATAAAATGATCAGAGCTAAAGAGACAGATGGAAGAACAGGGAAACCATATGAGAAAATTAGTTTGAGGCAACAGAATAATTGCAAATTAACAAAATGGTTTTAAAAAGTGATATAATTCATATTTGTTTATTTATGCATCAAAGCTGCTGCTTACATATATGAACACAAAGATGTCTGCTAAAGTGGTACTCTCTCTGAGCCGATAATTATCAGACAGAATGAGTGAATTAGGTTGCTATAATACAAAAAAACCCCAACACATTGATGTCACTGTGCTATTTTAAACTGTTTTCGATGACAGTTCTTTGGTGATCCCTTTAACATCTCCATCGAACCGCTTGTATCTGAGGCGACCTCTGTTTCAATACCAAGTTTTCTGCCCTATCTTTTTTTAGCCTCTGTTACGTTCCACTTTAGCCCCGCCAGGGAATCACACAGCTTCATGGCAGGACCCGAGTGCCTTTAACAGTTGTGCCAGCTGGAGGAAAAACAAGATACGTCACATAAAGTGGCAGGGCATTGAATTAACTGGCTATTTGTGTACTTTGATGATCTGAGAAATGTGTATGGTATGGACCAAAGTATTTCCGATAATGCATCAGGAAAAGAAAGGAAGACAGACACAAATCAATACCTGAAATGATTGTTGTAGAAAATGCATTTTGAGGATTTTCTGGTGACTCTGAAGGCTGAATTAAAAATCCATGTTTTCTACCCAGAAAATCTAAATATTTTATTTGTTCTACTTAATTAAGGAGTAGATGGAAAACACAAACCTAAAGGTTTTACTCACATTTGTTTGTCTTTTTTCCCTAGTTTCATTTTTGCTCTTGTTGACGATAACCTTTTGTCTGTTTGTCTTCTGTAGGAGTTGAGGACTGATACCAAGTTTTTGCCCAGCAGAGCTCTGCACCTCTGTGAGCTGGCTCGGTTTTGCATGTGCCAGGCTGGTTATGTGAAGCCCCCCTGGCTGTGTTCCACTGCGGCATGAGCGTAGGACGGGTCCACCACCACAGCTTTCTGTCCTGTGAAGAAGAGGGACTCAGACTGAGCACCATGCCAGCTGTGGGCAGTTTTGGCAACGGCAAGATCCAAACAAGACGCAAAGGCCACAGCCGGTTTGTCAGCAAGACCGGCCAATGCAACGTCCACTTCTCAAACATGGACGAGAAGTCCCAAAGGTATATGTCGGACATTTTTACCACTTGTGTGGATATCCGCTGGCGATACATGTTCCTGCTGTTCAGCCTGGTGTTCGTTGTGTCCTGGCTGATGTTTGGGATGGCCTTCTGGGCCATCGGCCTCCTTCATGGTGACATGGAAAGTAGCAGAGAGGAGGACAGTTTTGTTCCCTGTGTTACACAAGTCAAAACCTTCGTGGCCGCCTTTTTGTTTTCCATCGAGACCCAGACGACTATTGGTTATGGAGCTCGCTATGTGACGGAGGAATGCCCAGCAGCTGTCTTCATGGTGGTGTTTCAATCAATCATGGGCTGCATCATTGATGCCTTCATGATTGGTGCCATCATGGCCAAAATGGCAAGGCCCAAAAAGCGTGCAGAGACTCTTCTATTCAGCCACAATGCAGTGATTGCCATGCGAGACGGGAAGCTGTGCCTCATGTTCAGGGTTGCTAACCTGAGGAAGAGCCACATTGTAGAGGCCCATGTTAGGGCTCAGATGGTAAAGCCCCGCTACACAGAAGAAGGCGAGTACATTCCCCTGGATCAGATCGACATGAATGTTGGCTATGACAAAGGCACAGACCGACTGTTTTTAGTCGCCCCCCTCACTGTCATCCATGAGATCGATGAAGAAAGTCCTCTGTTTGGCATCAGCAAGCAAGATCTGGAGAGCGCAGACTTTGAGATTGTGATCATCCTGGAAGGGTTGGTGGAGGCTACGGCAATGACGACGCAAGCACGGAGTTCCTACCTGCCCTCTGAGATCCTGTGGGGCCACCGGTTCGAGCCCCTCATCTTCGAGGAAAGGAGCCAGTACAGAATCGATTATGCATACTTTCACAAAACTTTTGAGGTGTCATCCACCCCCAGGTGCAGCGCCAAAGACATGGAGGAGAGGAAGTTCCCTACATCAGGCGCCAACTCCTTCTGCTATGAGAACGAGCTGGCATTCATCAGCAGGGATGAGGATCTGGACGGAGATGCGGAGAAAGACAAAGACAAAAGGGGCTCATCGGAGTTAAGCACCTCTGAACGCAATCCACCATCTTCCCGAAGAGAATCAGCACTTTAACCTTTACCTGCTGACAGAGGGGCTGTTGAAGTAGCTCAGATTGTGGACGTTATTCTGTCGACACAGGGACACCAATGAGGACAGCTTTGTTACTGCTGCCACACAGGGATTACCTTTTTAGATGATTCTTGAGCTTTATTAGATGCTAATGAAAACTGTCATGTTTCACTGCAGATGATCCTCCTCCTCAGATCTAGGAAATCATCATGGTTTTATATATGTGTGTTTTAAAGTAACGCTGCAATGGGACTATCTGTAGATGCAAAAGATATATCTTTGCAGTGAATATTTATATGTAGTAAACCAAATTTGTACAATATTGTACTAAGCTACTTCAGTAAGAAACACATTTCCATCTCAATTCCATATAGCTGATAAAGACTATATAAAGTGAAGTATGTCAACTTTGTAGAATAACACATAAAACACAATAAGGTAAAATTAGATAATCTCCCGAAAGACTGAACTGCTTTGATTCAAAGTAAACCTTAAGATAGAAAAATATAAGGATATTTAAAATATAATTATAACATAATGCAATGAACCAGCACAAAGCAGTGGATGGGTGAGGTATCTTAACAAAATAAATACAATGATTTTTTTACTCTTAAAAATATAAAGATGAGATTAATTTAGCCCCCTTCTTTTTATTAACTCCCCCTCCCAAAAAAATGAAAATAAGTCTATTACAAGCATTTGCCTAAGTCCATTCATCCAGCCGTCTGTATGTTCGTTGATTGCTTTTTAATATTCGTTTTTGTAGTGTTGCACAGGAGCAGGTGCCAATTTCCAGCGCTTATGGGACAAGAGTTGGGGTACATCTGGACAGGTCTATTTTTTTTTACTTAATTTTATGTATAATGTATTTGACTGGGACAGTGCACATTATTAAGCATCGCTCCAAATGCACCAGAATTAGCCGAGAGGCTATTTTTCATCTATTGTCCCTGGACAGATCTTAAAATTGTCAACCTAAAAAAACACAACAGTAAGAATTTCACCAACCTAATTAACTTCAAATTGAATTTGACAATAAATTGAGTTTTAATCTAGAACACAATTGAAAAATAAACTTTTTCTACATCCAAAAGGCTATGCTGAGTAACACACATGCTGCATTTCTAAACATCCTTATATAAAGTAGAAAACCATTTTCTTAAACAAACGGAATATTCAGGACTAAGGGAGAGATTGATGCAGCCAAAAAACAGAGCAGTTCTTGCACATGAGCTGAGATATAATTCTATAAGGTACAGTCTAAACCTCAATGTATGTCACACATATTCATTCATAAGAAGAATTCTAAACAGCTTTCCCCATTCATCTGTATGTCCTTCTTGGTGTTTTATGATAAAATCCTTCTAAAATACAATGGAGGGTACAACATGAAATGTTCAAGAGGTGTGAATATTTCTTTATGTCAGGTTACCTTCATTATGCTGGACATTGTTGGGCACCAGCCACACAGCACATATACTACAGTTTATTCAATCAGCGATAGGAGATTCTTTGCTCTCAATTTTATTTTTATTTTTTTTAATTCGGGCTCATGGGAAATCCTAGGGTTTAGATGCTTTGAAAGATGAAGGATAAATTGGCTCAATTGCTAAAACAAAATATTAAAATAATATAATTTTATGTGGTTTTAGCATTTTGTATTTTTTTTTTTTTTTTTATCCATACAAATCAACCCATGGGGGCCCCTGAAACAGAAACTCGCCCAGCATTAAGTTAAAGATCCAGAGATAATTGCTTCCATCACCTCATGGAGTAAAAAGGCTCAAAGAGCACTGCTGCAGATGAGCTGGAGAAGCTCTGCTGTGGATCACATACTAATGGCAACATCGGTTACAGCTGCTGATGAGGGTTTCCTGGTATGGCAGTCAGGGCTTCACAGAAATCAGAACTACTTTGCACTTTAAAATATTGCTTTTATTGTTTTAGTTTTTTTCATTTTGATTACAGGTAAGGAAGCACCTGGTTGTGCAGTGAATGTAAATAAATAGACAAAATGTATATTTAATGACACGTTGAAATTATGATTGATAGGAACAAAAAATTGTCCCCATTTTTAAACATTTTCCTATGATAAATCAAAGAATTAATCAAAATATTACTGATGTAGGATACAGAGCTTGGTTTGAATGTAAATTAATGCTCTGTAAAAAATAAATTACAAACCCTTGCAAATAAAATAAATTTTTTTATGGAAGGGAGTAACTATATTTAATCTTTAAGGTTTGTGCAAGTCAATTAAAAAATAACTTTATTTACCACCTTATTCTCTGGTTTAACATTAAACCAACTTAGACTTTTGTGTTTATTTACTTACATTTTTGTACTTTTTATTTGTTTTAATTGAACATGATATCATTGGCTTACCAGGTTTCATATATGGTTTGATCTAAAACATTTATAAGCCCTTTTAGTGCGTCTTCATGTCATGGATGTTTTTGTATTTTTAACCTGTGATTATAAATGTGCAGCATGGAGCAGTTGCGTCAGCAGAGCCTTTTTATAGTAGAGCCAAACCCTATAATAAAACATCTAAAACATTAGATTTGTTACTGATATTACATGATCTGGTCCATGTTAGTATATATTAGGACTCTTGGTCTCATTGGATCAATTGTAAAATTATGTTTGCCTCCTCCATAGAAACAACCAGAATAAACCTCATGATAGATGCCTAAACTACTGTTAGATGTCACTTTAAGCTGTTTATCTCTAGTGTCTGTATTTCTCATAGTAGCTAAATAATAAAAGCACAGACTCAGTTTCTCTCCTCCTGGCTTAGATGAACAATGTTTCTCTCCACATTAGTCAAACCAAAAGCTCTATATGGGTTAGTTTTACACACCTGGTGACCATTTCAGCACATTTGTACAGCTCTCCTGGTCATATTTTGTAAATAGTTTGTTTTAATCTTCTCTTTTTGGTTGAAAGTTAATAAGAATAATTATAACAAAGAAAATGGAATGAAAAATGTTATTTTACAGTTTGTTTGTTTTTTTGCTTAAAAGTTAATGTTTAAGGGTGATTTATTTGTTCCTGCTGTCTTCCACTGAATACATTTGGACTGATTTTATCCTGATTTTGCCTTGGTTTCTTTTACTCTGTTGTGTGAAGCAAAATCTTAGAAAAAAAATAAAATCTCTAGATAAACATCAATTATAACATAGAAATTTTTTCTTTTTTTTTGCGCTTTGCTACTGACTGTAAGGAGCAAAACAGACAGCACACAGTGTAACTTGCAGCGTTTTTAGAGTTTTAACGTGTAAAACCAGCAGGTGGAGGAGCGAACAAGTTGTTTGACAAACAGGAACAGATTGTAATTTATGGTCTGAATCTGTTGAACCCTCTGTGGCTGGGCGGGGGCAAAGGTCTCTACTTTCACTCTTACGCACCCCATCAGGCATGCCTTTGCATGTACATAGAGGACTTGGCTGCTCTTTTACATTACACTGTACTGTAACACTAGAGCTGTAGAAACACGTTGCACACACACACTAACAATATCTAACTTGTCTTACTCACAAGGAGGCCTATTAACTGGTATTTTGTGGCAAATATTTATGCTCGCTGTTGATCTAAACCTTTGGACTAGCTTTGTTTGCATGTTTAAAGTCACAAAATCTCCTCCCCCCTCTAAACTTTTGCAGCCCCTAACAGCAAAATTCACGATCGACCGACCCTAACTCATCCTCCCATTTAACCATATTCCCTACCCTTGCTGAAGTAAAGGCTACACAGAAATAATATACAAATGTAGTATGAACATTTATATAATTATCAAATAATATATTTCAAAGAAGCTATTTACAGCATTAATATAATATATATAGTTCCCACCTGAGTTGTGGACCTCTGTAGCTCCTAAAGAGTTATAGGAACATTGTCTGCATCAGTTAATGTGAGCACTATGAGTGGGTAGGTATGAAGTTGTGGTATTTATGAATAAAATAACCTCTGCAGGCAGGATGTTGCATTTTTAAAGGGAGTAGCATGAAAAATGAACAGTGAGTTTTGTTTTTTTAAGATGGAAAAGTGTGTATTCGTTTAGGTGTAGTGTAGAGATACATTTTAAGATGGAAAAACATGAGAAACACGTTCTTGTCGTAGTGCTGCCTTCAGGAATCATATCGGGTTTTTTTATGTGACTTGACATGTGTGAAGCTAAACAGGCAACAAGCTGCAGAGTAACTCTGCTGTATTTAAGAACAAATGAGGAGATAATTTGTCTCTTCCTTGGAGCTGCTTCGTCTGAGATGAGCTGCGTGGTAGAAGGTGTGCTGAGGAGAGGCTTCACACCCACTCAGCAGTGTTGGAGGATGAGAAGTCTTATGGGGTCAGTCTCAGAACACGCAGAGTGGGTTGCTGAAAGCCACATCCAGCCTTAATTGCAGCCACTCTGTACTTTCCTTCAGCTACCAGAGAGGTGGAAGGGAGAAAGGAAGAGGAGCTCTAAGCTACACCAACAAATATAGTTCCCTTTTCACAGGAAAGAGTTTCTCATGTTTCAACAAAAGATACATTTATTGCTTATTAGTTTCTGTCAAATTAGCATTTACTATTAGATAATAATGTGTTTACTTATATTTATACTGTTAAATATTTCTCTCTCCCCTTCTTTTTCCTGAAAAAAGACCACTTAGGCAAACTCTTTAAATAACACTTCATAACTTATATATATATTAAATAACTAGGAGACATGACAACAGATTTTGATAGAAACTGTAATCTTACTCAGATCAGAGAAGTAACTTACATTTACAGAAGGCAGCTGCATACCTTCTTGGGAAGTGGCCCCAATTAACAGTTAAAGTGGCATTTTATACAATTCCCGTCTGCCACATGATCACATTTTACATGAAAAAGTTTCCTGGATAAGAAGCAAAATGTCTTCAAACTTGGAAAAACAAAGTCCAGTGGTTTGTTTTTTAACTTTTTTAACTTTAACTAATCCACCTTTGAAAAACAATGGTTCAAAAAAAAATATTAAACCCCTCCATTTATCCTGACCCTAATATTGAGGAGGTATGCATGTAAACAGTGATAAGAAAGCTTCCTTCCTGGATGGGAAGCGAAACGTCTTCAAACTTGGGGAAAAAAGTCCAATGGATTGTTTTTTTTTTTACTTTATTTGAAGACTTCCTTTGCTGCTTTTTTCAATCTAACACTCTTATGTTAGACATTTTAGTGACTATTTAGTTGAAATGCTTTTAATATATCTTTTTTTCTAATGAAATAAAAAACAAGTTATTGGAGCTGTTCTTGGCTCAGAGGAGACATGAATAAAGGAAAAACATGTCAAGGAAACCCACTGCATTTTCTTGCTATTTCATTGCAGGTCCTTTTTGTTGCTTTGGGTGGCATTATGTTATTCTTCACAGGGTGTGAGGGGCTTAAAGGTTAAAGACATGAACTTGAGGATGGAAGAAAAATCCACCCTGGTTGGGAAGGGCTGACAAAGGAAACTGGCTATAGGGCTGATTAGATCGGCATGAACTGTAATCCAGCTGCTCCGAATGTGAACTTGTATTAGTTTTGGTCCAATGTCCA